TATCAGTGGTGATAAACGATCTGGAACCGTCGGCCGCTTGTTTGGGGGCGGGCAAAATTAGGTGTTTATTTGGGGGGAAAAAGTTGGGTTTGTTGATGTTTGAGGGCGGGAAAAAATTCCGGGTCTTCCAAAAAAGGAGAAAACGTTCAATTGATTATAGGAAAACCAAGAAACCAGTTGAGAGATCCAAAAAATTGTGAAAATAAAGTCTGAAATTGTAGAGAAAGCTTTTTAATGGACTACTCTTTTTAAGAAAAAAATGAACTTACGGAAAAAAATTTTTGAGTTATCGAATTCAAGTCTTTGAAACTATTCAAAAATCTAATCTTTCAATTTTTTTAATTCAATAAGTTCGTTTGAACCTACAATCTGTACAAAAAAATCTTTTTTTTGCGTAAAAAGTTTTTTTCTAAAATTTTAAAAATTAATTAAAGGATCACGTTCAAAGTTCCTGCAGGTCTCGAAAAAGAAAAAGACGTTTTTCTATCTCATTTTAAAAACACCAAAGACTTCTAAGCCTTTAAAAAAACCCAGAAAATACCTAATATCTTTGTAAAAAAATTAATTAACCTTTTTCCAAAAAAATTTTTCTAGAGACCAGCTCAAAAAAATTCGACAAAAGTGAGCTCTAAAAAGTTTATCCGCCTTTTATTTACGCTTCCTTGCGGATAATGGACAGAATGTCCAAAAAATTAATAAAAAAAGGTCACAAAAGAACGGAAACGTGCACTTTTGATGACGTCCCTTGTCTGGAAATTTGCCATCTCGTTTGAAAAAAAGAGGCAAAAAGCTTCCGGCATATTGAAAATTTGATACGAAGGGGAATTGTTTGCCGAAAGTGTTCCAGACACGATGGGAAAAAAATCAAATCGAAAAAATCGGAAAACACGGGGAATCGTTGAAATTCCAACGACTTGAAAACATATTTTTGCCATGAAATCTCTGAAAATTCTCACGATACTTAGCCATATTGCAAATAATTTATTTCGCAAGATGTTCTGCTCATGTGGAATTCAAAAAAGGAAAAAAAATTTTAACCTTTCAATTTTTAATTTTAATTGTAAGTGGTTTTAGGGCATCGTCTATGGAGCCAAAAATAATAAGAAACGAAAGTAAACCGCGTCGCTCAACCCAGTTCCATCACTTATTTTCTCAAAATAAATAAAATTGATACGCTTTTGTACATGTATGTTTCCAAGTCAATCGAAATCCGACTCGCTTCATAAAAATATCTTTTTTATTCCCTACAAAATCCACGAAAAAAAAGAGCCCATCCCTCTGGCCCAATTATCAGGAGCCGGTTCCAAAAATTACAATTCAGGGGGCAACAGCCCGAAAAAAGAAGACGAAAAAAGGAACGAACGTGTCTGTTTACAGCCGTCAAAGAGGCCAAATCAAACAAATCACAAGACGGGTTTTACTGTCCAAATTATTTTGTACCAACTTTTAGGCAAAAAAAAGAAGTTTCTCTCAACTTGGTTGGCTTTTGAAAAGGGTCTCGAAAAATTGCTCTCAAGGACGGTTCAAATAATTTTGGGCGTAGAAATTGAGATAAGAAATTTCGAAGAGAGAATGATTGAAATAATCAAAAAACCTGCAAGTTTTTTTAAAGGCGCATAGATGACTTTATAAAATCTCGGAGGAACGCAATTTTCAAACCATGATGGATTATACAAAAATTCAGCGCCTTTTAATATTTATAAAATAATTTTTTTGACAAAGAAGGAAAGAACAAGAAAAATTTCCACGTGGATAAGAAAAAAATGAAGTGATGTTTATAGCCTGTTCCACACGTACGGTTAATTAACCTTTTATTGGAAACCTAATTAAGCCAAATAAGGGAACGTCGATAAAGCTTCTCCAAAATTTCAATAACACTCGAATGCGGAGATTTTGATAACACAGCTGAAAATCAAAAAAATGAAGCCTCAAAAAAAGCTCTAACTAAGACATATTTCAATGAAACAAAAGAGGGACATGAAAAGAAAATTGAAAAAAAATGCACAAAATAGTCACTGGAATACACATACTTTGTGGTTGACTGTCAATATTTGAATGAGATTTTTCTTTCTTTTCAAAGTACCCAACTATTTTTTGAGGGCACGGCCATAAAAGTGCGATAAGAACGACCGCGTCTGGTGTTAAATACTCTGTTTCGACAGGTGGTAAACGAAAAGTTCAATCCAAAAAAGGGCGGAAAACAAATTTGAACAAACAGATCAACAAAAAGTTCTTTTTTGGGTACGGAAAAGTGAAAGTAGGTTGATTTGTACATTATAACTTTCATTAAGGAATTTTTTAAATGGTTAAATTTGAGAATATGTGATAGTTTTATATATATTTATTACTTTCTATTAGGATATTTTTCAGTTTAACTCAAATTTTCACTTGAACTTCGAGCTAAATTTGAGAAAATGAGCTGGAAAACTTCCAGAAAACTTGAAAATTTCCATCTTTCCCATGGACTTTTGATCAAATTTCCTTGCAGAATGGTCTCATTGAGCCGAAAACTTCTCAACGCAATTTCGTTTCAGATTAGTAAAGTACATCCGAAAAAGACGTCAAATCAAGATAAAAGAGCTTTCGAACGACTGCATTAAGGCTGACGCAATCAAGCACCATAAACACCGAAAAAAGAGTCATCAAGTCGATTTGAGCCGGATTTTCTGGGATAAACGGCTTACATGACCGCGAATCAACCGTTTTTAGGGACTGGAGAATCCAGATTCTCTATTACAAGCGTCAGAAGTCATGATAAAGTTCAAAGAAAAAAAATCAAAAAAATCTACACATGTCCGAATTTGAACTCATTCAGAAATGTTTATTATTATAGTCTGTGCGCCACGACTTGAAATTTCACGGAGCGACATTCCGCTGTTCCGTTGCGTGCGTTCGCGAAGCGTCTTTCGAATCTAGGTCACGCTTTCAATTAATCGTTATTGCTGTGGGAGCGCATGAAAGTAGAGTACTTTAATAAAAGAAAGAAAAATTTAAAGCGCGACCAAGGTTCGCACGGCACAGCGGAATGTCGTTCCTTGAAATTTCAAGTCGTGGCACACAGACTATATATAAAACCCCGAATTCCGGAAGAACCTAAAGATTCCTTCGAGGACCACAGTTCGTCATTGAAGTATCACCCAAAGAATCACGAGTTTTGATGAAAACCTTCGGAAAAAAAGTGATAGACGAGCAAAACTCGTTTCGAAAAATGGCGGCGCCTGGCACCTGACCGTACTCGGACGAAGGCGTGAAAACCATTGGACTTGGGATGCTGATAAGGCGAAAAATGAGATTCGAATCGCAAATCACAAACAATCACTACTTTCCATGAACATTCAAAAGTTCACTCAGGGAAGTCAAAAAAAAAAAACCATGAAAGCTTCAGATTTTGATATATGAACCTTTTCAAACATTTCTGTGAAAAAAAAAGTTTTGAATTTTGAATAATTGATAATGCTCCAATCAACCAAAAATTTGACATTATAAGTTACTGATAACCTCCTTCTGAAACAGTTTAGTTATCCTTAAACAGTCGTCAAACTTTCCGTTCTAATAATTCGGTGGTATGCATAAAACACCAACTAAAATTCAAACGGCGACTTTTCCGATTTTTTCATATCGCTAGGGAACTTTCCGACGAAATTTTTTCCGACTTTTTTCCCTTATATTTTTCAGTTTTTAAAACATCTAAAAGCCTTTTTTTTCTATTTCTTTGTGTGTTTAATCATGAATAAACTACCTACTTTATATCGGCAGATTTAAAAAGATGATTTTATCGATAAAAAAAGTCGGAAAAAATTTCGTCGGAAAGGTGGCCGTCGGAAAGTTCCCTAGCGATATGAAAAAATCGGAAAAGTCGCAGTTTGAATTTTCGCTGGTGTTTTTTTCATACCACCAATAATTCAGCATGAAATTTCTTCGAAAACATTGAATATCATCTAAAAACCCTCCTTTGTGAGATCATGTCCAGCAGAAACCTTCTTTTGATTTATTTTTTTCAAGTAAAAAAAAAGAAACATGTCAAACGCCTACATAATCCTCAAGCACAGTAATCTTTTAAAAGTTGAATGGCGGAATTTCAAGAAAAGAAAAGAAATGATATCAATATCAAGTAGGAAGTAAAGTCTATTCAAAACGGCTTCAATGGGAAATTAATAATAGATCCATTATGAGATAGTATAGCGGCTTGAAGATGAATGATAGGAAAATACATGAAAATGCTTTGAGTGACACAATTTTTTCCTACAAATGAGGAAAATTTTTTGAAAAATAAAAATTAAAATGAGTTCAAAAATCCTTGATGATATTTTTAAAAGACCACAGACAAATTTCATAAATATTTCGAGGCAAAGAGTCGAAAAAAACAGTTTGAAGAAGAAAATAAAAATGAATAGAGCGAAACTTTTGATGATAATAAATTCATATAGGCATATAAAAACTTCTGGAAAGAGTTAGGATGAAGATCAAGAAACAGTAATTGAAAAAAACTCTTTTTACCAGTAAAAATCAAAGTAATTAATTGAAAAAAACTTGAAAAAAATTATGAAATCTGAACCTACAAGGAGGGGAACTCACTTGAATAGAGATTTTTAGATAGTTTAAAAAAATGTTCATTATAAAAAGAGCTATTTTTTTGAATAGAAGAAGAGGATAAAACTTGTAAACAACCTATTTCTAAGGAGAAATTTGAAACTTTGAAAATTTTATTCAGTCTTCTGAGGAAAATGTTCACAGAAACTTTGAATATGAAATCAGAATCTACAAGGAACTTGTTGGGGTGCTGAATAATCGGGTTTCATTTTTTCATTTTTTCATATATCGATTTTTATGAATGATAATAATCAATATCAAGGAAGGCAGCTTTCGAATGAGGATAAGAATAGACAGATTATTAGCGAAAATCCCCGCAAAAGACTCGGAAAAATCGCTCTAATCCAATCAGACAGTAACCCTTAAGTAGTGGTCATCTCCAAAAAAGGAGCGAAAAAACCTGCGACAAATCAGCAGCAAACGAAAACCGCGGCGGGGACTAATCTTGCGCCACAAACGAACGTCTGAGAAAAGCCAAGGAAAAGTCTCTTCGCAGAAAAATCCTCGTGGATAGTGTCGTTTTCGGCGCTTTTTTCCGTCGTGACGAATGGCTGGCAAGGCCTATTAAAACTTGAAACCAGCAGCTGGACCGCCCGACGGAACACTCCGACATGAAGCTAAGCCGCCTCAAAAAATTATAAAAACTCGAGCATTATTATAAAGTTTAGATTGGTAGCGGCAGATCTTCGCCCCACGGGGCGGCGACCTGTTTCGGGATCGAAAAACCCGCGAATCTCAATATTTTTCCGCGTTTGAAGCTTCAATCTCTAATTACGTGAAGCTGGGAAGCTGTTGGGACTAGGAAGGAAAGATTAAAAGGAAAAAAAAAACTATTGTTTGCCTCTGGAGAAGATATGGATAGCATTTTGAAGTTGGAAGTTGAATTATCCATATTTTTCATACGTTCTTTCATAATAAAAAAAAATTTCTGAATAACTTTCATTTTTTTTACTTGAAATTACGATAAAATAAAGCGCTGGATTCATTTTAAAAACTTGACCGACCCTTAAAAAAATCAAAAAAACTGCAATTCAACAATTTCCCTGGTTTTAAAAAGAATCAAAAATCATGTTCTTTTGAAAAATTCAAGTTCAAAAAAATAGTATTACTACTCATTTTTTTCAGAATTGGGGTATTTTTTTCATTTTCTTATCCTTGAGATCCTTGTAATAACCAATAAAAATTTATCGTTCTGAATAGAAAAAGCTTTAAAAAAAAAAATGAGAAAACCAAAAATTTTCAATATCCTCTTCAAAATTCAAATTTTCAACGCTTTCAAACCGTCTAAAATGAAAAATTTTGGAAAAAGACCATACAAAAGAAAACTGAAAAAAAACCCCTTGAAAGACTTGTTAAACGATAAAAGTCGCGGAACTGATGATAGAACCCAAAAAAAAAGACCTTTCCGGTCAAAAACCAAGAAGAAGTAGTCTACAGAAAACGGAACAAAGTTCCTTCCTGCTGTAACTTCACAAAAAGAAAGGAGAAAAAACTACAGTCCAAAAACCAAACTCCTCGCGAAACAAGGAGCGATTAAACGTCCTCAAATCGTCCCAGACAGAAGAAAAAAGGAGAAAAGAGCAAAAGTTGGCTGTCAATCAGCTCACTCGAAAGATAACAATGTCTACTCGTACAAATAATTTCAGCTCAGAAACTGAAGAATCAATCAAAAGCCTCGAACGCTTCTCAGTATCAAAAGTGCACGAAAAGTGAGAAAAAGTCAGGAAATCTCTTAGGATTTGCACTTAACAGGTCAGAAAAACACGAAAACGAGTGCAAAGTCCACGGGGAGCTCAAATTCTTCAGCTAATTTCCGCATTTTAGATTCTTTTTCAAGCCTTTGCCTTTAAAAAATTGTTGAGGGAAATTTTTTTAGAAGGAATAGAAAATTAACTAAAATTCGACAGAAAACAAATTCCAAAAAATTCTCCAGCAAGCTTCTTTCTCGTGATAAAACAAAGATTTCTTGATTTACAAAAAAATTTATGAAAGTTTACAAAAACTTGTAACTTCAACTTGAAAATGGTTCCACATAGAAAATCAACACATTCGCATTTTTTTTCTTTTTGACCCGTCTATCCAATGAAAATCTCCCATATTCCCACTACCACTCTTTTTTCTCCCATGCTAGTCCCGATTTCTTCAAATTAGGTCTTAAAAATCACCAAATATAGGCAAAAAACGGCTTCTGAACCGTACAAAAAAAATCTATTAACCATTCTACCCAAAAAAATATTCGAAGAAGGCCTAAAAATCCCCGATTTTAGCCAAAAAACAGTTTCTAATCCGTTTGAAACTATTTATCTACCATTCTAGTCGGAATATCATTTTAAAAGAAGCCTCCAAAAACCTCAATTCAAGACAAAAAAGTCCTTCAAACCCATTCAAAACCAATAATCAACCATTATCTTCACTGGAAATTCAAAAAAAGGCCTCAAAACCCCAAAAAAGGCCTCCTAAACCATTCAAAACCACTGACTTTCTATTTTCCAAAGTTTAGTCCAACTGGCCAGCACGGCAAACACTATAAAAGGGCCAGCGATAAAAGAATTTTCGATAATAGTGGAAGAAAAAAACTTCCTTGTGTCAAAAACACGTCTTTCAATGAAACTCTTGGTACATTCCTTTTACTCTTTGCAATAAATTCAAAAAATTTCCATTTTGAGCGGCTCCTGCTTGTTTCCCTTTCAAATAGGGCATGCAAAAATGAAAGAAAACGATGAAAATGAAAAAAAAGTTATTCAAACGTACTTGTGAGATGGTCGAGCAAGAACTGAAGCAACTTTTGTGACCCGTTGGTTTCGTGATAGATTTTGCTGATTTCCGGCGACAGCGGGTTCCCTTGGAGCCCTTAACGAAAGCAAAAATGAGAATGAAAATGTTTAAAGTTTGAAAAAAATGAACGTAAGTAGCTAAAAAAATAAAGTTTTTTTAGGCGATAAATTGAATTAGAGCCTTTGACAAATACAAAAAAACGGCTAAAAAAAGAAAGCTCATAATTTTATTTTCTTGAGAGCTGTAAGAAAAAAATGAAAAAAAGTCAATTTTCAAGTTTTAAAAAAATTGAAGTTGATACTCTTATTGAGAAGGATCATCTTTCACAAATTGTTTTTTAGCACAATTCAAAATCAACTGATTTAATGACATCTTACCAAGCCGAAAAAAGATTCTTTCGTTCTTGAAATTCAAAAAAAAAATTGAAAAAAATCCCAGAATGTTCAATGTATTCCCGCGTGATTCGAAATAGCCTTCAGAGATTGAAAGAAAGAAAGAAAATTTTGGAAACTCAGAGATAATTTCAAATTTTGCTCAATCGCTTCAAACTCGGCAAAAATGTATAACTTGAATAGATTTCTTCATTTCTATACGGTAAACCTTTCAATTTAACTTCAAAAACAGTGATTTGAATATAAACGCTGAATTCGAAAAGTAGGCCACCTTTTTCAAGGCATTTCCCAGAGAGAACAATGAAAAATGGGTACCTAGAGTCTGTATCCGGAAGAGTTTGCCCAGTTCGTAGGGCAGTACCCGCAGGAGGTTGTGGTTGAGGTAGAGATGGCACAGGGAGATCATGTCGCCGAGTTCCGCCGGCAGAGATCTCAGTTTGTTGTGAGAGAGGTCCAGCATTGTCAGGTTCGACAGCTGCAAAATGGGTCCAGTTTAACAATAATATTCACTGCCATTACCAGACATTAGGGAGTATAAAAAAATATATAAATAATCAAAATAGGATAGGCAGAAGAATAACAATACGCGGGAACCCCAACGAGTTGAAAGGTACACAGAAGTACGACATTTTTCAAAGTAGTCGAGAAGGAATATTTTCATAAAAGCTTGAATCGGAAGATTATTCAATTTGAAACGAAATGTTTTTGGGGCGACGTTAAAATTTAAATAAAAAGTTAGTTCATAACTTTTGATCTGAGGTCGTATGAAATCAAAAGGAAAAAAGAGGTTTATTTTTATTCATTTTACTGATAGGGGACATGGCCTAAAAACTAAGCCCTTAACTCATCATTTCCGCTTTTTTTTTTTTGATTTTACAAGATTTTAAAAAGGAGCTCAAAAAAACTTCGATCAATTAAAAAAACAGGAATTATTCTTTCATATGAGGAGAATTCAGCTCTTTTTTTGTTGAACGAAAAAAATTTTTTTCTTTAGATTTTTTTCAAACTTATATGATACAAAAATCAAAGAATGAATGAATATAAACAACTTTTTTTGTTCCTCTTCAAATTTATAGCGGGGCAAGAAAAATGAAGAAAAAAACTCTTTATTTAGAAAAAGAAAGGACATACCTGGGAGATTTCTGGAGGAACCCGTGTCAATTGATTTCCATTCAGGAACAAGGCAGAAAGATGTGTCACTTGCCAAAGTGCCGGCGCCAAGTTCCGTACTCGTCCTGAACAGCTTTTTTCTTTTTTCGAGCAGAAAAAAGGATGTAGAACATTTTTAACCTTATTTATAACAAATAAATGTATGGGAAGATTTTTGGACAGTAAAAATGAACAAAAAACGTGTTGGTATCGAAAAATTGATGTTTTTGTGCAAAAATAAGCTTGGTTATTGAGAATGCTAATTTCGAAAAACAACTTTTCATAGAAAAAAAAACCTACTGACCGTAAAAACTCATTATCATTCGAAAAGATAATTTTTGAGAATTTTGTTGAGCTTGAAACAATAACTTGAAAATAATTTTAGTAATTCAAAAAAATTGAAGAGAAAAATGATAACAACCGGAAAAAAATCAGTTGTCATAGCCAATTATAGTCTTCAAAACTCTTATATTCACAGGTCACTTCACCGAAAAAAAGTTAGCGTTTCGAATAAAAAAACGTTGAAAAATTTAATTTCAAACAAGAAATATCAGTTACAAGTGTAAAGCAATCAAAAATTCCCTATTTTAGTTCTAAAAAAACATGGAAACCTTATAAATTTTCAAGCCAAAAACTATAAAAAAAGCAAACCGTGAATTTCGAGCTCGGTCCACCGCGTCTGTTTCCCTTGGTTGATTTCTTCGTCGGTCAAGATTCTGTGGACTCGGCTCATTCCGTTTGTCAACGTCTTCTTCCCTGAAAAAAGAAAATCGGTGTATAAATTCATTCTAAAAATGGAAAAAATGAAAATAAAGCATTTTTTGAACAACAAAACTCTTTTTCTTTCACTAATAGTTCAAATTTTAAAAGAAATCAAGATGGTAAACCAAGAAATTCACTTCAAGTGTGAAAAAATTAGAAAGAAAAAAGATTTTTTTGAAGTAATTATTACTTTTTAATGATATGAGTTACCGACAGATCAATATAAACCCTAAAGAGTTCACTTGAACCTATACTTCGAGAAAAGGCATTTTTCAACTTCAAATATCTTGATTCTTGGAGAAACAGATAGCAAAAAAATACTTTTTTAAAAATGGTTGATATATAACTTTTTCTGGTTCTCTACCACCACCGCCACAAAATCGCTCTATGGGCGGCTATAAAAATTACTCAAATAATATTTTCTATCATATTATGATCGTTCAAACAAACTTTACTGCAAATTCTCCAACTTAAGCTGATTTTCACTAGAATTTTTGCCCCTAAATCATTGAATTTGTTCAAAAAAAGACCATAAGGTTTGGTGCGACGTTTGACGTAGCATTTGGAAGGCGAAAACTCGGGATTTCGTATTGGAAATGAAGACGGAACGCCGTCAACAGCCATTCTCAAATGACTTTCGCCAGAAATGACGTCGTCCCATTTCCAATTCTACTTGAATTTCCTTCCGATAGTTCATTGGATTGATCAAAAAGCGATAAAAAATTGAGGAAAAGTCTGGCTTTTATCATATTTTTAAAAAGGAATATAACGAAAGCTTGTACGATAAGAATTACTAAAGAAAAAGTCGGCTTCAGTTTTAAAACTGTCCAGAGAAATTGATTTTTCGGAAAATAAGAATTTTTGTTAACCCAGTAACTAAAGACTATGTTCAGGAAAGTAAAACTATGTTTTTTTTAAAGGTTCATTTCAATAGGAAAATCAAAAATGAGCACAATAAATCTAGAAATAAGATTTTGACTCACTATAATTGAAGTTATACCACAAAAAATCCTCCAAAATGTCTTCATAAATCCTCAAAATCTCCTTTTTTTCGCATACTATTTCTTCAAAAAACTGACCTGAGCTTCTTCAGCTTCAATAATTAATGAAATGACTGCATTTAAACTTTAAATGTCAGTTTTTTAGCGAGATTTACAAGACGAATATCGAAACAAATGATTAATTGACTATAGACGAAAATCTAGCCACTTCTTGAGGACCGATGACGTTTCTGAGCAATTCTAGGGATAACTTAAGGGTGCTGACGGCCTAAAAGTGGCCACTAGAGTGTTCAGAAACATACACGGCGCGTCTAGTTTGCGTTACCAAGGTTCGAGATTTTTTTTTTATCCATGTTTCATTGAATGAACTATTATCAAGACCTTAAAATGTCCTATTGAAACATGAAAAAGCGACAAAACGGACCGTCGTTGTTCTCCATCTTGGTGACGGGAAGACCGGCGCCGCCGCCCTGCTTGTCCTTGTATTCGCCATTCGCACTCGAATCCCCTGTATTCATACCGTCGCTGAAAAATCAAATTTTGTTAATTAACTCCTTTTCTTGTTAGAAATATTGACTAACTACTGGATTAGAGGGATCTGAGATGTTTTTTTTCCAAATAAGATAGGATTTTTGTCTTGAATTCTCTGTCCGTTAATATTGTTATAAAAAAATGGTCCATTCAATCGTTTGAAAATATTTCGAGCCTCAAAATGGTTTTTGACGATTTTTTTCTACTCAAAAAACACTACTCTCATTAAATTTCACTCGAAAAAAACCGAAATTTATAAATACTCGTTATTAAACATATTTTCTGGACTTTGCGGTGAAATTTAGGAGCACAGAGGTTTGGTGAACTCAAATTGCAGTTTTTTTAAAAAAATTTTTTTCAGTTTTTTTACTATTTATAAAACTTGGATAGTGCTTTAGATTCATTTTTAAAAAAATCATCCTGTCAAAAAGAGCTTTTTTTTAAAAATATTCGTCCTTTCAAAGTCAGAGAGCTGCTAACTGCAGCTCTTTCTAGTCTCATTTTTCGAAAATTCTCAATTTTTTTCGCGTAAGGATTTTTTTTTGTGTTTTCCGAAAACCTTGAAAATATTTTTTTCTGTTCTTCAATTGTTTTTCAGATCACATAAATCGATAAAACTGTTTTTCAACAAAAATATCTCTTTGTATCCCATTCAAAAACACCACTCCATGCACAAAATAAACGACCTCTGCAATAAGAATGATCGAGAAGTGCCAAATTATCTTAATTTTCCGTAAAACTGTCAACTCGGCGTCAAATTGGCTATTTCCAAGCAAAGATAGCTACGTTATCGAAAAAATCAAAGAAAGTGTTCTTTAATGCACATTTTTTTGGAGAAGATGGGACTGAAAAATAAAAAATAATGTAACTAAGAGAAGGAAAAAGATTTCTTACTATGAAAATAGGTTCTGATTTGTAGAAGTAAAGAAAAAAGGTTTTTTTTTGTGTAAGAGAAGCGTATTCGAACTGAAAAAAAGCTGGACAAATCTTGAAAGAGAAATTAAAAAGAGAGGAAAGAAAAATAAATATTTTTAAAAGAGAACAAATTAGATGTTTACAGAATGTGCATGGATGGCGAATGAAACGAGAAGACGGCTTATATACAGACAGTTTTTTTTTGAAAGTGGGCTTAAAACTCTAAAACTTCGACATGGAAGGCTGGAAAACCCATTTCTAGACTGTAATACTATAAAGCCGATTGAAACAAAAAGCTCTCAAAAACATTTTCAAACATATAAATTCAACAAAAACAACTTTCTAGCATTAAGAATTCGAATTTGGTGAATCCAAAAGCGGGAAGCAAACCTTTTGAGGATTCTAACCATGACTTCCCGACTATGACAGCGGCTGGGGCTATCGATAAAAACGAAAAATCGATGGGAAAACGAGTACAGAAGCGGAAAAGGCTGCTTTCTTTTGGATCGTCCCGAATTGGATGCAGCCGCTGAGAAGCAAATGAACGGACAAACGCCGACGCTCGACCGCAACGCTCCTCTGCGTATCTTACGCCCTACGGTGACGGCCAGCCGAATATTTCTTTCGTTTCACTTTTTTGTTGTCCTAGTTCACTTGTCGCGAAATACTACGTTTTACAACTTTCCTATCAACTACTGTGTTAATTCCAGTCGGGTCCTATAGGCTTCAATTTTTATTCAATTTTACGTCTTTCGTTTTTTAAAAAGTACGGCTGAGCAAATAGCAATCTAAAAAAACGGCTTTCGACTTGTCACGAAGGTAAAATAGACAAGCAAGTTATGAATAAATAGTAATTTAAAATTAACTGTTGAGGGTTATTTTATATATAATGATATCCATACGTTTGAAAAATTAGAAGAGAGACTGAAATTGAAAAACATCAGAAAATTGGGAACGTGGAATCGAAAAAAATCTCAAATCTTGAAAAACCGAGCGCGACACGAAATTTGAAAAATTTTTTTAATTGCCACAGAATTTCATTCAATTAAAAAGCCTTTTTAGAATATATGAACGTGTGAGAATAGCGATATAACGTGAAAAAAAGTATAAAAGAAAAGAAAATTTATTTCAATTTACAATTTTTTGATAATTTTTTAAATTGCATCGAGTGCGCTCCGTTGCTGATTTTTCGTTCTGTAGAGTGTTCAGTTTTCTTTGCATTTTTTCGAGTTTCTTGCCGTTTTTCTTGTCTTTCAATTTTCTTTGGTTTTGGGAGTGGTTAAAAAACTTTTTCAGCGGGTTTTTACCACTGCTGGATGGCGAATCCATCCGGCAACGTGCCACCAAACTACGGTTACCCGCAGTATTCGCAATATAATTCGGCGCCGAATCCTGCGGCTCCAGGAAACAACGGGTGATTTTTATATTTTTACTACTGAATGAAGAGATAGTTTTTCAGGTTCCCACAGCAGCCACCCGTGGGACAATTCCCATACAGCGCTCCGGCGAATCCGCAGTTTGTCCAACCATTGCCGGTTTGTTTTTCTTCTTTTTTTCATCTTTATTTTGGTATAAAAATATCGAATTTGTGTTTATCAAGGTGAAACCGTCTCCGAATGTTGTTCAGCCGCAGTTTAGTGGGCCGCCGCAGCCATATGCTCAACCTCAGCAACAACAAATGCCAAATGGGGTTTGTTAATTTTTTTGGATGTTTTTTTAATTGCAATTTTGTTGTTTCTATCTAATGTAAATTTAACGCTGGCGAACATTTTTTTTTGTTTTTGGAAAAATTGGAGAAATTAAAGAAACATGGGTTTCAAAAAAATGATGATATTTCAAGTTTGGCTAGTTTTTTTCATTAATTTTTTTTGACAAAATTTTTGTGTTGAATTGAGTTTTCTTTTTCGAAGTTCTCATAAAGTATTGAAATAACTGATTTTCGATTGCGAAAAATAACTTCTGTTTGAAATATGCTGAATGAATGGTTTCGTGAGAAAGGTCAAAAATCCTAAAAAGTTGTCGATTTTTTTCAAGTTTTTTTAGATGTTTTTATTTTTTTGAAAGTTCCATATACTCCAAAAAGAAAAATAAAAGGAGAATGATGATTTTTTTTTTGGTGGTATGAAAAAAACACCAGCGAAAATTCAAACGGCGACTTTTCCGATTTTTTCATATCGCTAGGGAACTTTCCGACGAATCTTTTTCTGACTTTTTTTCTCGATAAAATCTTCGTTTTAAATCTTCCTATATAAATTAGGTAGTTGGTTCATGATTAAAACACGAAGACATAGGAAAAAAAAAATGTTAATAGATGTCTTATAAACCGAAAAAAATATAAAGGAAAAAAAGTCGGAAAAAAAGTTTCGTCGGAAAGTTCCCTAGCGATATGAAAAAAATTGGAAAAAGTCGCCGTTTGAATTTTCGCTGGTGTTCTTTTCATACCACCTTTTTCGATGTTTGAGGTTTTTCTTGTATTTCACGACTTTCCTTTTTATTAAAAACAAAAAGTTTTTTTCTTCTCAAAATATTATTTTAAGTCAATCTCAAACTTTTTTTCATTGAATTTTACTCATTTTCAGTTCACGGCTCGACCATTCAACCCAACGCCGACGACTCCAGTGACGTCGGGACCTCCTGGAGCCCCTATTCCGAATATGATGCCCCCTCGGGCGAACCCGACGTCTTCTGGATCGGCCTTCGGGCCTCCGACGTCTTCTCAACCTATCGGATTCAGCCAGCCGCCGTCTTTCGGCGCCCCACAGGCGTTTGCTCCATCTTATGCTCCTCCAACGGCTCCTCTTCCAGCTCCGACGTCTTCTTTATCTTCTGTTAGTTTTTATTTTATTTTTCTTTGATCGAGTTTTTAACATGACAACTTTTCATATTTTATAAAGATTGAAGACTTAAAAAAATGAGTTATATATATTTTTTTTATAAACTTCAAATAGACATAGACACATTACATGAAGAGGCCAACAGCCATTTTTAAGTATTTTTCCTTGAAGTTGTTTATCAAATGTTGTTTTCAAGGTTTTAGAACAGCATGGACAACTTTTCAAAGCGGTTTTGAGAGAAATGATTTAGTTTTTCGTGTTATTTTAAGTCATGTGAATCTTCTGCTACTGGAAAATTTTTTAGTGTCCACTATAGGGTTTTGACGTTCGAGTGGGTGCTATAGTAGTCAAATTAGTGGCAACTATAGAGGTCGAAGTGCTACTGCTAGACCATTAAAAATGTTTAGTGGCCACTTTAGGGGCCAATGGATCAACATAACTGGTCCAATCTGTTTGTTTTAAAATTATCAGAGTTACTGAAAGGAATGCTGGATGAATAACTACTGCAGTGGTCACTAAATAGAAAACCTCTACAGCGGCCACTAAAACGAAAAATAGTGGCCACTATAGAGGAAGGTTTAGTGGCCACTTCAGTGTCCTCTCCAATTAGTCCTTGGCGAGCCTCTTATAGTGCCACTGAAAATTTTCCCAGTACTTAAAAAATACATGAAATTTATTTATTATTCAAAAAAGTCCATTTTGTGAAAATGTTTGGATTCGAATCGATTCAGATGCATTCCGGTCCACCGATGCCGAACGTTTTCCCTCAACAGTCGTCAAATGGATTCTCACCTGTACGTCTTTAAAAAGCGGACAGTCTTTATTCATGTTCTTTGAGGCTCCTCCACTCCAACAGCCGGTTCCGCAGTTCGCCGGTGGCCTTCCGGCTCGACCAGCAGCCGTTCCGCCGCCGCCACAGGCTTCTTCTGTCCCGACCCCGGGCGGTTTTCCGCAGCCAGGCCCTCCCCAGCCTTTCCCAGCACCTGTCCGGCCACAACAACAAGTTCAGCCTCAATATGGGGCTCCTGGTACAGCTTTTCTTGATGTTTTTCAAGGCAAACGCGATTTTCAGCGCCTCATCAGCAGAATTACGGAGTGACGCAGCAGCAGCCTCAACACAATGTCCAGCAAATGAACAATCAGTACGGGCAAATGGTAAATTTAATGAATCTTAGTGGTGGAAAAATGATAATAAGGATATTAACGAAGGGATTGTAGGAAAAAAATTCCATTAAAAAATATTTTTCGCGGCTTTTTCCGATAAATCTTCGTTGTAGCGATTTAGGATGGTCAGTTTGACTTTTTATTAAACTTTGAGACCCATAAAATTAAGCTTTAAAAATCCAAAAAAATTTGATTCAAAAACATTTTTTTCTTTGTTCTCGAATCTTTTTTTAAACATAAATAAAAAAACAAAAGACTGATTTTTTTCTTGATTTTAATTATTTGTTCCGTATTTTTTTATCGTTTTTTTGAACACATTTTGGGATTTCCTTCGTCATATGTCATTTCTGATTGACCATAAACTTATTTTTGAGTGTTCGAAAAAAATAAGAAAAATTCAATTAATAAAAAAAGAAAATGAGATTTTTTTAAAGAACATGGGCGGAGCTCCGGCTCAGCCATATCGATCGGATGTGATCGATTTGCTGGCCGAAAGAAATGTCCATCAGTTCGGCTGCGATGACGTCGAGGTGACTCTGCCCCTCAACATGGCGAATCCCGAGGCCCGAGTTTCTCCCAAGTTTGTTTTTTTTTTTTTAATTTGAGCGGGTATAAGAAAGGAAATTAGGGTTTATTCAATGAAGATATGTACTTTAAACAGAGATATTCGTGTAATATTAAAGAAATATCCGAAAGTTCGGATTTTTTTCATTGATAGACTCTGGAAAATATATATTTCTCAAAAACCGGGCTTTGAATCACAATAATCGTTTTGAAAACCTTCCTTTCAGAAATATATTTTTCCTGAAACTGTAAAATTGATAATTATTGTATAAATATTTTTTTTTGAAATGAAATCGCGTTTGAAATGGCTCTTTGTTTCAGTTAGACACTTTATACAACTTGTCTATAAAAACTGATCGATTCTTAGATATGCAGGTGGCCACCCACCTACCGTAACCCGGCTACAGTAAGAGGGAATAGCTCAAAAAGTTGCGTCTGCTTTTCTAATGATAGGTTATCACACTGGATGAAGTTTCATCAGAATAAAAAAATAAAATGTTTTTTGTGAGTTTTGATTTTGAGAATTATAGAGAAAACGTGTTAAGCAGCTTTCTCTACTGCTTTTTGATGTCTCCGCGCGTGTATCGTTTATAGTCGGGCGCGTTTTGAAGTAATTTTGGTAGTTTTAAGTGCGACAATTGTAATGAAATATGAAGATGTTTGATAACTTTTTCAACCTTTTATTTTTTTTTTTCAACGATTATAAGGTCGTTTTGACATAAGAAAAAAGAAATCAACCTTGAGAACTTTTGTTGAAATCTCATTCTGTCTGCGTTTTTCTGTTCCCTCACCCAGAGAAATATGAAAATAGCACGTCAAAATGAGAGGGTCGACGAGAAAAAAGGAGGGCGCAGAGAAATCTCTGCCGTTTCAAGCTGTGGGGAATGGACTATATATTCGAATTCCCTTGCCGGATGTTTCTAAGACATTTTCCTAATTCCAGCGTGTTCCGATGTACTGTCGGAATGGTCCCCCAGTCGGAAGAATTACTGAAGAAAAGTCGCCTTCCGTTGGCTGTCACTTTGCATCCCTTCAGGGACATTAAAGTTGGATTAAAGTGCTGTTAGAAGATAAATTGGGATTTTTCCAGAACCTGAACGTCATCCAGACGGGCAACATTGTCCGTTGCCGGTACTGCCGGACTTATATTAATCCTTTCGTTTATTTGCCGGACAATCGCCATTGGAAGTGCAACATGTGCAATCGGAACAACGATTGTGGGTTTTTCTGTCTATTTAAAAAAAAAAGGTAAAAATCGTGGAAAATGTTCAAGAAACCAGGTGAGAAGTTCTAGAAGATTTTCGAGATGCTAAAAAAAAATTTCTTTTTTGAAATAAAAATATAAACAATATGGTCCAATATTATTGGAAAAAAATTTAACAAAAATGGTATGATATTTTTTAATTGAAAACTGGAAGCAGATTTTTTTGGCAATTTTCATTTTTATTTAGAAGTTTTATATGTAATTGTGCATTTTCTTCTCTTTTTTGAAAAAACACTCTTTTGCTGTTTCAGAACATGGTTATAAAATGAATAAAAAGGAAAAATTTTACTATTGTAGGCGTTCAATGACGAGTTCAAAAAAGTTTCTCGAAGCTTTGTATAGCAGATCCACGGCTGGCTTGAGCCATCGGAAAAAGGGTCCTGACACGATAAAAAAAAAAGAGATAGTGCCTGTTTGGTGGAGGGCGCAGACAGGCCACGCCCCTTTGGGTCCCAAGTTAGCTGTTAATTGGCTATATTCCTGAAATAAGTTCTCAGGATCTTAAACTGAACAAACTCTTCGAGAAGCTCTTTTGAACTTCCTTTCGACTTTCTTGCTTTTTTTTTGAGAGCTTATGGTTTTCAGTCGTTTTTTTGTTCAAAGTTACTAGGTTTTCTGTAATTTTCAAAGCTCAAAACTTGTTATAACTGTGAAAACGATTGAAATTTAACTTTCAGTAATTTTTAAATTCTTTGTTCAGCTGCTGATTAGGAAACGCTTTTTAGCCCCGGTTGAACTTTTGATAAAACTTTCTTCTTTTGTGCAAGAGTGTACTTTAGAACCTCCTGGTTCCAAAACAAGATAAGGATTTCTCGCAATATTTTTTCGATTTATGAAGCTTCTAGTTTTTTTTTGAAAAATATGACAAATCAGCGTTTTTTTAAACTTCCGGGGGCTGAAAAGGCTAGAAAACGCTCCGGAGTATTAACTTCACTCAAATTCGATTTTTGTTTTATTCTTGAGTTCTTTTTTTTTTCAGTACCCGACGATTTTTCATGGGATCCGTCGACAAAATCTTTCGGAGACCCGAGAATGAGGCCAGAAATTCAAAATTCAACGGTGGAATTTGTGGCCCCGGCTGAATATATGGTCAGTTTTAGGGGGAATATGGTTTGAAATATCATTTTTTTTAGCTTCGAGATCCTCAACCGGCTGTTTATGTTTTCGTACTCGACGTCAGTGCTGCGGCGATTCATAGCGGTACATTTTTTCCAAATTCTGATTTTTTTTGCTCGATACTTTTATAGTGAAGTAAACGTGTAATGGGAGATTTTTGTCATTTTTCCAGGATATTTGCGAACTTTCGCCGAACAATTGTTGATTTGTCTCGACCAAATGCCTGGCGATGATCGTGCTGTGGTCCGTTTTTTCCAGTTTTCATGACTTTTCAATACGTTTTGAAGTTTTTGATTCGATAATTTTCAGATTTCCTTCATTGCCGTCGACGCCTGCCTTCATTTCTTCACTTTCAATGACCACGCCCGCTGTTTTTCCGAAATGATCATCGATGATGTTAATGGTAGATTTTTCAAGTTTATTAAAAAAACGATTTTTGGCTAGATAAATGGAAAGAGATGTTAGTTTTTTTGAGTTTTTTTCGATTTTTTTTCAAAAAAATAACTGCTTGAAATATTTCTCTTATTATAAACTTCTGTGGGTTTTTGAAAGTTTTAAAGTTTTTAAATATTGATTTCTGAAGTTGGATTTAATTTTTTTAATTAGAGAAGGATGACATTTTTTTAAAGGAAGTTGAAAAAAAGAATAATTCGTAAAATTTTTGGCCCTAAATTGTGCAAGTGGAACTCTTTATTCAGCCTAAAAAGGTAACTCAAAAATCTTTAAAAATTTGAATTTTTTTGAAGTTTCAAATTGTTTTGGAAACGGGATCTTGGTCTATCTTTATTTTTTTGATTTTTGTATCAAAAAAAAAAAAAAATAAACGTTCATAATGCAGTTTTTCACAGTAATTTTTGCGAAAGGCCTAATTTTCTCGGGCTCTCCAAGATTTTTTTCATCTTTTTTTCTTTTCTCTGACAGCTATTTCAAATATTTTGAAATAAACGAATTGAAAAATTTTTGAAAGGAAAAAAATTTTTCAAAAAAATTTTTAATTTTTCTCTTTTTCCATCATAGTTTTGGATATACATATTATTTTTTTGGAAATAGAAAGTCATTCCAAAGTTTTTCAGAAGCGTTTCTGCCGACTGTCGGGGGAATGTTGGTGAATCTGAAGCGAGAAAAAAAGATCCGATCCGATCTTTTTGTCACGAAATTGCCCAATATTTTTCGCCTCGATCAGCCCGACTTCCAATGGAAATTGTCTCGGCGCCGCGTTGACCATCGCGCAGCAAATGATTGTAATCATTTTCGTGGATAAATAGTGGAATTTGCATTTTGAAGACTCAAATCGGCGGTAGGATATCTGTCTTCCAAGCGTCTCTACCGAATCTCGGTCCGGGGGCCTTGCAACCGAGAGACGAACCCAAAATCACGGAGGTTTGTTGGGAAAAAAAGAGGAGGAAGGGGTTTCAAAACGAAAAAAATTCCAGGGAAAAATTGAATTCTATATATTTTATCGGAAATTTGGGAATCAAAAAAAGTTAATGTGAAAAATAATATTTTTTTTGAATTTATTAATATCTTTTTCTACTGAAGATGCTTTTCAAACGCGAAATAGGGTTTAGTAAAGTTTGAAATTCGTTCCAAAGTAATCTTTTTTTCCTTTTTTTTAAATGGGTTTTTGAAACAAGTTTTGTTTTTTTGAAAAATTTTCAGTGATTTTTTTAAAACTTCGTTAGTTTCAATTTTTCATAATTTTTTTATGGAATTTTTCATGATCTTGGCGTTTTCACCACTCTATCTCTATCTCTACTCTATTTAAGAGGCTTTTTTTAAGATTAAAAAAAGTTTTGAACATTATTCGAAATTTTTTTCTGATGCAACAACTTGAAATTTATCAAGTTTCTGTTCATCAACTAAATTTTTTTCGACATTTTTAAGCTCAAAAAAAAAACTCAAAAAAATGTTTTCTTTTTTTGCCCCGGAACCACTAAAAAAACCCAAATTTCAGTGAATAAGGTGGAGTTTATTACATAAAACTACACGCGGAAAAAATTAACAAGGAATATTAACAAGGAGTATTCAAAAAGGGAAAATAATCATTTGACGAGCTAATTTTGAGAGTATTTAAAATTATTATCAAGAAAAGAAGTTCAGAACGTTCAAAACTTTGGTCCGGCCACCGATTTCTATAAAAACCTGTCGTTGGAAGGAACCGGGGTCCAGATTTGCATGGATTTGTTCATGTTCAACTCGGAATACGCGGATATCGCCTCAATTTGTGAGAAAATATCAATTTTTTCATTTATTCCATCGAAATTTTCAGCTGAAATCTCCAAGTTCTCCACAGGCTGCATTTACACTTTCCCTAACTTTAGGTTCGCCGAAAATGCTGTTCAGGTAACTGGAAATATTAATAAATAAGCAGAATGGATGTTTTTATTCAAGGTGAAACGATTCGAATCGACTTTTGCGCGATATTTGACCAGAAGAATCGGATTCGAGGCCGTTTTGAGGATACGTTGTACTAGAGGTAATAATTAATAAATTGTGTGTTTTGGAAATTTTTTTGAACAGTACTGGGAAGATCATATATGTGAAAGACCAAAAAAAACTTCAAAAAAAATTTCGATAAAGGGAAAGGACATAGAGTTTTAAGATTATTTTTTTCACCTCAAAATCTTGAGAATTCGAATTTTCTTTTCGGGGATCGTTACAAAAATATGAAAAGCTTTTTAAAAATTTTAGAATAAAGAAACTGAAGAATTTTTCACGAGATTCCGTGTTCAAAATAAATACCTCGAAATTCAAAAATTATCTCTGATTCTCCGAAATTTAGTTATCTTTCTCACTCTCTGATGGTTATTTGGAATTTTTTTGGCTTCAATTTTAATGAAAAATTTTTTTGAGAAAAAATTGATTTGAAGTTTTTTTGTACTTTTCGCGATAACATTCAAACGGAAACTCTTTTGATTTTCCATTTTTTCCTATCCATTTTATTCCATTTGAGGAGTGAGTCTGAGCGGATTCCACGGCAACTTTTTCGTCCGAGCCCCGGATTTGTTGGCCTTCGCCAATTGTAATCCGGATTCGGCTTTGGCTGCCCAGGTTTCAGCTCTTTCCTGTTTCAGAACCTTTGAAAGATTATATTTCTAGGTTACTTTGGAGGAAAAATTGGCCGCGACTGTTTGTTTCCAATCGGCCCTGTTGTACACGTCGAGTAAAGGTAAAGATTTGGAACTTTTCTAAGTTTCATAATAATTTTTGAAACTGGATAGTTATTGATTTCCCATATTTCAAAGCAGCCTGACAGAATGAAGTTTAATGTCGAACAAAGACATATTTTGCAAAAATAGGAACAAAGTTTATTTTTCACAGTGACAAGTTTGTTCACAAAATTATTATTCTGAAGAAGAAGCTGATTTTTTTTTCAGTTCATAGTTCGAAAAATTTAAACTGACGTGGATATACACAGTTCAATCGAAAATGAAATTTTCTCTTTAAATTTCAAGAGTTTTTTGGGAATTTTAAAGAAGTTATTTCGCATTGACAATTTAGAAAAAAAATAATTTTTTTGAAGTTTCTTTTTCAAATTTTCTAGCTGAAGTTTATCAAGAATCGAAGTCTTTTCATAAGAATTTTTGAAAGATAAGTCATTTCAGGAACATTTTCTGTCGCCCAAATCTTACGAGTTTCAAAAAATCTTTGCCGAAACGGTTTAGATCATGACCAACTCGGTCAGACAAAAATAAGAAAAAACTGTTTTTTGATCACAACTTTCTTGCAGGGAGTTTTATCGTTCTGAAACCTTATGGAGTTGTGATGACTGTTATTTGTAACTTTCTGGTGGTACTTCAGTTCGCAGAAAAAAATCATCTTCAGAAAGTTTTAGAAAGACTGAACTCCATACAAAAAAGTGGGGAGCAAACATTTGATTTTCGTTCCTTTTCTGGCGGTACTGTATCCTTTCATCGAAGTATTATTGTCTTAGGAGATCGACGGATTCGCGTCCACACGATGTGCCTGCCGACAACCGGCGACCTCATGCAGCTCTACAATCATTTCGACGTCAAAGCGACGGTTTCCTACTTGGCCAAGATTGGTTCGAACTCGCGGCTTCTGATGGCCTGCAACTGAATCTCTCTTCAGGAAGTGAGAGATCGATGTTGGGCACGGCGTTGACCGATTCCCGCGAGGCGATCGTCAACGCGGTCGTCGACAGCCTCGGCGCCTATCAGAAGGCCTTGTCCCGAGGCGGAGGTCTTCTGGTTCCCCGGTGTGGACAGCTCCGACTCTTCCCTACTTACGCTCTCGCCATGCTTAAATACGTCAGTTATTCTTTTTGATAGTTCAAATAGATCCATTTTTCTCAAATAACTTATGATACTTGAGGCACGTAAAGCAAAAAAAACAAAATCAGAAATCAAAAAAAATTTCAAAGCTTAAATTTTCACCTTTCTTTCTCATTTTTGTATATTCAGCCCACTTTTTCGAAACACTATTTAAAAATAAGTTTTCAAAAAATCGGTCTTTGCGCAGTTAGAAGAATGTATGTTCATGAAAACCAAGGTTGTCCAAAATCCCGTCTTTCTCAAAAATTTCTCTTCCTTCACTCGTTTTTTTCTTTCTTGAAAGTTTTTTTTCCTTAACCTGCATTCCTTTTCCCAATCTTCACAACTTTCTCTCTTTTTTTGTGTTGATTATGAAGTTTTAGCGTTTAATGTTATTTTCTTTATTGGAAGCCTTGAAAAAATTCATAGTTCCATTTTAAAAAACGTGGTAAAAAAAACCTCGAAGCTTCACGCGAAAAATGTTTTTTGTTTCATCCCCTATCTCTAACCAGGGGGTTTTGGTAAGTTTCAATAAATTATCAAAAAAAAAGGTTTTTGCGCTGTATTCCTTCTTAATTTTTCGCAATTTCTGCCTCCGTGCAACCTCGTTGGAACATGAATCAATTAACATTTTTATTTTGATTGTAGCGTTTTTTTTATTCTTAATAATTTTAACGGTATTTTTTAATCAATTCTCTATCCTTTCAGGTCGCTTTCTCGGCAACGAGACACACGAAACTCGACGAAAGAGTCTCGGCGATGCTGATGATCCGTTTCTCGCCCCTCGAACAAATCATTTCGGACATTTATCCGCGACTTTTCCGCTTGAATGACTTGTTGCAGGTTAAAATTTTCGGATCATGTAAAAAATGACCAGTTTGAAAGAGCTCTGTGAATTTTTTTCGAGAAGCTTAGCAGTTGTAGTCTCTGTGCCACGACTTGAAATTTCACGGAACGACATTCCGTTGTTCCGCTGCGTGCGTTCGCGGAGCGTCTTTCCAATCTAGGTCACGCTTTCAATTGATTGTTATTGCTGTGGGAGCTCATGAAAGTAGAGCACCTTATTGAAAGAAAAAAAAAATTAAAAGGGCGACCAAGGTTCGCAAAGTCGCGCAGCGGCACAGCGGAATGTCGTTTGGTGAAATTCCAAGTCGTGGCACACAGGTTATACCTTTGACTTATGCCGTGTTCAAAGTAATTTCCGCGAAATGCAAAATACCCGTTAGAGAAAGGAAAAGATAACTAAATTTTGGAGAGTCAGAGATCATTTTTCATTTCGCGGAAATTACTTTGAACACGGCATTACTTTCCCAGCAAAGAATTTTCATTTTTCTTCTTTCCTCTCGCGCCAGACTAGGCACTTATCTTCAGTGCCATCCTCTAGGACCGATTCAGATCTTTCCGACGTACTTTTTATATTCCAGCCGCTGCAGAAGACGGTTGCCGACGACGGATCAGAAGAAGAAGTCCAGCCTCAGGTCCTCCCGCTCACCTTCGAACACATCCACCGCGACGGCGTCTACCTCATGGAGGCCGGCTCGACCTTCTTCGTCTACGTCGGCGCCAACTCCGACCCTTCCTTCGTCCACAACCTCTTCGGATGCGCCTATGAGCATATCAATGAGGTTTCCGAGAAATCATCTCTCATCAAATCGGAATCTTCAGCAATTCCTGCGCGAGCTCGACAACGAAATCTCGCGACGCGTCCATTCCTTCATCAAAAACGTTCAAACTCAACGCTTCTTCCTCGGCCCCTTGATTATCATCAAGTTGGTTTTTTTATTGATAAGAATCCTATTTAGGAATTTTTCGAAGCAGAGTTTGGGTAAAGGAAGAATGAGTAACTTTTGAAAAAAATTTATTTTTCATGAATTCAAAAATATATAAACTTTTAAGCCTAAAATTTTTGGACCTAGTGTTTTTTTTTTTCAAATATTATGTAAATCTTGAAATTGTCGCTGTAGGATCTCGAAAAACACAAAAAAGTAAATTTGAAGGTTTTTTTGGAGATAAGCTCAATGTCTAAGAATCATCTAAGAGTCAGAAACCGAAAGGTCTAAGAATGATCTTTATTTTTCTAGAAAAAAAACTTCTTTCTATTTTTTTTTTTGAGAGTATGAAGTTACAGATTTTATTGACAAGACTTAGATTCCTTCGAAAAAATGCATCAAAATGACAAAAAAATTTCAGTTTTATTCAAAAATTTTTTTAAATCATGAAGAAATGTTTGCTCTTAAGCAGGCAAAACTTTTTTCTGTTTCTTGGATATGCATTTCTTTAAAGAACTGGGAAGCTCATTTTAGCAATATTTTTATACTCGTTTTCAAGAGACGTTACTTTAGAAAATCATAAAGACATAGTTCAAATGATCAATCTTCGAAAACGAAAGAAATATCTGCAGAGAGCACTCCCCACTGCGCGAACAGTTCATCCGTCGACTGGTCGACGACCGATCCGAATCCACCCATTCCTACGTCGAGTTCCTCCAGCACATCAAGCGCGAAATCAGCTCTTAAGTGCTCCCTTGAATCCCCTTCTTTTTGATAGAACATTGTCTAGTCTAGAGTCGACCTTTCGTTCTTCCTAACAGTTATCATCCGACCCCCGTTCCTTCTCTTGCCTTTTTGTCTCGGTTTTCCAGAGACTTCTATCCAAATATTCAGTGGTTTTTTCCCCGTTGTTAACTACTTCCGCGGTGTTTGTTCCATAAGTCATTTCAAAGTCCCGTGTTTCATTTCATATTTTTAGTTTATTTTAAGCTTTTTTGGGGTTATTTTCCTTCTATTTCTGGTTTATTCGCTCAATAGCACCAAAGTATGTCTCTTCATGTTATTTTAGACGAGGGAATCGGCTTTTTGAACCGTGAAAATTGAATTTTTCGATCTTTTGGACTCCGAAAAAAAAAAACACATTTTTGACAAAAACCTTTAAATTTGAGCTTTTCTAAAGAATTACCAGTCTTTCGATCGCCGATTCCCTCTAATCAATCATTCAATATTTTTCAACGTCTTTGTTTCTATGGTGATATGATGCGTGAAGTACTGGTGATCGATTTTTCGATTCTTTTCATTATTTTTTGGGGAATTTGTTGCCCTTATTTATCCGATATCCCACCGAACATGGCTGAATACTTCACTGTGATTTGACTTTTTTCGAAGCTCGGTTCCACGTTTTATTCTCATTTTTTGATAGACACCATGCAATATTCGAGTCGAAAGTATTGTTTTAATGCACGCTCAATCCCGATTGTTACTATTCTTTCCTTTTCATCAGTGAATCGAGTGATATAAATGTTTTTCTCTGAAAATTATTTCTTATTTTTGAAGGCTATTGTTTGAAGGGCAAAATGGAATATCTGAAAAGTTACAGTTTGTTCAGAAAAAGTTTGAAGCTATTTAAAGGCACAGGCGAAGTCTTATAAAATTCGTTGCGGGACCTTTTTTTGTCGCGCTTTTTCAGGCTTCACCATGCGCCTTTAAAAACGCTTCAATATTTTTTTAAATATTTATATTTTATAAAAAAATTATGTAATACTAAAAAGTCATATTGGCTTGAAACTCCTTGGCTGCATTTGGAATGGCTTTAGGAATCATAAATTAAAGTTATTCAATTAAATATTTTTTTAAAAAGACGCTTCGAGCCATTCTAAATGCGACCAAAAAAAGTTTCGCGATGAAGTTTTTTTGTGATATCACTATTAATTGATTTTTTTCAACTTCAATTTTTTTGAAGAAATGTCAGCAGCGGGTGAAAAAAATCGTCCTCACCGCACAGGACGTGACTCCGGCCAGTGGTTTGTTATTTTATTTTATTTTTTTTTCCGATTTTTCTTTTTTTTTGTACAAATTTTTTTATACTTTTTTTGAGGGAGTTTCTAAGAAAGCAGAGAGTTGATCTTTTGAAACAAAAAAATCAATAAAAATTAAGCTGTTTTTTGGTTTTTATAAGGCTTATGCTTCTTCAACTCCCTTTCTTTGAAACTCTAGAAAGGTTCCCCTCTAGGGACCACCTTATTTTCCCCTATAGGGATCATTTTTGCAAGCTTTAACGCCCCTGTAGGATTTAAGTTAGTGGTCCCTCAAGGGTTTTTATTCATCAATATATTGGCGTTATTTGAGAAAAAATTATGGACAGGAAACAAAATTTTGACTTTTCAACTTTAGAACCATGACAAAAAATTCAAAAGACCTCTATAAGGACCACTTAAGCTTCAGAACCTCAAGGATCAGGCCTCGAACCCCTATAGGAACCACCTTAGTTTGACTCCCCTAGGGACCGCTATTCTGTCCCTTATAATGACTGTTTTATTCCATACCCCTCTAGGGACCACTCTGGGTTTTCTAAGTCAGTGAACAATAAGATATAGCTCTTAAAATTTTAATTTAAGGTGCCGAAAAACCCCTGAAATGGAAACAATACCTGAAACTGAAGAGAAGAAAAGACGGTCCAAAGAAAATTGGGACGAAAAAGGCGATTGGCGGCGAAAAGAAGAAGAAGAAATTGAACAAAAAAGGAAAGAAATCGGGTCTCACTGCTGCGCAAATCGAACGACATGATACTGGTAGGAGAAAATCCGTATTTCAGCGAGAAATTAAAAAAAAAAATAGGAGCCTCGAACATTGATCCGACCTCGATGCGAGGCGGAAAACTTCAAGTGAAACGGTTCGAAAAGCTCAAGGAAAAGTTCGAGAAACGCGTCGAGTTGACCGCCAAGGCTGAGAGACGGCTCAGAGAAGTGGTTCGTTTCTTCTTCGGCTTTTTTTCTAAAGTATCATTTCCTATGTATCACAGGCCGTGTCCAACAGAATGGGAAATCACTAAAACGTTAAAAGTTAATTTTAAATATTTCAGTGAATCCGGAAAATGGAGAGATTGTCAAGAAAAAGGTTCCTCAAACGTTTTTTTTAAAAAAAATATCTTCTAAGGGTCCCAAAAAGATTTGTTCAATGTAGCATCCTTTTCACATCCTTTATTAACAAGATGCTGGAAATTGAACTAGAAAGGGTTCTAGGAGGTTCAAAAAAGCTATGAAAAAAGAGCTCAAAAGGCTTTTTCCTGTCATTTTAGCAGCTTTTAGCGGGCCCTTTTCAGCTCTTTTTGAGGATCCTCGAAGAAAATTTTCCGTTTCTATATCTGGGAAAAGCTGAAGTGGGCCCTAAAGGGAGTTCGAGATTTTTTGGAGGGTCCTTTATGGGGGCACAAAAAGCTTTTTTGAATACTACCGTAGGGCTTTTTTTCTTTCCCTATAGTACCCACTCCAGCTTTTCGCAGATGGTTTTTTGAAACATAGAAATTGACCATTTTGTAGGAAATCTTATCCATCTGATCCCAAAAAATGTGAAAAATATTTTCCACGATTTTCCTAGAAATATAATTTTTTTAACTTTTTAACTTTATTTTTTTTGATTTTTTTCCATGATTTGAAAAAAAGGTTGAAGATTATATTTTAAACGAAAACTCTGAATTTGAAATCACTGAGAAAAACGGATTTTTATTTAAACTTTTCGGGAATAATTTTTTTGGAAGTTTTATAAATAAGAACAATTTTTACCAGATTTTTCCCATTTTTTTGTCATTGATTTCAAGGTCACATGATCATATTTTCCAATGATTTGAAGTTTTTTTGATAGCTGAATACAAATATTCAGAACCTATTTTAAAAAGTTCATGAAGAGAAAAAGTGCAAAAAAAGCGAAATTTTGACCGCTACGCGAGCCGCGACGCGACGCTGTCTTTTTTCATTTTTCTACTTTTTTTCTCCAGGAAGGGTTATATTGCGCCGACCGACGAGGAACCTTCATATAATCTCCGACAATCGCAAATCGCCGACGAAGTTGATTTGGCCTCGAAAGCCAAGGTTTTTTCATATTTTAAGCGAGATTTTGATCATTTTTTGCAGTTCTTCGAGCTGAAATTACCCCAATTTGGTCCTTATCACATTGATTACACGGAGAATGGACGGTTTGTTGGTTTTTTTTAAAGAGATTTTCGCAAGAATTCACTAATTTATTGAAGTTTTGAAGTTTATTTTTCTGGATTTTTTCAGAAAAATACATTTTTTGCTTCAGGCATTTACTATTGGGAGGACGACGCGGTCACGTGGCGGCCTTGGATTGGCAGACAAAGTCGCTCCATTGCGAAACCAACGTCATGGAGACGGTCAAAGATGTCAAGTTCGTCTTAAATATCTTTCATTGGAGTTTGAAAAAAAGAACACGAAATAGAGTTTTTTTGATATCAAAAAAAGTTTTACTAAGCTTCAAGAATGTTTATTTAAAAATATTTAAAAAGGTAAATTATGATAAGTTTCATTTTCTAAAATTGGAAATTTTGAAAAAAATCTATCTTGAAAAACCGAATTTTAGGAGAATTGGAATATTTTTGGGTCGAAAAAAAGAGGAAAAAAATAAATTTCTGAAGGATTCATTTGAGCTGAAAAAAAATTTTATTTTTGATGGGAGTCATAAAAAATTGTCGAAAAAGATATATGAACAAGGCGGTCGCAAAAAAATAAATTCTCGAAGGCCTGAAATGGGCGCTTTAGTAGAAGTTTTGATGGTTTTTAAAAAATTTTCGAAATGAAGATCAATTTTTTTTTTCCGAAAGGGTTACAGGAGTGAAGATTAGAAGTAGAACAATAAATTTCTTCTTTTAAACCATTTTGAACACGTTAAAGTGTGAAAGTTCAATCATGCTAGTTAGATTTATTTGATTGTTTTGATGTTTTACTTTTTTTGGAAGATTAGTTTTCGAGGCCCTTTTTTTTCCAGGTTTGTTCAAAAAAATGGAAAAAAATAAAATTAATATTTTCTGAAAACGAAAAAAACATACTAAATATTTAATTTAAAAAGAAAAAAATGGTTGACTAAAAAAATGATACAGAGCAAAAAAGCTTCATTTATTGATCTTTTGGTTATTCGGGCAAAACGGGAAAGTCTAGGACTTCCAAAAGACTCGAAAAACTTCTCAAATAAAGAAAAAGAGAAGTTCTCCAGGTACCTCCACACGGAGAACTTCATGGCGGTGGCCCAGAAGCACTACACGTACGTCTACGACAACGTCGGCACGGAACTGCACTGCTTGAAGTCGTTGTACGACATCGTCAAGCTCGAATTCCTTCCCCACCACTTTTTGCTCGTTGGAACTGTATGAAATCCTCACGAAACCTCCTTGAAATGATCATGTTCAAGGCGCGGAACTCGTTCATCTACTGGCTGGACGTCTCCGTCGGAAAGATGGTGATGAACTTCCCGACCAAATGCGGACCCCTCAATGTGATGTGCAAGAACCCGGCGAACGCCATCATTCACACAGGACAGACGGATGGAACTGTCGCCTTGTGGTTGGTTTTTTGTAGTCGGAGAGACCTTTTCAGCTTTTTTGAACTTTGAAGAGCAAATTTTTGAAAAAAATTTTGAAAAAATGGTCAATCACTACCTTTTTTTTTTTTTTAGCTGTTGCTCATTTTTTTCAAAAAAAGGGTTTTGCTTGGAAAAAAATTATCAGGGGAAATATTTCGAAAAAAAGAAAAAAATCTGAGAAAAAAATCCAAAAAAAGCAAATATTTTTTTTAGAAAAAAATGACCCAAAAAAAGAGCCGAAAATGTAGAATTTTTTTGAAAAAAATGTTCCCAGCGTTTTTGCTGTATTGATTTTTTTATTTGTGGAAAAAAATACTAATTTAACGAAAAAAATTTAGAATCTTATTTTTGAATCCAATTTATGCTGATAAGAAAAAGCTTCAGGAAGTTTTTTTCAATTTAAAAATTTTGATCTTTCAATTTTTCAAGCCACGCTGAATTCGGGAGCACTTGTGGTTCACAGGCAAAATTTGACACAAATGATACAATTTTGAAGTTTTTTTGAAGGAAATAGCTTAAAATAAGAAAGTTCTTACATTTTCCATAAAATTTTGCAACACCTCTTTTTTCCACTATTTCATATTTTGTGACCTTTTTTCTATTTCATTGAATCTATCTTCAAAGCTCAAAAAAATTTTTCTACTAAGAAAATATTTGCATTTTAAAAAGCAGCCTCTTCAAGGTCCCCGAACGCCAAAGAACCCTTGGTGAAGATGTTGGCGCATAAAAGTGCCATCAAAGGAATTGCGGTAGATGAACAGGGCAAGTACATGATCACGACGGGGCTCGACAAGAAGTGCAGGTTTTCATGGCTTCTTCGCTTCTCTGAAAGAAGATGTGGCACTTCAGAGTGTGGGACGTGAGGATGTACCGACAACTGCACGCCTACGCGATGCCGTTCGGCGTCGCCGATGTCGCGATATCGCAGAAAAACACGATCGCCTGCTCTGTTGGAAATTATGTTCAGGTAAGGGGGATCTGCTCGAAAATTCATGATTTAGACGCCTCGTGATCTTTTGAAAATTATTAAAAGGACGGTTTGAAAAAGAATGTCTTTTGTGCTGCAAAATTGATGCTTTTTACGTCAGCTAAATCACATCTTTTCAAAAAATCCAAAGACCGGGAATCGTCTTTTCTAGTGATTTCATTTGTACAGCATGCGCGAATTTCCTGACTTTATTTTGAATTCCTGCCTGATATTTTTATCCTTTTCTTGAAAAAATTAGAAAGTTTAGCATATTGATACTCTAGAAATCTTGGTATGATATTTATCATGGATTATACAGGCCAATTTCCCAGAAATTCCCAAGCAAACAGTGAAATTGCCCTCTTTGTGAAGGTTCACCCTGAAAAGTTTGAATAGGTTTCATAAACTGGAGAATGAACAAATTTTGCTAGGTGTTCAAAGACACGACGACGGGCCACTGCAAGGAGCCGTTCTTGGTCCACAACTGCGGCGGCGCGGTCACGGACCTCAAGTTCGTCCCCTGGGAAGACGTCCTCGGCGTCGGCCACGAGAACGGCTTCACCAGCATGCTCGTTCCGGGTTCGAGCGTCTTCAAAGAGACTGAAAACGTGGTAAACGGCCTTCAGGCTCCGGAGAAGCCAACGTCGACATGCTCCGGTCGAACCCCTACGAAACCAAGTCGCAGCGTCGCGAGCGCGAAGTCAAGCAGCTCCTCGACAAGGCGAGTTTCTTTTTCGTGATGAGTCAGAGATTCGTGGAGATTCGTTCCGCGAAAATATTAATCCGAGTTCATTTTTCTCTTGACTTTTCAAAAATATACTCTGGCTTCCTTTCAGTTTTTTTCCAATATTTAAGTGTAAAATAATCATTCGGTGAATAAAAAGTACAAAAATGTCATTTGAAACTTCGGGACGCGCCGTAACGCAACAGGTTGTGTGCCTGTCTACGGTCCACAGGGTCACAAGTTCGATCCCCGCCTCGACCCAACCAAGGGGTTTGAGAAATGTTGGTAGTGGGAAGCCACGGCTTCATAATCCTCAGCCGTCATACACAAGGACGGATATGTCACTAGAGCCAGTCCACTGATAAAGAAATATCGGACCTCGGCTAATCGACTTGGGGCGCCGACGCCGCTCAAGCGGTACAAAGGCGTAGGAAAAAGAAGAAGAACGTCAACTTCAAAACTTTTATTCAATCTTCAGAGAAGATTCCTCTGCTGAATCATGGCATAATTGAAGAGTTTGACGATTCCCGAAAATGTCGTTGATCTGGAACGGCGCGTAGAGCATCTCCCTTTTCTTGTGCTAGTAGTAGACGACTTTCGAGCGCTCCGGCGATCACTGCTTCTCCATGTAGAAACAGTACGTCGCCCAGCTTGTCCAGGGCTAGAGAACGTCGGATTAAATCTCAGACGAGAGCGGAAATGAAGACCGACCACTCGGGTGGTAGAAATGAGATAATTGAGTGTTTCAAAAAAAAAAAAAAAATGACGCTAAAATCCAAAAAATCGTGTTTATTTGAGACTGAGGAATTCGGCGTTCCGCAAAAAAAATTATTATCACGAATTCTCCATTTAAAAACTTCAGTTCTGCCAATCTTTTATGTGATCCCTATCAATTTCACTTGGGTCTAAAGCTTAAAAAATAATATAAGGCAATTTCAAATCAACCGACTCTTAGAGGAATAGATGAAAGAAACTCGTTAAGATTTTCTCGTTTCCTGAAATTTTATTCGAAATTTTAATTTGATTATATGATAAAACAATCGCTTGAAAAATCGTTGAAAGTTTTGCCGTAGTTGGCAAAAAACGACGTGAAAGTGTGTTCCACGCGTCTTGCCTCTCAAAAAAAATCTTGGATACTGGGACCTCCATTTTAGTTTCATTTTTTCAGCTCCAACCGGAACTCATTTGCCTCGATCCCAACGACATCAACAGGGTCAATGAAGGTTGGCTGAAGTCTTGAGAGCTTTAAATCGAAAAACTCTGATTTTCAGACCTTTTGGAGCAGGAAATGGAGGAACGGAAGAAGATTCTGTACGTTCGACCTGTAGAAGTCCAGTACACGCCGAAGCACAAGATGCGCGGACGAGGCGTTGGAACTCATAAGGTAAAAATGTTGAAATATTGAGAGAAAACGATTCATATCCATATACATTGGTTACCTTTTCCGCCGTCCAACTTTTCCTTGATTTAATTATTATTTATCTGCCTGAGGTTAAAACTAGGTTTTAAAGGGACCAACACTACTTACCTGAACTTTAAAACCGTTTTTACTCATTATTTCGGTAAATTTTCGTAAGTGGACCCCTTCTCCTAGACTAATTAGGCTCCTATGAAGAGAATAATGATTAATAAGAAATGAAACAGGTAAAATGGTGGATAATGGCCGCTAAAAGGGAGAGACTCAAAAAAGGCCGCAAAAAGGCAGCAAAGAAACTCTCTTTATCGAATCTTCCATTTTTCTGGGATTTTAAAGTGTCAAGAAATGATGAAGAAAGGCAGCAAAAATGGTGCAGAAGGGCTGTGAAAAGGCGCAAAAAGGCAGCAAAAAGGGAGGCTTCATCACCCTAAAAGGAACATTTATATGGAACCTTTATGGACCCTCGGAGGGTCCTTCCGACTTTGCCTATGAAGAGCCCACCGTGGGTCCATGAGGGCTGCTGGAAGGCTCCATAGAAATTTTCCTTTTAGAGTGACGAAGGCTCCTTTTTTGCTGCCTTTTTAACGGCATTTATGCACCCTTTTTGCTGCCTCTCCCTTTTTCCACTACCCTCGAGCCTCGTGCTATGAAAGTCTTTCAGAAACTTTCTCGGGATTTCTTTTCGAATCATCAATTAGTCAATAATTTATGTTGTTTTTTCATAGATGTGAGCGGCTAGGCTGGTGAAAAAAAAAACTTTTGAAGTTATAACGAACAACCCCTTTGGCGAACTAAAAGGTCTAGCGTGTAGTCGAAAGAGTTGAAAGCATGGTCTCACGGTCGTCTGCCTCGTTCTTCTGCGCGTAGTCCATCCAAGAGCGCCTTGACGAGCTCAGAATGTAGCGGATCTTGTAGCTGGAGCCCGGAGACTTAGGTGGAAGCCTCGAAATGAGAGCAGTCACTTCGAGTGGCAATTTTAGACGGAATTTCATTCTTCAAAACGGATATTTAGGAGTCGAGGAAACAGGTTGTGAAGGAGAAGATCCGCGTGGAGCACAACAAGGAGAAGGAGCAACTGGAACGGGAGCTGTCGTTGCGCGGAAAGAAGGAAACGGAAGATGATCGTCCGAAACACGTCCTCGACCGCTTCAGGAAGAAGAACTGATCATTTTGTCGTTGATTTCTCGAATTTGTTTCAACCCAATATCGTTTTTTTTTTTCGCTCTTTTTTCAGCTCTTGCTTGAACTTTTTATGAATCTTGACTGAAGTACCTCTCTTTCTAGGAAAAAGAAAAATCGACAGAGCTTTTTCGAGTAATTTCCCTTCAAAAACCACGCCTTTTTTCATTATTTCGTGTAGCTTTCGCGCTGTGGAGCGTCATTAATCGAAAACTATATCTATTTTTTTTCTATGTCTCTAATTTTTATTTTTCAAGTAGTAAGCACTCAGAGTTTCAACAATTTTCGAGTTTTTGGTTTCCTCTAACTCTGGAAATCCCTTTCTCAAAACTGATTTTTTGTAAGTTGAGACTCCCAGGGTTTTCATTACAAATTCAGGCAGTGATTACCTGATTTGAAAAACTTCGGTTTTTTTCAATTTTTTTTGTCAAAGATATATATTTATGTCAATCACCTGTTTAAATTCTATTAATAACGAACGGTGAATTTGAAATTTGATGATAAATCTAGAGTGCATCCTCTGTCTCGAAGGAATCTCTCTTTATTGAAAAAAACTCTTTTTTTTCCAATTACTTCCTTTTTCCCCGAAATTTCATTTTCTCCTGTTTTCACCGGGTTTCATTTTTCTTGTTTTCTGTTATTCCAATTGTTATCATCTGTTGTTGATCATCGAGTTTGTTGAGTTTGCATTGAAAGCTGAAAAGATATAAAAATGCCGTTTCATGCAGAATAACTTTTTGTTGCAAAAAAAACTGCATTTAATCCGAGGCTTCTAGAAATTAATTCCTACATTCTTTTATTTTCAAGAAGTTTTTGTCAGACTCTTTTCGAGAAGATGGAAAAGAGAAGATCGACCATTTTTATTTTTTTTTATTGCCAAAATGAAATACAATACTTGAAGAAAAAGAAGCGATAAAATGATTCTTTTTTCTCTGTTATAAAAGAAGCTTTCTTCCTGAAAAACGACATTAATGTCGCCCATTTTCTTGCTTCTTTTGGCCTTTCCAGCGGCTTTTTGTGCAAAGACAACTACCGTGTCGCCTCGTTAGTTCATCTTTTCCTGCCAAAAAACCTCCCAAATATTGATTCCAGCTACATGTCCCGATAACACTTGGAAACTTTTCTCAAGGACGGAAAATCGTTTCTGGTGCATCAAGGTCAGTTTGAAATGAACATTTTCCAGCTCACAATGAAGGTCATTCCACTTTGCGGTTGGGCGTCTCCGGAATATATATTTTTGATCGGCCAGATGAAGAACTTGAATGCAAAACTTCTTTGTTGCTGAGAAAGTTAAATTCAACCGCCAGCAACTATTTGGAAAGCTGTTTTTTTTATCGCTCTTCTCATTTCTTTTTGAATTATATATTCATATTTTGTTTCATGTGAGTGTTAAAAAATTGTAGAACAGATACAAAAAGAGCGGTGAACGAGCTTTTCAAATAGTCGGTGGCGCTTGCAGTGAACTCGTGCTAAGGTCGGGATAAGTTGACTTTAACATTTCTCATCTTGCGACGACAATCTGACCTGCTGTCGGCCTCTTTTCCCTCTCCGATGATGTTTTGAAACAACATTAACGCGAAAACTGAGAGAAGAGAGTGTGCAGACAAATCAGCATGCATCAAGTCATGGCAAATGAAAATAAACTTTTTTTCAGTACTTTGATGGAAATGTCAACAGATACGATGCTCAATCTGCCTGTGAAAAGATAGGAGCGACTTTGACTGGATTCGAAAATCAAGAGGAATTCGAGTTCCTTCGCGGTAATGAAGGCCTAACTTCACTTTTCACTACACCCCCGAATTCTTTTCATATTATGAAAAAAATCTCTTCAATGCATATAGTATGTTCAGATTTTGAATGTCAAGTCGTCACTCAAGCTCCGCCCCTAATTTGCGATAAACGAATCAGAGAGTGAGCCATTCACAGAGTGTTTTTCAATGACGTCATTTTACTTGACATTAAAAAACTGAACAGTCTATATCGATGCCGTGTTCAAATTGATCGCGCAAAATTAAAAAGATCCGTCAGAGAGTGAAAAAGATAACTAAGTTAGAAACAGAAATAGTTTTGAATTTTGCACACCCTACCTCCATCACGGCATAAATATATATATATGGGTTTTCATGGACCATCTTCCCATCTCGTCAAAATTGGAAGTTTTCAAGAGTCAAGATCCATCAAGAAATTTCTTCAAAAATTTTTTTTAACTCAAAAAGTAACATTTGACTCACCAGAAAGGTAAAAAGATCCCAATTTGTATAAAATACCTCGTTTGTAGTGAACCAGCATATGATTAAAAGTTCTAATCAAAAAGATGATTTCTCAAAACGACTTTTGGAAACAATTTTCAGACACTGCGGCTCGCGAAATCTTGAAGTTCGGACTCAAATACGGAGGAGCTTACTGGATCGACGGCGTCCGAACTCCTCAATGCCACGGCTACCGCAACATCAACTGCACTGCAGTGGAAGTAAATATCAAACAGATCGGGTCCATACCATGGACCCAAATCCATGAAAAAAGGGCTGCAAAAACGGCATTTTGCCAAGCATAAATGTCAGTCATTCGTTGCGCTTCATTGATAACTGCGGCTTAGGCGCAGGCGTGGCCTGCGCCCTATTTAGGGACAGGCGAGCAGAAATGCATTTCGTTTTAAATTGGGCGCAGGCCGGCTCGACAGTCTCTACAGTTTGTTCAGATTTTGAATGGCAAGTCGTCGCTTAAGCTCCGCCCCTTTTAGAGTGGTAAACCAATCAGAGATCGAGTCATCCACAGAGCATTTTCGAGTGACGTCATTTTCGAGTGACACGCGGACCCAGTGGCGTTAAAGTTTCTGGATTTACAGAAAAAATTTAGTGCGCGCTACGGATAAAATTACGTCACAATTACACTGAATATTCAACGTTAATAATTTGTTTGTTCGATCGCCTTCGGCTAAAGTACTGTAGATTTCAAATTTCGCGCCAATGTTTTTTTGACGTCTTGCCACCCCGTTTGGGAACGCCGTGCGCTCAGCAAGTAGCAACGCGGACCCAGTGCTTCAAGACTTTTCTACGCGCATCTCCGCTCCGGCCGGAGACACATTTTTTTCCATTTTCAGTTAAAATCAAGATTTTAGTCGTTCACCTGGTCAAACGACTACACCAAAGGGACGTTCGCTTTCACAAAGTTCGATAATTGGGAACCTAACAACAGCCAGGCGCAGTAAGATTTCATTTTTCTTGAGATAATTTTTGATCCAATTCTAGCGGTGAAGACGAAAACTGCCTACAGGGACTGATTTACTTAGAATATCCATCGATTAACGGAGTCCTCAATGATTTCGCGTGAGTTTTCCAATGACTTTTGTTCATCTCAACGCAGTTGAAGCTGTTCGAGAGCCGTTGTGAACTACCCCTTGTTTGAAACATCGACAACGCGCGGATACTTCTGCGGACAGATGGCCACGGTACCTCAAAGTCACTCGGAAGAAGAGAAAGATTGTGAGTCTTTCTTGAAAAAATGATCTTCAAAATTGAGTTATCAGGCTCTTCGGAAGAGAGAGGAAGACATCGTCATCATTCTTCCGAAGAGAAGAGAAGACATCGTCATCATTCCTCCAAAGAGAAAAGAAGACCTGGTCTTCATTCTTCTGAAGAGAGAAGAAGACCTGGACATCATTCTTCTGAAGAGAAAAGAAGACCCGGATATCATTCTTCTAAATTAATAAAACGACCTCCAACTGCTGAGGAAATCAGAGCTCGTTCTTGAGGAAAAAAAGAATGGAGAAACTCTCGACCTGTTGTGCAGCCACCAGAAATAAAGTCTTTCGTTTCAATTCACGGATATAATCGAAAGACGATGCTGCCCCATGTCGCTCTGATGACGCGCCTGAATTCTTTCGCCGCGAGACCTCTTGTCGCGATCTTGCGCCAAAGTTCTCGTAATATCGCGGTTTACTTGCTCGTATATTTGGATGCCCAGTTGTCGACCGGCGATTTTGTCCGTGCCGGGCAAACTCTTTCCGAAGACTGATGTTCTGTGCGGATTGAGACCAATGTCCTCCAGAAGAGTTGAGTGTCTTGAACGAGTCACTGCCCTTTGTTGCGGGACTGCCTATGGATCTTTTCACGCCTCTTGGGTATAGTCGAAGTGCCACAAGTTGAAATTTCATGGAACGACACTCCACTGTTTCGATTTGTGCGGTAGCGCGCATCGTGCGAATTTGCCAACCTCGGCCACGCTAATTTTTTTGGCTTTAATTCTAATTTTGATCGTTTTTTTATTTTTTTGTTTCTTTGAAATGTGTAATTATCGTTGAAAAGGATTGCGTTGTACAAATGTAAACGAAAGAACACGTAGTAAATTTCATGATCTTCCTCGAAAAAAGCGATAAAAAAAGTGTGTTTTTGTTTAAGCCATGTTTTAATGTTTTCATCGTTTTTTTCTGTTTGTTGCAATGGTTAATGGTTTTTTTCAGAAAGTGAGTGGCTTATGAAATGAAGACGTGTACGCACTATGAAATAGAGAGATCGACTTTAGTCAATATCAGGTTTTTCACTGCTTATTTATCCCCTGTTTGAATTATTGGCATTCCGAAAAACTTTATTCATCCATTGCACTGCCAAAAAGTTCATAAAACTAAAAAATTATCGACGAAAATGTATTTGAAAACGGCAAATTATAAAATGGGAAAGCGTGACCGAGATCCGCAAAGGGATTAATTCTTCACGGCTACAAGGCCACCGAGCGGAGTGTCGTTCCATGAAATTTCAACTCGTGGCACATCGACTATACCATGCCGTAGTTCTTGATCGTCACGTCTTCTCACAACGTGTGCTGTCCATCTTATTTTTGCTTTGCGGAGGTGTTACTGTAAAACAAATCACAAGGTTTTCTCCGTTCTCTGGGGTACGAAGACGTTCCCATCATCCTGTTGGTTACATGAATTTTGAAAAAATAAATTTTTCCTATTGCAAAAATCGCTTTTCAAAAATTTAGAAGCTCATGAATGAATCATTGTCTTCAGAAATTTTATGGATTATGATGAAGTTGTAGTCTCCCTCTCAGGCAATTCTCAACATTTTTTTCTTCAAATTTATGTCCAACTATGAAAAGAACTTCATGCTGTAAAAAAAAATATTTCTGACACCTTTTTTTTTAAATCGAGGCAAATATACAGTGTTCCAAAGCGGCGTTTGCATTTAAATATGATATACTAGCTATGCATCCCTAATCGTCTTCATATAACGGCGTTTTTTCGACGACTTCACGCCCTATTTTTCTCCGCAAAGTTTTGCGTGTCGTGTGCATGCACTGCGCCGCTTTCGCGCAGATTGTTTTCGTGTAGAAAAATTTCGGTTTGTCTCAAAGATCTCTGTCAATACGGCGGCCTGCACCTTTAATATGCCCTGTTTTTTAAGCTCTTCGAAATCTCTGCCGTTCCCATGACGTCACTAGGGATCGGCGAATAGTTTGGCTCCGCCCACCGTGATTCGGTTTGGCATTTTCTTCCTTTAACGAAAACGCCGTGAATGGAAAGCCATTCAAATATGGAATTGATGCGTCTTTTAGATTCAGGGGGTGGTGTCATGAAAATAAATTAATGAAGTCTCAGATTCGAAAAAAGTTTTTTGTTTCAAAGATTTTCTGAATATGAGACTCCAAATATAGCTATTCATTGAATAGCGTGAACCTCAACAAGTTCACTTGGATCTCGAATTTAAGCGTATTGATTATACAACTATACATCATTTGAATATTGGAGTATAATCAATGTTTCCCGACTTGAAAGGCGAGGGAGGAGGGGCAGGGGGCGGGACGCGTAGCGTGTGCGTTCGCGGTTCTTGGCACATGTTCAATTCAACCGCCACCTACTCTTTGAAAAACCCGTTTTTCGCTCTTTTCATTCCTTTTTCAATTATTTATTGATTATGTTCATGTGTTCATCAAAAAATAGTAAAAACATTGAAAAAGAGCGGTTGCCGAGCTTTTTAAATAGTCGAAGGCAATTGAATTGAACTCGTGCCAAGAACCGCGAACGCACACGCTACGCGTCCCGCCCCTTGCCCCGCCTCCTTCGCCTTTCAAGGTGGGAAACATTGACTATAATAGATAAGAAGATCTCGTGTGATGCTAGATTAACCCGTAAATTTTGGCTTGGAGTGGTGGCTGATTTGAAATATGGGGATGAGTCTTTATTATTGCAGAGCGTGGAATTGTGCAGGAAATTTCTCAGAAAGATCTTCACAGCAAAGAACAAAGTCCTTTCTTGTCATACATTTTAACTGCTAATATTCCTATTAAATTGGTGTTTTAATCGCCACACAAAATTTTGATATGTCTCAAATGAGAAAAAAAATTGCGAAAAAGAAGAAGCGTTAAATTTTATCTTTTTTTGTATCAATAAAAGAGAATTTCTTCTGCGAAGATCCATTAATGTTACTCGCGTTTTCCCTTCTTCTGGGCCTACCAACGGCCCTCGTGGCTCATCATTCTCGTGAGTTTTTTTTAGTAGTTGCTTGCACGCGCAACGGTAGCGAAGCGGCATTTTCGAGAGAAAATCATCGTTCGTTCGATAGCACGTCAACATGAGAGGGTCACCGAGAGACGAGGGGGGCGCAGAGTAGTCCCGCATTTTCAAGTCGCGATAAAACGGCTACAATTGACAATTTTTCTTTGCTGGCTCAAATTTGAACTTTCAGAGATATCCAGGAGCTAGGTTGAAACGACAGTATTTGAAAACAGGTTATGTGTCAAAATGACGCTAAAGTTGGACCGTTACGCGACCGCTTTGCGTCTCAGTGCAAATAACTAACAAATTTCATAAAATCGAAGTAATATGAAATAAAAGGAACCAGGAAAATTATTGTTTGTTATAATAGGTGTTTTCTGTGCTGTGAGCCCTTACTTCTAGTAAGCTAGGGAGTTGGGCATGTTGAGGCGTTCAGGACCTTTCTGGTACACCAAGAAGATTTCTGCCCATTTTAAAGGAAATTTTTAATCCCAAAGCAATATCACTTTTGTTTTGACACACTTCTTTTCAAAACAAAGTCAAAAAAAAAACGAAATGTACTGAAAACAAAATTTGGAATGCAGATAGATGTCCTGACACGACTTGGACGTTGTTCGAGCGAACGGGAGGCCGTTTTGTTTGCATCAAGGTTCGTTTCGAATAAGACATGAACTCTCAATTCAAAAATTGTTTTTTTATGATGATCGAACTAGGTTCTACAAACGATTCGAAAAATTAAAAATTAAATATTTTCTAAAAACGTTACCAGTCAGTTATCATTACACGCGACTGTGCTATCAACGGTGTTTGAAAATGTAATTAAATTGAATTTCTCTCTCGAACAGGAAGAAAAACCTTGAAGAACTCTACGATCCGATTTCAGTTCTTTGACGGAAATGTGAACAGACCAGACGCTGAACGAGGCTGCAACTATCAAGGAGCTTCATTGATTGGATTCGAGAACGAGCAGGAATTCGAATTTATCCGAGGCATATTATGAGCTTTCTAGCAAACAATTCCTCTGGTCTAGTTTAACGAATTGAGTTTGAAACGTAAAAACTTATGAAAATCGGTCACGCTTCATTTTAATTTTCCATTCACAATAATTTTCATTCCGGCTTTTCGAGCATTCAAAATTCAAACACCAATGAGAAAAAAAAGTTTTCTGAAAGTTGAGAGCTGAGAACTTTCGATATAAAATTTTTTGAGGAGTTCTAATTCAAACTCAAAAGGGTCATTCCTGATTTCTCGCTTGAGAAACTTTCTCAGGCACAAGCAAATTCTTCAGGCAACAAAAATTAGTTTCCAGTTCGAGCAACCTATACTCGTAAAAAGTTACTTTATATTTTTAAGGTAGCGCTTGGAAAAGTTTTAGCAAGTACCATCTACCCAAAGGAGGAGCTTATTGGATCGACGGGATGCGAACTCCGGGATGTCACAAACCTGCAAATGGCGGTTGCAGCTTTTCTCAAGTATTTTCTGGAAGCCTCGCTAGACCCTTCATTAATAAAAGCTTAGATTTTTGGCTGGACTAATGGTTTGACGAAAGGGACTTTTGCCTTTTCAAAATGGGCGACCGAAAAATGGGGAGAGCCGAACAACGTTGAATACCGGTGTGTCTCTCTGAACTAGCCTAACAAGGAGTGTCATTTTACTTTGAGGCCAGGAACTATACGAAAACTGGCCAGAGTGCTCTTTGATGCGCGAAATCCAAAAAATATCACCTGGAAAATTTTCTAGTTTTTGAGAAAACAAACTTCAAAATTAAATAAAACCTCGAAACCTCCCTGGCTTTTCATTTACATTTTCTCTTTTGTTCCTGAACAATCGGCGGACGTGTTCAGCAGGCGTGGCTTCATGCAATGGTGGCGCGGTTCATTGAAATATGCATGCGGTAACGAAAGCCGATGATTGTGGCTTTACTGGTTGTGAAAAGAGCCTCAAATAATGTTGTTTTAAGGCTCTTACAAATTTTAGAAGGTCTCTGATGCCTTTTTAACTCACATTGAAGCTTTTAAAAGAAAAAAAAGAATGAAATAACTCTTGCAAAAGAATTTAAAAGTCAAACTTCGTTTTTACATCGAAAAGTATTTTAGTCAACTTTTTGGAAAATTCTCATCCGTAGAGTAATATGACCTCACTTGTAAGAGTGAATTTTCGATTTCAGCGGAGAGGAGGAAAACTGTCTGCAGGGAATCTTGTTCTACGAATGGCCGCAGTTCAACGGATTGCTTAACGATTACCCGTTCGTTGCTCGATTTTAAATTCTTCTCACTTTTATTCATATATAAGATGTTCGCTCAAAGACTCAACGAGAGGTGATTTACCTATGTATACCATATACGGTTATGTCTGCGGACAATTTGCACAGCCGATCACCCCACCTACGCAACCTCCAACTACAACTGTTCCAAAAGACGAAGATTGTGAGTTGATAATTTTATCATCTTTTCGAAAGAATATCTTCCAGGTTCATCGGAAGAAGACAGCCGTGGACGGGATCGCTCCCAAAGACGCCGTTTATAATTTATTGAGAAAATTAAAAAAAAAATTTTCAGGCTCATCGAGAGGAAGAGATAGTCATCATTCTTCTGAAGCGCGAAGAAGACCTCGTCATCATTCTTCTGAAGAGAGGAGAAGACCTCGTCATGATTCTTCTAGAGAGAAAAAACGACATCCCACTCCTGAGGAAATCAAAGCTCGTTCTTGAGGAAAGAAAAAGTGGAGAAACCCTAACCTGTTATCCAGCCACCAGAAATGAAGTTTTTTTTTGTTTCTATGTTCCGTAAACATCGGAAAACACTACTGCCGCCATGTTGCTCTGATGTCGCGCCAGAAGCTTGCCACAGCGCGGCGAGATCTATTGTCGCGATCTAGTGCCAACTTTCTCGCCGTATCGCGGTTTACCGGCGTCAACGAGGTAACCTCCGTAAATGACCGAAAATGATAAGAATCTCATAATTTGGCTACACAAATTTATCTGTGAGTTACTGAAAAACAAAAAAGTGACAAAATGACACATGAAAAAATTAAAAGAAGCTTTTCTCTTCAGAAGAATGATGACTATTTCTTTGTCTCGAATACCCTGAAGATTTGATTTCGAAAACTGTGGTTAATGATTTCTTTGTTACTCACATTCCTCGGTGAGACTCTCGGATTTAAATGTCCTGTTTTTAGACCTCGTAGTTAAAGGCATAGGGGCAGTAAAAAACGGTGTTTCAGTTCAAAGCAGTACTTTGTAGAGCTTTTCATTGCGAATCGAACGGTAAACTTGAAAACGTACCGAATTTCTTAATTTCGGAGAAAAAATAATTCAAAGTCGGAGAAAGGAAATCTTGAGTTCCCGCGAAAAGGGCGCTTTGCAGTAAAGTTGCTCTATGGACAACAGGCTTCGCCATCTTCCGGATTTTCGCTTTTTTCTTCGTTTCTTTCAAATTTCAATTTTTTCTGTTAACACCAAAGTTCTTTTCGTCACAAAAACTTTCTATTCATGTATAATTTGCAAACTTTGATCTCAAAAATGCTTCTTTGGTGAAAAATGATGATTTCACACAGGTTTCGATTGGGATAGCGATATTTTTGTGTTTTTCTTTATTATCAATGTGTGTTTTTTGTTTGATTAAATGTTTTTTCAGAGAAGAAACCTTTAATTTGAAGCAGATATCCGGTTATTTCTCACAAAATGCGAGTCTAATGAGACGTCCGCAACATCGCGTGTACGGCTACTGTAATCAGTTGTCTGAGCACCGATCAAAAAGCTTTTTCAAAAAAATAAAAAGCGGAAAAAGTAAAAATCGCGTTTTTTTCTTCTAAAGTTGTCACATCTTTAATTTTTTTGAGTACACCATTCGATTCGCAAAGAAAAAAACTATATAAGTTACTGCTTTCACCTGAAACCCCATTTTTTACTGCCCCTATGCCTTTAAGCGAAAAGGACGCAAAAAAGTCGGGCGGCTGTTCAAAAAGTCAAGCCCTTTGGAAATCTGCGAAATGGCTACAAACATTTTTTTTCGGTTTTAATGGCCGAAATAAATTTAAATGTTCTGAAAAAACAAAAAAATGAGAAACGATAATTTTTTATCTTTTCGCGTTTCAATAAAAAGAGAAATCTTTCTGCAAAGATCCATTGATGTTACTCGCATTTTTCCTTCTCCTGAGCCTACCAACGGCCCTCGCGGCTCACAAATCTCGTGAGTTTCTTTTTGATTGCGAAATCCAATATTCAGAAAAAGGTCGCGAAGCGGCATTTTGGAAAAAAAAATGTATACATAGTTTTTTTTTTGCGTCATCTGTAGAGCGCAATATCACGGCTTTTTTGGTAGAGAGAGAAGATGTGAAACCAAAAATGAGGGGGACGGAGCGAAAACTCCGCAGAAATTGCTTTGAACGCTGCATTTGCGAGAGCGCCAAAGTGCATGCACACAATACACTACACTTTACGGAAAAAGGGCGTCGTCAAGAAAACGCCGTGACATGTACTGCTGAACAGTTTTGCTAACAGCTCACGAAAATTTGCATACAGCTGACATTTTCTTCAGCTAACTTTCCTTAGCTGGATTTTCACAGCTCTTCTGACATACACATATTTTTTCACATCGAAGTTATGAAAAACGAAAAAAACAAAAGCATTTCCAGATAGATGTCCCGACAACTCTTGGAAGATGTTTGCGCGTACAGGGGGCCGTTTTTGGTGTATAAAAGTATGTTTGAATTGGAAAGAGAACGAAACTTGGAGAAGATTCAAACTCGCTTTTTTTAATAAATGATTTAGCTAGTAGGAACGCCTCAAAACGTTTTTCGCAACGGAAAAAGCGTCAATTTTGATGGCGTGAAGAAGCAGGGCTTTGTGCTCCTTATTTTTAAGGTCTCTAACGTTTTTCACAGACAGATGGTGAAAAATGTGAATCAAACGGAGTAAAAAGATATGTCAACTGAAAGTTTTTCGAAAATTCGCTCAATTTCTTTGAACTTTAATTAGGTTTTCTGCTTCAAACTTTCTCGGAAGCTTCATTTTTCACCCAACTGATTTTAGTACAATGATGGGCGGCTCACCAGAGACGATGCCGAGAAGGCTTGCCAAGCACAAGGAGGAACTTTGACTGGATTCGAGAACGAGGAAGAATTTGCCTACATTCGAGGTAAAATTGTTTCAATCGTATAGTCGATTCTTCGCGACTCGAAAGGCAGTATGGGTGATTGACAAGATTAAAATGTTGCGTACGAGATGCAGCTTTTTGGCGGGGATTTCAGATTAAAACGCGAGACACTTTTTTCTGTATTCTATTCAGACAGTTCTTCAATAGTTTTCAACTTTTTATAGTCAGTTTTTCCCGACTTGAAAGGCGAGTGAGGCGGGGCAGCGGGTGGGAGGCGTAGCGTGTGCGTACGCGGTTCTTGGCACGAGTTCAATTCAACCGCCAGCGACTATTTGGAGAGCTCGTTTATTGCTCTTTTCATTCCTTTTTCAATTATTTATTGATTATTTTCCTTAGCCCATCAAAAAGTAGTAGGAAATATAGAAAAAGAGCGGTTACCAAGCTTTTTGAATAGTCGGTGGCGATTGAATTGAACTCGTGTCAAGAACCGCGTACGTACACGCTACGGGTCCCGCCCATTGCCCCGCCTCCTTCGCCTTTCAAGTCGGGAAAAATTGACTATCCTTTCTTGGGCAGGAAAATAACTTTTCTAGTTGCGTCAAAGTTTGTGAGAACATAGTGAAAGACGGGTGAAACAAGAAAAATTAGCTTTGAGATGTACTTTGTGAAGTTTTTCAGAGTAGCGGATTTTTCAAAAATTATTTGGCTTTTGGGCGTTTTTTGCGGATCCCGTTTTTTGACTATGTTTTGAAATCTCGTTCAGTTCGAAAGGTTTCTTGTTTTCAGTAACGTTTATCGGGCCATATCATATATTCATGTGAAGTTTCAAAGCAATCGAAATTGATTGAAAAAGTTAAAGTGTGATACGGCTTTTTTTTTCATTTATCAGAGTTTTTTCTCAAACGACCAGCTTTTTTTCAAATTTCAGACACGGCATTCGAAGCGTTCAAAAAGTTCAACCTGTCAGATGGAGGATCCTACTGGCTTGACGGCATCCGGAGCCCCAACTGCCACAGATACAACAACAACGGTTGCACTCGTTTGAATGTCCATATCCAAGCTTCGTTTTCCAACAAAAAATTGAGAAATCTCAGGCCTTCCAATGGTCCAACAACCTCACCCAAGGAACATTCGCGTTCACAAAATGGTATGCCACCGAGCCGAACAATAGTCCTGATTAGTGAGTTTATTTCGAGCCCAGCTATTTTAACCTTAATTTTTCGTGGCGGAGAAGAAAACTGCGTTGAAGGCACTCTCGTTTACAATCTCCCAGACCTTCTCGGATACATTGGCGACTTTTCGTGAGCTTCTCAATAACATTACTATTTCAAGCTCTGTGTTTTCAGATGCTCTCTGATAGACGTACGAGTCGGCCTGAGCCCAGTTGCCTCAATATACGGATACTTCTGTGGAGCATCCGGAAAAATCGGTAGCAAAAATGATGATGAAGATTGTGAGTTGATAATTAGATCATTTTTTCGAAAGAATATCTTCCAGGTTCTTCGGAAGAGGACAGCCGTGGACGGAATCGCTCCCGAGGACGCCGTTTATAATTTATTGAAAACAGATTTCGAAAAAAAAATTTCAGGCTCATCGAGGGGAAGAGATAATCATCATTCTTCTGAAGCGCGAAGAAGACCTCGTCATCATTCTTCTGAAGAGAGGAGAAGACCTCGTCATGATTCTTCTAGAGAGAAAAAACGACATCCCACTCCTGAGGAAATCAAAGCACGTTCTTGAGGAAAGAAAAAGTGGAGAAACCCTAACCTGTTGTCCAGCCACCAAAGATGAAGTCTTTTTGTTTCTATGTTCCGTAAACATCGAAAAACGATACTTGCGCCGTGTCGCTCTGATGTTGCTTGCCACAGCGCGGCAAGATCTCTTGTCGCGATCTAGCGCCAACTTTCTCGCCGTATCGCGGTTTATCTTGTTTCAACGATTTCAACGATGGCCCATATTGGATAGAATATCGTAAGAATGAAGACTATTTCTTTCTCTCAAGGAGCTTGAAGTTTTCGAAAACCAGTGGTGACTTATTTCTTTGTTCCTCTCCTTTCTCGGTGAGCGAGAGTCTCGGATTTACATGCGTTATTCATGTTTTTTTGACCACGTAGTTAAGCGAAAAAAAAAGGCGCAGGGAAGTCGGGCGGTTCAAGCCCTTTGGAAGTGGCTATAAACATTGTTTCGGCTTTTAATGACCGAAATAATTTTTATCGTTTTGAAATAAAAAATTTTTTCAAATAAAGAAGCCTTTTTTTAATCTTTTTTTTCTGTATCAATAAAAGAGAAATCTTCTGCAATGATCCATTGATGTTGGTCGCATTTTTCCTTCTCCTGAGCCTACCAACGGCCCTCGCGGATCCCGATTCTCGTGAGTTTCTTTTTAGTGGCGAAACCCAAAGTTGAGATGCAAAACGGTCCCGAAGCGGCTTTTTTTTAAAAGAATTTTAACTCTCGCTCTTCTCCTTAAAAATCGACCGTAACGTAATATAATTCCGTGGTGTACTGCTGAACAATTTTTCTAACCGGCTGGCAAATGATTTGCAAATCTTTTGCAGCTTGTGTATCGCTGGCTTTTTCTTCAGCTGACTTTCCTTACAAGGGAAGCGCAAAAGGACACAGTTTGAGAATTGGATGAAAATTTGCTGAAATATATTTCCAGGTATCCTGAAACGAGAACAAGAAAAAAATCGTACGCCTTTTGCCTTTTAGCAGAGTTATGGCCTTCAAGTTTTGCACTCAAGAAATGGCTTCGCACGTCAGGGCTCAAATCTCTTTTTTTTAGAAATTTTTTGCGAATTTTAAACGGAGGTCAACTGATGCGAGAAAAAAGGACGGTTCCAACTGTCTATACCGTCTCTTCAAACTGCGTGCAAACTTTGAGGGCCATAACTCCGCTATAAGGCAAGTGGCTCAAAATTTTTTTCTTGTCCTCGATTCAGGAACCTGGAGGCACATCTCAGCAAAGTTTCATCAAATTCTCAAAATGTGTCATTTTGCACTTGTTTTGTTAGCTTGATTTTCACAGCTTTTTCAATGTATAGTACCGCCAAGAAAAAAAATCAACCCTTAGGTTTTTGCCCTAACTGTCTATAAAGTTAGGGAATCTCAACGAAACTTGGATATTTTATGATCTCTGGTATATCAAACTGTCCAACAGATTTTCAGACTCTCAAAAAATATAACACAAAAAAAACTAATCTTTATTGAATTTTCGAAAAATTGCTGTTGATGAAGTCGATGCAAGCCTGATCGACTTTCTTTCATTCTTTTTCAAGTTGCAAAATTGTTCAGCCACATTCGGTGTTTTTTTGTTTGCCAGCCGTCTCTACAGTTCTTCGTACTTGTTTTCGATGATGTTGATTTTGGCTTGGCCAGTCGAGACGACGAACTTTTCCGCAGTCGAACCAGTTGCAGACGTCCTTGGATTTATGTTTAGGGTCGTTATAGTCCTGGAAAATGAAAGCCCGCCTATGAACTCGACGTGCAAATAGAAGCATTTTCTTCTTAAGGTTCTCTTTGTTAATATTCCGATGCATGATGCCCACGATCCTGTGCAGTAGACCCATCCCAAGAGCGGAGAAACAGCCTCATTTCATGCACGATCCTCCACCAGGCTTCATCGTCGGAAGTCGATATTCTTAATGGAATCTTCTGTTGAGAGGACGTCGAGTTCCTGTTATTCCATCAGTGTCAAACAATAAAAACGTGCTCTCATTACTCCAAATAATTTTTTCCCATTGTCCACCCGAGATGATCTTCCGCCAATTTTACTCTTGCTTTCTTATTCTTGTCGGAAATGAATAATTTCTCGACGCGTTGACGATAAAAACAAAGTCTGGCGGACGTAATTTCATAAGAGAGAAATTTTCCGCGCAGTGAGTTCTGGTTTGCTTCTGGAAGTGTGCAAAATATTTCTGTCCGTCAGAAAATCCGTACCTCAAGGTCGATCAGGGCTTTTTAGCTCAACCATACATCTTCGTACATGGAAACGCGTCAATATCGTCCTAGCTTGACTTGGAGACTGCAAACTGTTGAGCAAGCTGAGAAATAGGTCGTCCTTGAAAGGGACTTTGAACTAGATCGGAAAAAAATTGGGAAATCAAAGCTCAAAAAAATTTGAAAATAGTGATATTTTCCCGGTATTTTGCAACGGCAACCGAATATAGTAGGTAGGTAACTAAGTTTCCGATATTTTTGGTGTAAACAAGCTTTATTATGTTCAGCAGGGGAATAAAGAAGCAAACCTTACTAGGGCATGGTCTCCGCTCGACAACGAGTTGAGAATTGAGACTTTGTGGGTGGATAGGCCTAGGTGAGAGTACTCGGAATCAAAAATAAAATTCTGCTAAACCCCACAGGCGGCTGAGGAAAAGCTCGTCGAAATTTTTCCAGTGCGGATATGGCCGCGCTCGGAGCCTTCAGCTAGCAACTGGCGGCGTGGTGTAGTGGGTTGTGGTCTTGTGCACTGTCAATATTAGTACCATGGTTCGAATCCTTTTGGCGGAAGTCGTTTTTGCCGGCTTATAACTTTATTCCTTTCTCATTTTTGGGATGTTCTCAAAAGTTTACAATAAAATTCACAAAAAAATCCCAATAAAAAAAAATACAGATCTGAAATTTTTTGTTTTTTCCTTTACTTTATGGGCAAACGATAAAGAAAATGATATGTTTATGAAAGTTCACGATTCACGAAAAGCGATTACCTGTCTTTTGGACACGTGTGTACTGAACGGAAACACAATAACACAATAAAACAACAAAATGAAACTGTTCGCTTTTGAAGATTCCAATAGAAAATTGCGCAGAATGAGCTCAACTTTAATAACTATGCTGCCGATCGCCTGTCTTCCAACAAAAATATTTGAAAATATCCTCCTCAATACGAGAAGAATAATGTGGCATCAGAAAAGCAGTAGAAATAAAAGTTTTCTACAAGTTTTGATGTAAATTTTTGAAGTAAATCTCATAAAAATGTGAAACGAATACAGTTATGAGCCGGCAAAAACGATTTCCGCCAAAAGGATTCGAACCATGGTCCCAAGATTGACAGTGCACAAGACCACAACCCACTACACCACGCCACCAGTTGCTAGGTGAAGGCTCCGAGCGCGGCCATATGCGCGCTGGAAAAATTTCGACGAGCTTTTCCTCAGCCGCCTGTGGGGTTTAGCAGAATTTTATTTTTGATTCCGAGTACTCCCACCTAGGCCTATCCACCCACAAAGTCTCAATTCTCAACTCGTTGTCAAGCGGAGACCATGCCCTAGTTAGAATGATTCTCCATGGGCATCTATGGTCTGTTGCCATCGCTTGCCTCGCGAGTGCTCGTAGAAGGTGGGAGAAGAAGTGATAATCGAAAGGGGCAAATTCAGCGGAGTGTGGTGGGTGCGGTAAAGCATGCCATCCGTACGTCGCCACTCAGCCTCTGCCGATCGGCCTATGTGTGGTCGAGCGTTGTCATGTTGGAAGTAGAAAACGGCCTGATTCCCGCGTCTATATTCGACGCTGAATCTAAGCTTTCGCAGCTGAGATTCAGCGTTCAGTGTAGGTATTGGGGTAGTACGCCCCTTTTGGTAAAAGTTCCCAGAGCTCTATCCATTTTTCTCATCGAATTCATGAAAAACGAATAGAACTGAAAAAAAAGCGTTTCCAGATAGATGTCCCGACGACACCTGGAAGATGTTTGCGCGTACAGGAGGCCGTTTTTGGTGCATGAAAGTATGTTTGAAATGAAAAAAAACGAAAAGTGAAGGTGATTCAAACTTGCATAGTTTAGAAGTCAAGAAATATTTTATTCGTCCTAATTAACGGATGAAATGGTCTCGAGGTTTCAATATTGATAACATTGAACCAGTTTCAATTCAAATTTATTAAGACATCAGAGAACATTGAACCAGTAGGCCGGAAAATTTCGAAAATTTTTTCTAATTAAGCAGGGAATGTTCTCAGCTCACAGGAGACTTCCAGATGAGACTAGGTTCGCTAGTTCTAGTTTTTACGCTGATTCTTCCCTCAAATTTTGCCATCGAGGTCTGCCAAAAAGTGGTGGGCTTTCAAAAGTCAAAAATATCAGTGTCTCTGATCGAGCTCATTTTTGGAGAGTTCCACTTCTTCTCCTGAGTGAGGGAAAATATGTAGAATTGAAGGCTCTTCGAGGTACAGGCAGAAAATTCGCTACTTTTCTCGAAACTTTAGTGAGCTTTTCTGCTTGAAACTTTTTGGAAGCTTCATTTTTCACCGAACTGATTTTAGTACAATGATGGGCGGCTCACCAGAGACGATGCAGAGAAGGCTTGCCAAGCACAAAATGGAACTTTGACTGGATTTGAGAACGAGGAAGAATTTGCCTACATTCGAGGTAAAGTTGTTTTAATTGTATAGTCGATCCTTCGCAACTTGAAATGGGTGAATTAGCAAGATTAAAGCGTTACAAATGCGATGTGGCTTTTTGGCGGGGAGTCACTTTTTTCTGAGTTCAATTTTTACAGTTATTCAATAATTTTGACCTTTTTATGGCTTTGAAAAAATTTGTTGTGTTTCTTATCTCTCAACTTTTCTCTCAATTGGAAAAGTTTACGAAAAAAAAGTATAAAAATAAAAAAAAACCTTATGTATTATCTGTACTTTTCCCTGGCCTCGAGTTTTTTAGTTAAAAGCCGCGTCGCGTACGCAACGCGTCACCCTTGTCAATCTACTCCTCTCTGCTTTCAAGCCGGGGAAAACTGAGTATATTACATCTACAAAAAGCTGTTTTCTCTCTCCCATTGACTTTGTATTTGTGACTTTTTCGGGACTATATTCATTTTCTTGATTCTTTTATAACTTTCCTGGTTCTCTTCCTCCCCGCCACAGATCTGTCTGTGAGCGAACAATAAACATTTCATTTCAACTTCTAAATAAATGAAAATGGAAATTTTCTGTGACGGACGACTGCGAAATGTTTGAAATTGCTTTTTTTTTCCTTTATCAGAGTTTTTCTCGAACGATCAGCTTTTTCTCAACTTTTAGACACGGCATTCGAAGCGTTCAAAAAGTTCAACCTGTCAGATGGAGGATCCTACTGGCTTGACGGCATCCGGAGCCCCAACTGCCACGGACCTAACAACAATAATTGCACTCGTTTGAATGTCCATATCCAAGCTTCGTTTTCCAACAGAAAATTGAAAAGTTTTCAGGCCTTCCAATGGTCCAACAACCTCACCCAAGGAACATTCGCGTTCACAAAATGGTTTGCGGCCGAGCCGAACAATAGTCCTGATAAGTAAGTTTATTTCGAGCCCAGCTATTTTAACCTTGATTTTTTTCGTGGCGGAGAAGAAAACTGTGTTGAAGGCACTCTCATTTACAATCTCCCAGACCTTCTCGGACTAATTGCCGACATCAAGTGAGCTTCACAATCAATTTACCATTTCAAGCCCTGTATTTCCAGATGCTCTCAGATAGACGTAAGACCCGGCCTGTACCCAGTTGCCGCCATATACGGATACTTCTGTGGAGCATCGGCGAAAAAGATCGGAAGCAAAAATGATGATGGAGACTGTGAGTTGAGGAAAATATTATTTTTCGTAACAAATCTTCAAGGTTCATCGGAAAAGGACGGCCGTGGACGGAATCGAAGAAAACCTGGTCATCATTCTTCTGAAGAGAGAAGAAGACCTGGCCACCACTCTTCAGAAAAGAAAAGAAGACCTGGTCATCATTCTTCTGAAGAGAGAAGAAGACCTGGTCATCATCCTTCTAAAGAGGGAAGAAGACCTCGTCATGATTCTTCTAGAGAGATAAAACGACATCCCACTCCTGAGAAAATCAAAGCTCGTTCTTGAGGAAAGAACAGATGGAGAAATTCTGAACCTGTTGTCCAGCCACCAAACATAAAGTCTTTTTGTTTCTATGTTCCGTAAACATCGAAGACGATACTTTCGCCATGTCGCTCTGATGTCACGCCAGAAGCTTGCACAAGCGCGGCGAGATCTCTTGTCGCGATCTAGCGCCATTTTCCTTGCGTAGATGATTGAAATCTGATATAGTCGATGTGCCACGAGTTGAAATTTCATGGAACGACAACCCGCTCGGTGGCCTTGTAGACGTGAAGAACCAATGCCTTTGCGGATCTCGGTCACGCTTTCCCATTTTATAATTTGCCGTTTTCAAATACATTTTTTTCGATAATTCTTTAGTTTTATGAATTTTTTGGCAGTGCAATGGATGAATAAAGTTTTTCGGAATGCCAATAATTCAAACAGGGGATAAATAAGCAGTGAAAAACCTGATATTGACTAAAGTCGATCTCTCTATTTCATAGTGCGTACATGTCTTCATTTCATAAGCCATTCACTTTCTGAAAAAAACCATTAACCATTGCAACAAACAGAAAAAAACGATGAAAACATTAAAACATGGCTTAAACAAAAACACCCTTTTTTATCGCTTTTTTCGAGGAAGATCATGAAATTTACTGTGTTCTTTCGTTAATAATAATAGTTTATTCACTGCCATAAAAAAACATTAGGTAGTATAGAAAAAAATTATAAGTGATCAACATATGACGGGCAGAAGAATAACAATACGCGGGAAGGAGTCAACCCCAACGAGTTGACAGGTACCCGGAAGTAAGAAGAAATTTTTTTACAGTAGGCGAGAAGGGATATTTTCATAAAAAAAGCTTGATTCGGAAGATTATTCAATTTGTTCCGAAGGGTTTCTGGGGTGACGTTAAAAATCTAAATATGAAGTTAATTTGTTCCAAAGAGGAATAGTCCTAGAAAAAGTAGTCATTAGAAAAACTGACCAGCTGTCCGTAGTCGAAGTGGATTTCTCTGTAACAGGGATTGAGTGAAATACTTATTGCGATCGAGACAATGATCAGAGCCACAGACAATTTTATGTAGGGTGATTATATCACAAATTTTACGGCGAATGAACAAAGGTTTGATATTAAACTGATTGACGCGATCGGAATAAGAAGAGAAGCTGACATTACAGCGAATGAAAACTTTCCGACTGAAGAGACGGAGAGATGATTCGAGTTTGTAGGATTCATCAGATGAAATAGCGGGTGAGAAAATCTCGGAGCAATATTCAAGGACTGGGACCACGTAAGTTTGAAACATACGAAAGTAGTTAAGAGGAGAAGAAAATTTGAAGGTATTAAGTATTTGATTAGAGCGTAAGGTGGCAAAGGCAGAAATTCGATTTATGTGTTGCTTAAAGGAGAGTTTATCATCAATAAACAGACCAAGATCACGAACAATGGAACTTTGAGGGATTTCAAGACGGTCGACGAAGTATCGGGTTCGAGGGTTGTCAGGACCAAAAATGAACTGAGAAAGTTTTTTTCGGAAGCAAGGGGGAGAGACCAAATGCGAGACCATTCTAGGATACCATTAATGCTGCTTTGGAGAGATCTGGGGCAGCTACTAAAAATTTTTATATCGTCTGCAAAAATAGAAATGGAGGTGGAGGCATCAATATAATTTTCAATATCGTTAATAAAAAAATCAAAAAAAGAAGTGGACCACTTACTGTTCCTTGGAGGACACCGGAGGGGTTAGGGAAACTAGAATCAGCAAAGTTACTCACATTCCTCGGGGAGTTACTCACATTCCTCGTTCAAATTTGTACAATGCAATCTCTTTCAACGATAATAAAACATTTTAAAAAAATTAAACAATTAAAAAACGATCAAAATTAGAATTAAAACCAAAAAAATTAGCGTGGCCGAGGTTGGCAAACTCGCACGATGCGCGCTACCGCACAAATCAAAACAGCGGAGTGTCGTTCCATGAAATTCCAACTTGTGGCACATCGACTATAGAATCGGATAATATGGCAAAGTTGATACGTGAGCCACTACTGTAAAAGGAAAAGGTGACAAAAAGTGCACATGAAAGGGACATCTTCAAATGATTTGTGGAATAAAAAATCCGGGAACTTCTTTTACCCTATGACCTACTTTGCGTTAACGAGGTAACCTGCGTAAATGACCGAAAATGATAAGAATTTCATAATTTGGCTACGAAAGTTGATCTGTGAGTTACTGTATAACAAAAAGGGCACATGGAAAAAATAAGAGAAACTTTTCTCTTCAGAAGAATGATGACTATTTCACGGCATCCCTAAAGGGGTGAGGGAAGGTAAGCGAGGCGTCAAATTTTCTGAATTTACAAAAAAATAGTAAGTGCGCGCTTAGGATGAAAAGAGTGTGACGTCACAGCTACCTATCGTTGCAAACTAAACTGAACATTCAACGGCATGAAGAATGAATTTGGCTTCGTGCTTGAGATTACAAATTTGGCGCCAAAATTTTTTTGAAGTTTCCCCACCCCGTTTGGGAACGCCGTGATTTCTTTGTCTCGAATAGTCTGAAGATTTGTTTTCGAAAACTGGGGTTAATGATTTCTTTGTTACTCACATTCCTCGGGGAGACTCTCGGATTCAAGCGTCATGTTTTTAGACCTCGTAGTTAAGCGAAAAAAGACGCAGAGAGGTCGGGCGGTTAAAGCTAGGGACCGCAAAGCCACGCCCCTTTTCGCGATAGAAAAAGTGGCTTTTTTTTGGTTTTCAACTTTCATTTTGTTGTAGTTGCAAAATATATGGAACTGGATAATAAAATTTGACACACATGTACAGAAAAGCTTCCTCTTTCATTTGAAAAATATTTCACGCTTTTTTGATGCGTTCTCGCGGAATGTCGTACAAAAACGTGAATGGAACTAAAAAATGTTGTCATTTTTTTGCTTTTTCATGTGTTTTTCAGGTCGAACGCACTCTTTCTTTTTTTATAAAAATGATTTTTGATTCAAGTAACGGAAATTTTAAAACAATAAAAATAAAAAAATTCGTCTTTGCTAAAAAAATTTTAGGGAGTGCCGAAAGTCATAATTCAAAAATATCGTTAATAAGCGAATATAATCGAGTTTTTTTGTTTTTTTCAAAAATTTAGACCATGGGCTTACTTAAATATTTCTCCACGGAATATGTGCTTGAAAAAAAGTTGTTTAATACACAAAAAAATGCTCTTGAAACTAGAGAATAAAAATTAGCGGCGTTTATCACACAGAAAGAGGTCGAACGCAGGTTTTTTTCAAACGATTATGTACATTTATTAGTAACAAATCTTTCAATTAAAAAAATAAAATAAAAAAATTCGTCTTTGCCAAAAAATTTACGGGGGCCGTTTTAATGCAGCGATCGTTAAACGAGGCAAAAAAAGCACTGAAAAAAACTGTTTTTTTCGAAGTGAATTTTCCACGAAACGTTTGAGTAAAGATTTGCGAACATATTCTGATAAAAATAGCTTAATTACTTCAAATTTTTATTTTTGAAATAGGCAATCTGTGCTATTCAAACGGCTCAAGGGTAAGGGGGGTGGAAGCTCCCCTCGCCAGACCTAACAGCTTGGCGCAACGCGTGCGCTGCGATTTTTCATTTTGAGGTCGCGAGTTCGATGCCCGCAAGCGGCAGTTTTTTGTTTTCTGGAAAATACCGACTTTTTCGGCGAACTAGCTGATTAGCATCATTTTAGCACTCTATTATGATTTGTTACATCAAAAATAGACCAGTATCAAAAACTTGTTCTAGAAGAAAAAAATCGAGAAAAAAATGTCAAAAAAATGGATAATACCAAAATTTCAGTACTAAAAAAATGGTGCGCGGCGCGACACATTTTTTTCGTCATAACTTTTTTTCAACCTCAACCTTTTTTTCGAAAAAAACTGAACGGTTCTGAGTTTTAAATCGAAACAGCTATCAAACCATACAAAACTCGATGCTGAAAAAAATTTTTTTGAAAATTCGTCTGCGGTCCCTAGTTAAAGCCCTTTGGAAATCGGCGAAATGGCTATAAACATTTTTTTACGGCATTTAATGGCCGAAATAAATTTTATTGATTTGAAATAGAAATAAGATTCAAAAACAAAAAACGATAAACTTTATCTTTTTGCTTTTCAATAAAAGAAATCTTTTTGCAACGATCCATTGATGTTACTCGCATTTTTCCTTCTCCTGGGCCTTTCAACAGCCCTCGCGGCTCACAAATCTCGTGAGTTTCTTTTTCGTTGCGAAATCCAATGTTCGTTGCGAAAGCCAATGTTCAGATGCGAAAAAGGTCGCAGAGCGGCTTTTTAAAAAGAATCATACCCCCTCCTCACACATTGAAAAATCGCTGGCAAAGGGATCCGTAGCGCAGCAGGTTGTGTGCCTGTCTACGGCCCAGAGGGTCACAAGTTCTATCTCCGTTGCGGGCCTATCATGGGATTTAAGAAATGTTGGTTTTGGGCGACCACGGCTTCATAATCCCCAGTACACACAAGGACAGATACTTCACTAGAGCCGGTCCACTGATTATTCATGACATCAGGTTAGGACTCTCCATCATCGACTCCAGACGCCGGCTTCGCTCAATGGCGGTAGTAGAGGAATAGTAGAATATTGAGCATATTCTCGATCAAACCTAAGGCCTTATACGAGGGATAATTTATGAGAAGAACAAACAAATATGTGTCTGGTTGAAGCAATTGAACCGCTTCGTGTCTAAATCCATTTTCAATTCGAAGTCATGGGAAACAAAAAAGCATTTCCAGACAAATGTCCCGACGACACGTGGACGATGTTTGCGCGTACAGGAGGGCGTTTTTGGTGCATGAGGGTGTGTTTGAAACAAAAAAAGAAGCGAAATTGAGAAAGAAATAGATAATGAATGAGTTTCAATTCCCTTCAAAAAAATCAACGATATATATTCCAACGAGTTTTTACTTACTTACTTACTTAGATACTTAGATGGTCCATCTTCGCTTTCGATCTTTTATTGCCTTTTATTGATCGAAGCGTGGACCACACGTTTTCCAGGAGGTCTTATGCAATCGGTCATCCAGTGTTGTCCTGGTTGACTGGTATTCTTGCGAAAAAGTTCCATCCGTGGTGTTGAACGTGTTATAGCATAATTTTGGTCTGATTATCCTTTTTGCCTTGCCAGGGCTAAAAAAGACCGCCCATTCTGTTAGCAGAAGCAAGCCGAACTGCGTGACCGGTGTACCGTTAGCCGCCATAAATGGCGTTGCCTCCCCATCACCGCGTAGAGGTGGTACTTGAACGAGTTTTTACTGTTTAAAAATTAGAGTTTTAAGTGAAAGGAAAAAAAATACTTTATGCAACTTATGTTCAGTTCTATCACGGAAAGCTGAACAGAAACGATGCTGAATACGCATGCCGGAGCCATGGAGCGAACTTGACTGGATTTGAAAACGAAAACGAATTCGTCTTCCTTCGCGGTAAAGTCATATGATACAAGGTCTTTAGCAATGATTCAAACAGATTTTTTCGACGTCTTTCGAACCAAAATTTGCGAAAATGATCAAATGATCATTGAACTAATATGGCATATCAAAAAAATCTTTCTTGTCTTTTGTAAAAAAAATATCATAGTAGGCTCAGTATGAAAATAAAATTATTTTAGCTTCTGAAGAGCAAGTTTGATATAATGAGAGTAAAAAATAGATGTTATTTTTTTTGTAGAAAAGTGCACAAAAGCCCAGCTTTCCAATTTCCAACTACTTTTTCCCACTTCTAGATACTGCTCTACGAGAATTCGCCCAGTACAATCTGCCTAAAGGAGGATCTTACTGGCTCGGCGGAATCCGAAATTTGAGTTGTTATGGACCAGGGAACAACGGCTGCAACAGCATGAATGTTTTGTCAGAAGACCTTATCACGATTCAGCAAAAATTTTGAGGCTTTCATGTGGGGTAACGATCTGACACAGGGGACTTTCGCGTTCACAAAATGGTCTGAAATGTACTCGGAGCCGAATAATGCCATTCACAAGTTTGATCACGCAGATCCAACTTGGACTGAATTTTTGGTTTCAGCGGCGAGAACGAAAATTGTATGCAGGGAGTCTTGTTCTACGAATATCCGAACCTCAACGGCAAACTCAACGATTATTTGTGAGTTCCTCAACTCTCTACTTTCACGCCTTTTAAATTCAAGATGTTCGCTAAACTTCTCATGGAGATCGGATTTACCTATGTACACTCCCTACGGTTATTTCTGTGGAAGAACGGCTACGAGAGTCTCTAGGCACTCAGAGGAAAAATATTGTTAGTTGCTTACTACTTCAATTGAAAATAAGTGTTTCAGGTTCATCGGAAGAAGACAGCCGTGGACGGGATCGCTCCCAAAGACGCCGTTTATAATTTATTGAGAAAATTAAAAAAAAAAAAACTTTCAGGCTCATCGAGAGGAAGAAATAGTCATCATTCTTCTGAAGCGCGAAGAAGACCTCGTCATCATTCTTCTGAAGAGCGAAGAAGACCTGGCCATCATTCTTCTGAAGAGCGAAGAAGACGTGGTCGCCATTCTTCTGAAGTAGTAAAAAGGCCTCCAACTGCTGAGGAAATCAGAGCTCGTACTTGAGGGAAGAAAGAATGGAGAAACCCTTAACCTGTTGTCCATCCACCAGAAATAAAGAATTTTTGTTTCAATGTTTTGAAATAATCAAAAAACGATACTTTCGCCATGTCGCTCTGATGTCGCGCCAGAAGCTTGCTAGAGCGCGGCGAGATCCCTTGTCGCGGTCTAGCGCCAACTTTCTTGCCGTATCACGATTTATCATGCGAAAACGAGGTTACCTGCGTAAATGACCAAACTGAACAGAATCTCGTAATTTGGAAAGTTGATCTGTGGCTCACTACTGTAACACAAAATCATCATTTGAATGAAAACCCGGGAACTTTTTTTCGCTCATGACCTTCCCTCATTATGAAGCTTGATAAAAAAAGCTTTTCCTATTTTTCTCGCAAACTTCCTGGTTTTCTTTTTTCGTAAAAACGAGAGAAACAGGAAAGTATCAGATACTTAAAAGTCATATATAAAATGTGTTTCTCAAACCATCAAAAATAGAAAAAGCCATAAAGAAGAAAATATTTCTGTTCCTCTTTATAAAACGAGCTTTCTCTGGAAACAAAACATTAATGTCCGCGACAATCTTTCTTTTTCTGTGCCTGCCAGCGGCTCTGGTGGCCCAAACGACTTGTTAGTTCTTCCATTTTGATTAATTAAGTGGCAGAAAAGAAATAGGAAAAAGCGCCAAAATTCAGATCAATGTCCAGACAGCACTTGGAAGTTATTTTTGCGAACTGGGGACCGAGCATGGTGCATTAAAGTGAGTTCATAGCAACAAAATGAAAGATCTTGTGATGGTGAGGCGGAAATGTGCTGAATTTTCCACGATTTGAGTAAGTTTCTCTGCTTGAAACTTTTTTGGAAGCTCCACTTATCATCGGAACAATTTCAGTACAATGATGGGCGGCTCATCAGAGACGATGCCGAAAAGGCTTGTCGAATACAAGGAGGAACTTTGACCGGATTTGAGAACGAGGAAGAGTTTGCCTACATTCGAGGTAAGATTATGTCAGACGTACCATACTTTCAGAAAACTGTTGTACTTTCTTCCGTTGATGAGCTGTGACTTTCTTAGAACTTCAACTTCTTAAATCTTCGAAAAGGATAAACTTGCACGGCGAAAAATCTGAAACAGCTTATTTGGATTGATTTTTTTTTCCTCAAACGTCAAACTTTAGACACGGCATTTGAAGCGTTCAAAAAGTTCAACCTGCCAGATGGAGGAGCCTACTGGCTTGACGGCATCCGAAGTCCCAACTGCCACGGACCCAACAACAACGGCTGCACCCGTTTGAATGTAATTATTTAAGCTTCCTTTTCTAACATGAAATTGAGAAAATTCAGGCTTTCCAATGGTCCAACAACCTCACCCAAGGAACATTCGCGTTCACAAAATGGTATGCGACCGAACCGAATAATAGTCCTGCTTAGTAAGTTCATCTCCAGCCCAGCTATTTTAACCTTGATTTTTCGTGGCGGAGAAGAAAACTGCGTTCAAGGCTCCTTTCATTACGTACTCCCAGACATTCGCGGACACATTTTCGACTTTCCGTGAGCTTCACAATCGATTCTAACTTTAAGCCCTGGACTTCCAGATGCTCTGAAAAAGACGTCAAAGTAGGTCTGAGCTCCCATTCCGCCATACATGGATACGTCTGTGGGACGTCAGCAAAGAAGATCGGTAGCAAAAATGAAGAGGAAGATTGTGAGTGAATCACTTAACAGTTGAATCTAGAAGTCAACTATTCAGGCTCCCCGGAAGATAAGGAAGAAGAAGATTGTAAGTTTTCCTTTAAAAAATTGAAGACTTTTCAAAATCAATTATTAAGGTCCAGCGGAAGACACGGAAAAAGGAGATTGTAAGTTCTCCTTCAAATAATTGATTTCACTGATTTTTTTTTTAAATCAACCATTCAGGTCCATCGGAAGAAAGTGAAGGAACTCGTCCTTCGACAGCTTCCGCCCAAAAACTAGCAAACCAATAAATAAAGTTGTTGTTTCAGTTTTCTCAGTGTTGTGAGGTCTCAGGAAACATAAGAATTCCTACTCGTGGATGAGAAGAATCGAATAAAAAGAAATAAAAGTTGAAAAAGTGCATGAAACTTGAAATTTGGAGTTTTCCGCGCAACACTCACTAGGAAACTACTCGGACTCGGGTACGCGTTTCGAGTTGAAACCTTTGGTGGCTTATAGACCGGGGTAAGAGTACTTGGAAACAAGAGAGATTATCTGCTAAACCCCATAGGCTTCGGAGAAAAAGCTTTTTGAAAATGAACAGTTTAGGCTTGAAAATTATCAAGTTTCTGCTTTCTTCCTTCTTCTGACTGGAAAAAGTTTTTTAGAGTGTATCATAGCCGGATCATCCAAGACGATTGAGTTAAAATAGGAAATAAGGTAAAAAACAGTATTCTGAAAATTTTCAGGCCTAATTTTTACATTTTCTACTAATTTTTCTCCAGTTCTCAATTGGGATTAGCAGATAATCTCACTTGTTTTCAAGTAATCTTACTTAGGTCTATAAAACATTAAAGTTTGAACTCGAAGCGCGTACCCGAGTCCGAGTAGTTTCCTAGTGAGTGTTGCGCGGCGTTAAAGAAAAAAAGGAGGTGAACGACTTTTGCTTCTGACTAAAAAAATATGTTCTCCTCGTTTTTCGAAATTTAGAGGTATTTATACACTTAGATTTTAAGTAGTTCTCTGAAAAGCTTGACAGTTCATTGGTCTTGAAATTTAAAGTATCTCTGAGTTTAAAAAGATATCAAAGTTATGCTACGAAATACCACTAACAGACAAATTTGGTAGATAATGATGTTTATGATTCAGATTGGAAGCTATTACTTTGCTACCCCATCGAATGAAGCCAAAAGAAAAATTTCAAGACGTTCGAAACTTATAATCCTTTCAAATTAACACTGAAGCTAAATTCGAGAAAAATCATTTGCAATTTCATTTTTTTTTTTTTGATAAAGTTATACCTTCGAAAAATCTTGATAACTCTTGAAAAAAACGACTGGGAAAGTTTCAGACACTTCAAATAAAAAAGTCTTTTCCCAAACCATCAAAACTAGAAAAGCCATAACTGATGAAACTTTGTATTTTCTCTTTTATAAAACGAGCTTTTGACCTGGAACAACATATTAATGTCCCGGACGATCTTTCTTTTTTTCTATGCTTGCCAGCGACTTTGATTGCTAAATCGGCTGGTTTGTTGATTAATACTTATTTTATTTTTATTTTGAAGATAGAAAAACATTGACAATACAGATGGACAAAAGTTGGTATGCCCTGACAAAACTTGGAAGATGTTCGAGCGTACAGGAAATCGGTTGTGGTGCATTCAGGTGATTTCAAAGAGATTAAGAATGAGAACAAATTTCAAAAGTTAAAAATTAGAAATGAAAATCACACTTTGATAATAATACTTACATGTTAGTTGCAGAAGGCCACTTCAGATTTTTCCAATTACCGAAAATATATCGAATATTTTCGGCAATTGAAAAATCTGAAAAAAATATATTATATATCAAGAACGCTTCCTCAAATATTTTTTGAACCAGTTTGATTTCAGTATAATGACGGAAATGTGAACAGAGCCGCTGCTGAAAAAGTATGCAGAGAGCATGGAGGAACCTTGACTGGATTCGAAAACGAGGAAGAGTTCGTCTACATTCGCGGTAATGACCTTTCCAGCTCAAAATGATAAAAGTTTCTTAACTAGGAAGCATTTCTTCACGTGGAAACCATTCTAAAGTATGTCTGTGATCCTTCAAACATTCAAAAACAATAGCTTGAGAAGACTGTGTTGAGATCAGAAGTCCCCGACTGATCCACGGATTCTTATTATGAAATAAAACTCGCTCCAACTTTCAGACACCGCCCTCAAGGAGTTCAAAAAGTTCAATCTACCGAAAGGAGGAGGCTACTGGCTTGACGGCATCCGAAGTCCCAACTGCTACGGGCCTGACAACAACGGTTGCAACCGTTTGACTGTCACTCCCGGAAAACTGCTTGATCCAACAAAAAGAAGTTTCAGGCCTTCCAGTGGTCAAACAACCTAACTCAAGGCACTTTCGCGTTCACGAAATGGTCAGATCTGTTCTGGGAGCCGAACAATGGAGTTGTGGAGTAAGAGTAACTCTAGGAGAAGTGTGCGGTATGAAAAATAACAAAAAGGAAGGTCATTCTACTTTGAGCTTGAAAATTTCCTAAAGTTCATCCACAGCTCTTCTTGATGCACCAGAAATAAATTTTGAAAGTCTCGAAAAAAACACCAGGTTAAATCTTTCCGCATCTCCATCTTTCGATACTTTGAGAAGTTTATCAGCCGATTTGCAAGAAATTCCCAACGGGATAATAGAATGACCTTCCTTGTAAGGCTATCCGAAACCCGATCTAACATTAAAATTAAATTGATGTTTTCAATAGCTTCCAATAATAAAAGCAATAGGTAAGTCCCCGCACACCAGCCTCTGAAAATAGTTACAAAAATATCGATTTTAGTGGCGAGTACGAAAATTGCCTGCAGGGACTCTTGACCTACGAAGCTCCGCATTTAAACGGCGCAATTAACGATTTTCAGTTCGTTTCTCATGGTTTCATCCTAAAGTGTTCCAACTCAAGATGTTCACGAAAAGACACCGCGACTGACGTTTTACCCTATTATACCATTTACGGATTCTTCTGCGGAACTTCGGCTGGTCCTCCAAAGCTTGAGAACCCGAACAAGTCAGCAACTAACGATTGTGAGTTCCTAACCAGATACTTCCAAAACTCATATTTCCAGGTTCTACAGAAGAGGAGCCCGACTGCGAGGAGGAGGAGGCTGAAGATTGTGATTAAGAGGTTCTCAGGATTCTTTCAGAGTAGAATTTTTCAGGTTCTCCGGAAGAGGAGAAGAAGACTCATTCACGAGGAGCATGAAGAGATTTTCATTATTATAAAAAATGAAGTGAAGATTTGAAAAGAACGACTTTATTTCTCCGAGCAATGAAATGAACCAATACAATCGAATACAAGTTGTAATTGCACGAAAAAAGAAAACTCGAAAGTCTTTGAGAATTATCTACTTGCTTCCCCTTCGAAAACTTTCCATCGACTTCCTTCTCCTCACATAATGCTTTCTGTGGGTCGATGGATCGTGAAAATAAGAAAAGAGAGAAAAAACTGTGCAGAAAGTGCAAAAAACGAAACAAGAGACGGTGCCCATGAATGCGTAAAACATCCATCCCATTGTATGGAGCCCCTACAACGAAAAACATTCGATAAAAAAGAGACTCAAGTTTACTTAACAGGAAGGCCATTATACTTTGCGGTTAGGAATTTCCTAAAAATCGGTCAGGCGACTTCGTGATGTACATGAAGAAGAGTCTGAATAGCCTCCACCTGCACAACTTCGAAGATTTTTTGGATTGCTTTCTGGTACATTTGTGAGTTTTTTGACCGAATTTCAGGGATTTTTCGAACACAAGGTAGAACGACCTTCTTTGTAAGAAAGAACAACATGAGGATGCTATTTGTTAAATAACTTATTTGGGTCTAGATGGCTGTCAAAAAACTTTCTAGAGTAAGTGTGCATCACAAATCGTACATCGCAAACTAAACTTTGTTTTTTGAAAACACATTTCTGCTTAGTCTAGCATAGGGACCGCAAAGCCACGCCCCTTTTCGCGATTGAAAAAGTGGCTTTTTTTTGGTTTTCAACTTTCATTTTGTTGTAGTAGTAAAATATGTGGAACTGGCGAATAAAATTTGACACACATGTACAGAAAAAGCTTCCTCTTTCGTTTAAAAAAATATTTCACGCTTTTTTTGATGCGTTCTCGCGGAATGTCGTACAAAAACGTGAATGGAACTAAAAAATTTTTGTCATTTTTTGCTTTTTCATGTGTTTTCAGGTCGAACGCACTCTTTCTTTTTTTATATAATGATTTTGATTCAAGTAACGGTAATTTTAAAACAATAAAATAAAAAATTCGTCTTTGCCAAAAATTTTAGGGAGTGCCGAAAGTCATAATTCAAAATATCGTTAACAAGCGAATATAATCGAGTTTTTGTTTTTTCAAAATTTAGACCATGGGCTTACTTAAATTTTTCTCCACAGCATATGTACTTGAAAAAGTTGTTTGATACGCAAAAATGCTCTTGAAAATAGAAAATAAAATTAGCGGCGTTTATCACACAGAAAGCGGTCGAACGCAGGTTTTTCAAACGATTATATACATTTATTAGTAAAAAAATCTTTCAATTAAAAAGAATAAAATAAAAAAATTCGTCTTTGCCGAAAAATATACGGGGCCGTTTTAATGCAGCGATCGTTAAAAAGAGGCAAAAAGCACTGAAAAAAACAGTTTTTCGAAGTGAATTTCCACGAAACGTTTGAGTAAAGATTTTGCGAACATATTCTGATAAAAAAATAGCTTAATTACTTCAAGTTTTTCTTTTTGAAATAGACAATCTGTGCTATTTAAACGGCTCAAGGGTAAGGCGGATGGAAGCTCCCCGCGCTAGACCTGACAGCTTGGCGCAGTGCGTGCGCTGAGATTTTTCATTTTGAGGTCGCGAGTTCGATACCCGCAAGCGTCAGTTTTTTGTTTTCTGCAAAATACCGACTTTTTCGGCGAAATAGCTGATTAGCATCATTTTAGCACTCTATTATGATTTTTTACATCATAATAGACCAGTATCAAAACTTGTTCTAGAAGAAAAATCGAGAAAAATGTCAAAAATGGATAATACCAAAATTTCAGTACTAAAAAAATGGTGCGCGGCGCGCCACATTTTTCGTCATAACTTTTTTCATCCTTAATCTTTTTCGAAAAACTAAACGGTTCTGAGTTTTTGAATCGAAACAGCTATCAAACCATACAAAGCTCGATGCTGAAAAAAAATTTTTGAAAATTCGTCTGCGGTCCCTAGTCTAGCAGCGCCAGCCCTCGTAAGTGATCCCTAGAATTGCTCAGAAACGTCCGGAGCGTGTCCGGTTTTCGTTACCGAGGCCCGAGACTTCTGGCCACAAATGAAGATTTAAAAAGAATTTTTTTGATACGGTTCCATTCAAATAGTTAGCTATGGTTCAAACTAGCTGAAGATCCAGATTTAATAAAATAATCGAGAAATCAAAGTTTTGCGTGCCTTCAAAAGGACTTTCTGCTTCTCACTTTTCACACACCTCTTTCGGCTTCTCCGGCTCAAAGTCTCTTCGCAGCAGCGAAAGCTCGTCGTAGCAATTATGCAAGGCAGATCCGTTCTCCGTAAGATTCGGTCGGAAGCGACTTCCATTCGCCAGACGACAAATATCGTCCGGCAATTCTTCTGGGAAAGATTTGATTTTAGAAATAAAACATATACTTTACCGAAGCAGCAGAGTCTGACCGAAGGCCAGATGGACGTACCCTTCAGAGTTTCACATCTCTTACTGGAAAGGGGAAATAATACGAAAAACTAAAACTTGCTCACAAGAAGTAATGTTTAATGTAGTCGTGGATTCCTTTCAAAGGTCCCGAATTGTGGCAATCCGAGCCGGATTCGCATTCAACGTCTTCTCCCGTTGGACTTGCTTGCGGGAGAGAGGCCGGCCATGGACACACGGCTGTAAAAACCGCTTTCAGAGTCAAAGTTTTCAGGAGCTTTCGACATGTTCAGCAAAATAAGCAAATTATAATTCAGTAAAAAGACAGAGGACACACGACTGTTGAACACTTCTTTTTTGAGAATCAGAAACCTTGAACCCCACTGATATTTTTTGCGAAAAAGCTCTGAATAGAACTTTTAATTGGGTAAGGGGTGAAATGCTGATGGAAAAAGCCGTTCATCTTTCGTTTTCTTCTCAATCAATTAAGAAAAGCACCTTCCGCGCATAGACCAGCTTTTTGAGTCCATGGATTTTTGAAGTCCGCGAGTTTTCCCTGTTCTGGCTTGAAACAGTAGCCTTCCGGATGACACTCCTTGTTTACGTCACAAAGGACAAGACCAACTCTGGTCTCCTCTCTGTGAATGATTCCAGGAATTTGAGGTACTGAAAAATGTAGAAGTTCAAGTGGTAGGTGGAGTGGGCTACTTGGAATTTGAAATCTAACTAACATCACAAAACCATAAAAAAAATTTAGCTCATTCAGCCACTAATTTTCACGAATTTCTTTTTCTTCCGAACTACAGTAGCCTTCTCTTCAATGTGTGCTGTTTGATTCTGTGCATACGCCTTCGGTATCATGGAAATTTAAACTAAAACATAACGGAACTCTGAAGTCAAATCAAAGCCCCACGCACGGTGACTAGTCGCGTCCTTCGAGAAAAGGTTCTGTAACTTGGAGGAAATGAATAGCGAGCTACTGGCGCGGAATGGACTATGTCGAGAAATTGACAGAAAAAAAGGCTCTCGTTTGACTTCGAAATTCCCGCCAAAAGCCGCGTCGCATACGCAACGCGTCACCCTCGCCAATCTGCCTATCTAGCCTTTCAAATCGGGATTAATCAGAAATGCTCACAATTGTAGCAGAACAGCGTGGGAACTCCTTCAGGACCACTGCTGTCGAGTCCTCTATTGGAACTGACGAAGATGTTGTAAGTGGCGTCGCAAAACTGGTTTTTGTCGCAATCGGCGTTGATATCGCATCTTTTGAAGGTGTTTTCTCTGTAGCCCGCAGGCAACACGTTTTTGTCCGTTTCACGTAGGGTGAAGGAGCGAGGAATTGCTCAAAAATCGATACTTATTGATTGTTTCGCTCAGAAAAATCAGTTAGGAAACTTCTTCTAAATTTCGTGTGAGAACCTTTACTTAGAAGTCCGTAAATTAGCAACTCGCTTCAAATTTTCGTGTGGGCTAGAACCTTGCTCTTAGCGGTGGGTAGGGCGCAATTTATCCCGGGGAAGGGTCCAGTGTCATCCTTTTTTCATGAACAAAATTAGCTATTGTAGATTCAAGTTATTCACCTCAAAAAAGGGTGGTCATCGTAAATCGTTCGAGTAAGAAATTTTTTTCTGAGCAGGACCCGACCTCTTGTACATGGGCTATTCAGATTTTGGATTTCAAGTACAATGACGTCATTCGAAAAAATGCTCTGTGGGTGGCTTGCTAGCGGATTGGTTCATCGCGCCATTAGAGGCGGAGCTCAAAGGAATGCTTGGATTTCGAAATCTGAACAGACAAAGCAGCCCTTGCGAGTTCCACGAAACAGAGAATTCTCGAAGAAATGTAAAAAAAAATTACTCTTGTTATCACTTCATCACGGTTTCACTTCATTCAAGTTAAAATAGATCTCGCAAGGTTTTTTTTTACTCGTAAGAGTCTCTCAACTTTCCATCAAACGATTCATGATTTTCCCCCCTCTCTCTCCAAGATTCCTTGGAATACACAACCTTTTCCGAGTTTCGAAAAAAAAAAGAATTATTCACACAATCCAAAAACTCACGACAACACCCTTCCACTTCAGCGAAATGTGTCAGTTCAGATCCTGCGATACATTCGGCCTTCCCAGAACCGTAAAGCGGCTGTCCAGCAAACATACCATTGGGACAAACTTCTTGCGCTGGAATTATCCACTTACATATGAATCAGAGATCAGAACTAACTGTAGCAGCAAAAACTTCCAAAAGTTTTGAGATTCAGTTGAACATCCTTACAATTGGCGCTGTAAATTGTAAGTTGATTGCGGGAAAAAAAAAATCGGGTCCTTCGAAATTACATTGAGATATGGGACTTTTACAGTGACTTCAATTCGCGCTTGTAAAATTCACCGTAAAGTCACATGTCCCGATATTTCGTGTTAGGGACCAATTTTCCTACATCTCCCTGAATTCCAATTCAACATATAGTCTGTTCAGATTTTGAATGTCAAGCAGCTAACTCCACCCCCAAGACTAGAATATCTTTCGCGTCAATGTTTTATGTACATATAACGATGGCCCTTTAATAAGGCTGCATTTTTTGACTTCTTTTTCTATCTTTGAGATCAAAAAAGAACAAAAATCGTTGAAGTTATTAGATGGTTGACATTCGAAATCTGAACAGACTATATTCCGCGATTTCATTCTAAACGAATAACGTTTTAATTTTGAATTCACTGAAACTACTTTGAAAACGGCATTCTTTGAAAATTCTTGAAATTGTAAAAATAACAAACATCCAATATGGTTTCTTTGAAGGGTCAGCCGGAGGGCCGTATTTTTCGCATTCACTGTGCCATTTGCACGAATCCCAGCCAGCCAATAGAGTGAGAACCGGTTTTCCAGCCAAAGTGCAATTGGCTGTAATCAGCTTTCAGTTAACTTTTTGTCAAAAGTGAGAACCCGACCGCTGGCGCAGACGCCCGTTTTCCTCCCAGAGATAGTATCTCGGAAGTACCCCCCTGTCGCGTTCGGTTTGGTGCAAAAATTGCCTTCGATTAGACAGTCGCTGGATTCGTTGCAAAGTTCAATACCAGTTACTTTTCTTAATGCGATGTTGCCGTTTGCAACAGGTACTGAAATTAAATTTTTTCGCAAGCTCGTTACAATTTCGGAAAGAATTTGATTCTAAAAGCGATGGGTTGAAATCAGCTCTCGAGATCTTTCCGTGTTTGAACAATTAATAAATCTTATTCTAACACAGATAGCCGGGAATCTCTTTTTTTTTAATAAACTAGGAACGTTTGAAAAAAAAATTTGAAAAATATTTTTCGAGTTCTTGAAGCAAAAATGCCAGAAAAAAAGAGAACATTGAAAATAAATTGAGATGATTTTGACTGTAAATATAGACCCAAATTCAATTTATCGAACTAGGTGAGGAGAAAAAAAAGCTTTGAAAATTTTCCTAATTAATTTATGTACAAACCACAAATCCTGTTTACAATTTTGCGCGTTTATTTTAAAAAAAAAAGGCTAGGTTTAACGACACGCCGAAATCATTTCAAAATTTGAAGTTCGCGCGTAAAAATCAGGATGAGCAACAATTTTTAAATCGCCGAAATTACTTGGAACACGACTTCAACTTTCAAAATCGCCCTATCGCACAAAGTTTCAGAGGGGATAGTTTCATCCATTATTTTCGCAAGTTTTGGAGCAGGAAACCTTGAAAAAAAAAAGCCTTCCTCACTCACATTTATAACAGAATTTTTTAGGCTGGCCGTAGGGTCCACTCTCATCAAGACCTCCTTTGTCTTTCTTGAAGACATTGTAGGCGGCATCGCAATAATCGCCTTTCTCACAATTTCTGTTATACGAACACTGTCGGATGCCAACGAATCGGAGAGGATTCGTCTGAGATCCAATCGGCAACATTAGTTGCAAGGAGCCAGTGTCCGCCAGGGTGAAGGCAAGAGGAGTAGCTGAAAACATTTTCCGTCATTCATTTATTCCATTCTAGGTATAGTTAAACTGAGAACAAATCATCGAAAAAAGGTGCCTCTCCTGGTGGCCCAGCCGTGCTGACAACAGCGGGTCTACCTGTATTAGACCCGCTTGGGCACAGGTGGTAGAACTTTTGAGAAATTGTACCCCAGCTGAGGCACCGTTTCAGCTCAGTTGAGCAACAAATTTACGAAATAAAACAGATGAGTCAACTCTTTCTCGGAACCGTTGTTTTCCTATTTCAGGTTCAACTGAAACTCAATGGGCACGCCCGTTGAGACACCTGGCCAGCGAAAATTTTCTTCAACTGATCAGGAGCAAAGCTTCCTGTTCAATTGAAAGTTTTTCCACTGTTTTCTCATCTTTTTGTATAAATTTTCGAAACAGTCACAAGTTTAAATAACATTTAAAAAAACTAACGACAGCAATAACTGGATTTTTCCGATAATTTCTTTATACGACAACTCAGGACAAAAAGCCGTTTTTTTCTCCTTTGCTCCAGCATGAGACCCAGTCGAGCAAATCCTGGGTTCTTCAAGAAAAAAATGGATGAAAGATGTCATATAAAAGGATATTTTCTGCAGATTTTTTTCAGATCTGAAAATTTTTAGAAACAATTACCGTAACAACACATATGGACATCAGTCGAAATCATTTGACATCGCGGTCTAGGTTTTCAATTATTAAGTGGCATAAAATATGGAGACGAAAACCTGTAAATCGTTGTGTCAGTGTCGTTCTTCATAGGTCCGGCCGTAGCGCAATCTTCCTTTGATGAACAAAAACCCGAATTGACCAGAAACCCTCTCGTCGGAATTTTCCCGCTACACACGGCTCAAAATATTGACGAGAAATTGTGAAACAAAAATTGCTCTAATTACCTATCTGGCAAAATGTAACCTTGTTGCCTGTTTCAGGATAACCACGCAGATTCTTCGCATTTTGTCCGCTTTCATCACACCATTCTGTTTCACTTTTGCAGTCTTGCAGCACATTACAGAGTTTGAACCCGAAACTCGCCTTTCGTACAAATTTTGTCAAGTTTGTACCTGAATATCAAGGAAGAAATTAAGCGATAAGTTGAGAAGGAGATACAATGTTGAAGGATGCTTCATATCAACTTTTTTAGGTTTGAACTTTTTTAGGTCAAAAAGATGGTAGGAAGGGATTTAGGGTGCGCGAATTTTCGTGAGCGGGAATTGTGCATACACCAATATTGGGGGCTCGAATCTTTGCAAATTTGAATCTTTGAAAACGATTCTTGGAAATATTCACTTCGTTTTTGAAGTTTCATTTTTTCCCTTTATTTCTTTTGTTCTTTGTAGTTGTATTGTGGGATGTCGTGTGAGAAATCGAAAAGGAACTGATTTAGAGTTAACTTCAAAAATAGCATGAATTTAACAGGTGCGGTTATTGAAATCGATACAATAAAGGAAAGTCAATGAAAAGAAAAATGTAATAAGATGAATACAGGGGTCTGGGCGCCGGATTCCAGAAATAACTAGCCTCGAGAGAGTTTCTGAAGCGAATCAGAAGAATGTGCACGAAAGACAAGAAAAATTGGCACCCCATAAAAATCAAATGATTTCAAAAAAAGAACAATTTCAGTAAATTAGAAAGAGATAAGTAAGAACTAAAAAAATTTTAAATGGAAATTGACTGAAGTTTCGAAAGTTCCTTTCAATAAACGTATCAAATTTTTTAGCCAAATTTTTTGTTTGGAAACATTTCCTAAATTTTTAGACGAGGCTGGCATATCCAAAAATGGCTCTAAATGCACGGAAAACAGGAATTGAAAACAAATTTTAAATTTCATATTTTTAGGTTAGATATTTTTTTCCGAACCTTCAAAGCAAAACATCAGAGGTTTTCCATCGTTGCTGTTGTCGAGACCTCTATTTTCCTCATAAATATTCGCGACGACGTCGCAGAACTCCTCGACTTTGCAATCGTCGTGTGTCGTGCAGTGTTCGAGATTCTGCGGCTTCACCGACGTTTTATTGAAGCCGACAGGAGTCTTTTTCGCATCAAAGTCCACGTACCAATACGGTATCGCTGGAAGCCGAATTTTGATTTGAAGAACTAGTTATGACTTAAACTCGCAGTTTTAATTCTTCTCTACAATAGAGAAATTGGAGAGCTTTTTCTCGAGCAAAAATACGAAAGGTCGAGAGCAAAAAGAGAGGCCGCTAAAAGGGTCCTTTTTACAAGAATTCCTTTTTTTGAATTATATAAGTTTAAGAAAGGTGGAAAACATAAAGACTTGGATGATTTTTTGATTGATTAATTTGCGGATGTGATAAATGATAAGGCTCACGACAACATAATTTCCCGGCTGATGGAGTGTCTTCCAAATAAGTTCCATTTCCACATTTAGTGCCGTTCGCCGCTTTACCCAGCATTTTCGTCGAGCATTCCGCGTGACCTTCAAAATTTCCATGAGTTTTTAAAAAAAAAAGCACAAAAATGCAGCGGAAAACTGCAAAGATTTTCATTAAAATTCGAAGAATATTTTGTTGTTTTTTCTCAGTGCCCTCTTCATCTCTTGGTGACCGTCTCACGTTAACATGCTATTTCCATTTTTTCTGAATTCGCCGGTGAGAGAACAGAGAGACGCAGACGCTCGGAAAGTGTCAAGTCGCGTCGAACAAACTATTTCCCGAAGCTGGGAACCATATGATTTCTCTGCGCTCTTTTCACTTTGAGTTATGTTTCCATTATTCTATGACTTCGCCGGTGAGGGAGAAGAGATTACAGAGAGGTTAGAATTTATCAAGCAAGAAGAGTTGGCAAAATTTGATTAGACAAACCTGAACAACATATTTTGAACGAAGTGTTGCCAAAAACGTTCTCGTAGTTCACGGAGACACATCTCGATCTAAAATTTTTGAAACAAAATGAAAATTTTCAAAAGTTCTCCTCTAGCTCATCAATGACTTCAAAATGTGGGTTTCGCTTTCGAATATGAAAAAAACGAAACGTTCACTTTTTTTTTCAAAAGTTGCTGGCGATAAAACAATGTGAAAAGGTGTGAGAAAAGGATTGACTCGAGAACTTACACTTTGAAACCGTCGGGGTCGTTTTCGACTTTACAATCGTCGTCTTTCTGACAGTGATGCTTCTCAGTGCCATTTTGACTCATACCGAAGGTTCCGAAAGGACATTTTGGGGCTAAAGCTAGATTATGAGTATCGGAGAATGAAATTGAAGATTTAGAACGTTTGACGGTCGTTGAGAGAAATGGTTCAAAGCTTCGCGGTCACTTTGAACCGGTGAATTTTCTCAAGAGTGCTAATGTTTCGATAAAAAAACTTGCTTGTAAGTGACACTTATCTGAAGAAAAAGCGCAAACCGCCTAAAGTCGGGCGCAGCTTCCGTTCAACTGCCAAAAAGCAGCGCAACCGCGACGCTCCAAACCATTTCACAACGTTCTAAATTGTGGAAAATCAGAATCGAACGAACTCTCGACGCAGAATCCTTTGAAGTCAACGGTTCTATTCTGACTAATTTGCGGGCTTTCTAGAGCAGAGACGGTGGAATTGGGTGTGGTGAAACAGAAATTGGCGCAATCTTGGTGTTCGTTGCAAGGTTCAACTCCCCAATTGTGATCCAAAGCCGCTGGATCGATATCTGAAGATTATCAGACGATACTCAAAATTAGTCATACTTCGAAATTTTTGAAACATTTTAAAACTCGACTTTTTGGCGCAGAAAAGCGGGCAAAGTCCAAACGGCCTCAAAAAGAGGAATCTAAAACTCTTTTTCGAGTTTCTTAAAATGTTGAAAGTTTCCCTGACATTCCTTTTTTCACTATTTCCCGCCATTTTCTTGTTACTTTCTTGAAAAGATCCTTTTAAGAAGAATGTCAAGAAAAAAATAATAAATTTTAAGGTCGTTTTTTTCATAGGGTTCTATCAGGTTCTTTTAAACTCTACCGTGACAGTCTGAAAAAATTACCGATTGAGCTCATTTATGGCAATTGATCGAGAAATCTCCAAATATCCGAATTTTCACACGATCCAGACACTCTAGAGTAGGCCTGTCGTTGTTTTATTTTATTATTGTGGCCTGTTCATTTTTTTTCAATACTATTTTTGTGCACAGATGCAAGTCTAGTCTAAAAAACTACGTCTAGTGAGTGAAGTATTAAAATTCTCATTTTGAGCTGAGACTCTGGCGCAATATTTTTCAAATTATAGTTATTTTCATTTTTTTGTAGTTTAAATACCATTTTTTTTTAGTTTTTTTCCTTTCTTTTCGATAAAAATAAATCTCACAGTCGTAGCAGAAAAACGAAAGTTTCCTGTCTTCCGGGAAGTTTTCATTGTAGGCGGCGTCACAAAACGTTTTCGAGCCGCAATCTTTGTTGCGGAGACATTTTTCCGGGGACGGCAGTCCTTTCAGGTAGCCACTCGGAAGTTTCAACTCGGCTGATATATTCGACTTGTGAAGGAAGAAAGATGTTGGAGCCGCTTCAAAAAGTTTCGTTTTTGTTATTTTCTTTTATCTGACGTTTAATATAAAATCTAGGGTTATAATCATTTTTTTAAAACATTTACGGAAAAAGTCTGTGACTCACGACAGCAAATATTGCCAGACGAAGAGTTTTCCATTCTTTCCAATGTCGGACATCCCTTAGGAGGAGCAAGAATGTGAAGGATTTGGGCATTTTTCGAGTCGTTCCGACCGGCGATCATGCCCGATTTGCAACGGTAAGGAACTCAATATGAAACGATTTATTTTGGAAGAGGACTTGAAAAAAATCTGCAGAAAACTCAAAATTTGAGTTTTTCCTGGTCTTGTCTGATACATCTTCAAGTACACTTTCTAGAAATGTGTTTTTGTGAATCATTTTTAAAGACGTTACTTCGCGCTACAAATATAAAACCATAAATAAATTCAAAATATCCTTTTTCGTAAATTACCGCTGGGTTATATTCCCACAGATTCAACAAGTGATGCCACTTTCTATGCTGTTAGGAACATCATGAGATTTTCTCAGAACACTCCTTGATCTTCCAGAAGAAGATAGTGAAAGTCTTAACCTTGCCAACTTTCTAGTTTTCGAGAAAGGACACCCCAACGACAACAAAAACCCTTGAAACCCGTTGAAAGAAATCCTTTTCTGATTTTCAGACCTTCAGTTCTTGAGAACTGCTGGATTGCTCAGGTTGACCCTTTCAGGATATTCATCTGGTATGCCTAGGAGTAATCAGGCCTTATTTCAGGGAAGTTTGAGCCAGAAAGTAAACTGACTTTCCTTGGATCGATTTCGATTGAGTCAAATTTTATTTGAAGAGATATAACGACTTTTTTTCATTCAACTTTACCAATTTTTTCCCACTTACTGCAACAGATGGCTGAAGTATTCATCTGATAGCAAACTTCGCCGGGAGTGCTGCAAACCGTCGAGTTTCCCAACTGACAGGCCTCCGAAGGACTCTCCCCAGCAGGACAATCTTTGGAACACTTTTTCTCTTTCCTCTTCACAAAACTCACTTTCGAGGACATTAGAAGACGATAAACTCATGAGAAAGGCAAACGTTAAGAGCAGATAAAAGTGTACGAGCATTGCTGATGGAGCACACGATATGAAATAACTCAAATTTCACGTCTTCCTTTTTATTAATATTTTGCTTTCATACCCAATATTTATTAATTACACAAAAAAAACAAAAGACCCGTGAGTTATAGCCGTATCCAGTGCAAAAGTTTCATGGGAAAGTCTCCTTCGCTTCTCAAAAACCATCTGGAAGAATATTAAATCTCAAAAAAATTTGGAAATAATTACTTTGAAATTAATCGAGCCATGGCGAAATGGAGCTGTTCGGGAAGGGCTGCGACGCATTTCAAGAGAAAGAAAAAAGTGAAAATCCAGTCCTAAAAAAGGAATTTTCGATTTTTTTTAAAAGGTTTTCGAAGAGGGGATACTTTTACAAAAAAAAAGTCAAAACAATCTTAAGACTACATAATTTAAAATATATAATCAGTTTCCTTTGATTTCTACCCTGTTATTTTTCCCTCGATTCGGATTAAATCCGGAGCTTTTTCCATCTTCTAAAGCCGCCAACAAATCGTCCCGATAGGTGATTTGATGAAAAGTTGCGTGGAAGAAATAATCGACGAAACGGATAATTTCCCGGAATCCGGCCATATCCTGCAACAAAAATTAGACTCAAAACGGGAAATTAGTGCATTTCGACCTCGAAATAGACTTCCATGCAGCAAATGGACAATCCTTTTTCCGTAGCGTCCTGATACCAACTTTTCGTTGTTTCCAAATGTTCGCGGTTCAAAGAAGCTTCGATTTCCGACGGATCCAGTAGGATTTTCCTAAAATAATATGAGAAATAGTCAAGAAAACTCTACTTCCTTTCTAAATTTCGCAAACTAAAAGAAAAACATTTACTTATATTTCTTGGCTTTCGCAAAATTTATTCAAAACTTACAGATTTTCTATCAATTTTCCGCGCTCGCAATGAAAATTGCAACGTTCATTTTCGTGTCTCAAGTCTATGGACACGGACTCGTAAAACTTCAATAACAACGTTTTCATCGCAATGTAGACGACCTGAAAAATAAAAGAACTAACTCATTCATATTTTGATTCGAAAATACCTTCGGAATGTTCCCGTAAAGCCTCGCCTCTGACCGGCTTATAAACCTCGAATTGTATTGAACGTACTGTGATATGTGAAGAAATTTGCGCGGCGGTATAATACAGCCTCCATCATTGTTTATCAGAAGCTCAAATGAATAAATGAGTCCATGGAGTACATATAAAGTTGAGCATGTTTGGAAAAACTAAACGAAGAAATAATTTTAAAAAAATTTTTTTCGAGTTCCTAGATTTTCGAAGCTTAGAAATAATAATTCTCCAAGTAGAGATTAAAAATAGTAAATCGTTACAAAAAGATTATTATGCATGCAGATGTGCGTGGCTGTGTAGGTACGAGAAACATTAAACTTTACGCCAGAACGGTTCACGTCGTTTTTTTATTTTATGAAAGAAAAAAATATTTTTTTCTTTTAATTTTCCTCAACCAAGTTCTTTGGCAACTGTGGATTATTATTTTATTTGTGATTCCCACACTTTTTGCTGGAACTTGACTATTTGGACTAGTAGAGTTATCAAATTTCCCTTTTAAAATGGGCTTTTTACTTTTTTTTTTCTGGTGATAGCCAACCTTGAACCTATGAAGCGTTTCAACTTGCTCTGAACTTTGAACAGACTTTGGCCTGAATAATACAAATAAATCTTATTGATCTTGAATATCTTACCTTTCTACTTCTAACTAAAGCCACAGCTTCCATTGGCGAAATACCTTTTCTGTACATCAAAACCGCCGCAATGACCATCCCTGGAAAATTGATAGGTTTAACGTTTTTATCTTTTTGCGAAGTTCTCTCACCTGTTCTTCCATGGCCGGCATGACAATGGATAGCGACTTTTCCTAAAAATTCGAATTCTTGAGCTTGAAGAAAATGGAGACAACCTGTCGTCAAGGCGTAAGTGACCACTTTAACAATGTCCAAAAGTCTTGGCGCCGAGCACGAATGAAAGTCCGGCATTGGGAAGTTGTAGTAATATACTGAAAATTGAAAATTTTCCTTCAAACTTCTAAAAAGTATATGAAGCCGAGAACATACAGGGTTGGCCGATCAAGAATAAGCGTTGGAATTTCGACTCATATTTTATTCCTAAGCTAGGATTTGAAAAGGATATCGATTCTCGGCACCGAAGTTGGGGACAGTTCATACTTTCGAATACCTTATAGAATTTTATCTCTTTTTTTATAGTTAATAAAACCTAAAAATTACTCTTTTTTCTATACGGTCAGCCTAATGTTTCGGTTCTTTTTGAAGCAGGAAACCAACTTCCATTCCGCATGAGCAGCTCCGGATCGTAGCTGAAGCCGGAAGTTCCAACGCCCGTTCCACAAAAGGAGTGTTCGCCGAATTCTTGTAAGTTCACCACAGAGTTTATTTTGTTTCTGAATTTGCGATTTTTAACATCCAGAAATCTTACATGATTTAATTTTCCACGGAAAAAAGATTATTCATTTCGAAATTTTCGAAAGAATTTCATATTCTCTTTCAAATCCACGGTAAGAAAAATTGCGCTGGCTACAGTATGCTTTATACGTTTCCGCCTGGACTGACTTGGGAGCTTCGATGAGCAATATTAGAAAAGGCTTTTCTCCGTCATTGAAATTTTTTTAGTTTGAAATTATTTAAATTGACTCTAAAGTGAATTGAACTGTTCTCAGAAAAAATATAGAAGTTTTCACTTCCAATTACTTAGAAACTTCAAAGCGAACAATTAAAAAAAACTTTTTTATAATTTTTAAGTTCATACTTGGCTAAATATTTTCCAAATTAGTTTTTGACAGAAATCATTGAATGATACTTGTCGTTCTATTCTGATATAATCTATCAAAATTACGAATTTTCCGGTCAAGATATCCGTTTGATTATCTTGGCATTCTCTATAAGATATTTGTAGCCAGAAATGGAGGCTACAAATTTCCAAGATCTAGAAATTGTTGCATCTACGAGACGTTTAGAAGCAAATTGAATGATCAAAAGGTATTTTCCTGTCGATATGACATTCTAAAAACAAGTTTGCCCAAGATTAAAGAAAAAAACCGACTCTTGAAAGCTTCGAATCAAGTCAAATTGGTCAAAATGAGCTGGTTGAAGTCGGGCCATAGCCAAGATCTCTTCGGTGACCCTGAAGTTGTTCAATATTCAAGTTTTCTTCTTATTTTCTCAAAAATTATAAACTAACCAAGTTGAATAAAGACCTCGAATAGCTTGAATATTTTCTGGACCATCGTTGACTACACAAAATCTGCAGATCGGTCCGCGGCAGTAGATTTTACATTTTGAATCGCCGGGAGTTATTTTCAGGATTCCAGTTCTCAACGTGGAATAAGTTGCTGTTGCTGGAAATGTTTTTCATATTTCGAATTGTCGAGAAAAAATCCATGCAATGTTTATTTTCCGTATGATGGAAGATGAGTGGGGCATTAAAATCGTAAAATTGGAGATAAATTAAATTTTAATTTTAAAAAGTATACCTTTTTGATGAGATCCCAGCTTCAGGAGTTGTTTATGACCACTGGTAGAAGTTGAAGACATTTCCTAGCTGCAATTTAGCAAAGTCAATTTTTAAAAAGAGCACAGAACTTATGGAAGAGCTTGATTTTTTAAAAATGCTCTCTCAGAAAGTTAGCCTCTTAGTTGATTTTTGAGATCATTATAAGACTTTTTTGAAATTTCGATATAGAAGCTTCGGAGATTTAGCTCATTTTCTGATCAGAATTTGACAGAGGTAAATTCTATTTTCAAGGGAAAAATCAAAAATCAAGAAAAAGATGGCTAATGCCATCAAATCCTATTGAGATCCTATGAGGATTAACGAAAGGAAAAGACGGAAAGAAGCGGAAAAAAAAACAAACCTGAGGAATTTAGTCACGCAGTGGGACGTCGCCATGGCCACCGGCCCCGAAGGCACAAAATAACTCTATTCAACTCAGTTTTTTTTTCTTCCGATTGAACACTTTTACCGGAAATAAGCAGAGAAATAGAAGTTGAAGGAACAAGAAAAAAAAAGAAAGAAAAAGGGGAAGAAAAGAGGAAATTGAGCCGGAAAGGCATAGCCTTTTTGGATGGGGATAAGTGTTCTGGAGCCGAGAGAAGGAACAAAAAGTTTTGAATTTGAAAGAAAGTTTTTGATTTTCTGCTTTTGAAGCCTTTCAAAAATTGAAAAAAAGAGAAATTCTTCTAATTTGAAAGGTTCTTAGATCTTTCAAATTTGCAACCATAAGAGTTAGATTTTGGTTTCATTTTATTTCATTATTTTTGAAAGATACTTTCCAGTTTCATTGCAAATTCATAAAACTTTAATCATAAAATTCTTTATTGTTGAGAATGACTCGTCGATTCAAAAAGAAAATCCACCGTCTGAATATTTTTTTCGTTGATTTGAAGACGAGAAACTTGAGGAGAAAAATAGGGTCTATGAAAACTCCTTTCAGAAAAATTGCTCAAGAAGTTCGATTCACTTTTTTGAACTCATATAAATTTATGAAAAACCTTCAAATTTTATAGACAATTCATTCTTTCGCAGTTAAACTTGAGGTTCAGGAACTTCGAAATATATGCCATTAGGGCTTTTTTAGAAATCTATGAAATTTAGTCAAATGAAATTTTTGAACTCTTATTTCAAGTACCCATTCTCTCAGACCCATTTGAAAGTATTAAATCAAAAATTCAGACAGGGATTTTGTTTATTTTTGAATTGTGAAATGGAATTTTAAGCGAATGAGAAGGTACAAAACTAAAGCAACGTGGTGGAACCCGTAGACGTGATAATTTAGTTGGGATTGCGTAAATTGGGATGACGTCACGTGAGATTCCGGTCTCGAGAGGAAGATCTCGCGGAGACGTTGCCAGGTCGGCTGCGACTGCGGTTCGAGTCGTCGCAGGTCGCCTCGACGCGCGACGTCTCGAAAACGCCTTCTTCCAGCGTCCGGTACCGGTCTTCGTAGTACTCGAGACAGCTGGAAAAGATCAAAAGTTGAAGAATGGCTGTGCGAGGGTCGACTCGTCAGTCTGTAGGACTCCGGGCTTTTTTCTAAGCCCGACATAGACCGATCTTAACGAGGCTTCAAGCAAAATCCGACTCGCCACATTGAGCGAAAATTTCTCGATTTCCCCGTTCAAAAACAATATTTCTGAAGTTCGAAAAGCCTTATCACCCAAACAGAAAGTCTGTATAGAGATTGAATAAGTCAGATATTCTTCTAAAGGTCACGTTTCAAAAGCACAGCAGAAGAGAATCTACCGTAACACAGCTTTTTTATGGTCTCGAAGCGAAGTTTGTCTATTTTTGTATATAGTCTTTCGCAGACCAAAGAAACAAGCTGAAAAGAAAGGGGCTGAACACCAAACTACATACAAATCGCAAAAAATTATCATTATTTTATTACTATAAAAAATCAAAATTACCTATAAATGACGATCGCCTGCCAAACATGGATAAAAGAAAGCAAAATGCAGGCGGAAACTGTCCCCGCGACGACGACTAAAGTCAGAGATTTCGATGGCGGTTCTGCCATGTCAAGTGATCTTCCTGGAGAATAATCTTACTAAAATGTTCACAAAAAGGAATAGAACTAACCAATTATTAACCGCATCGTTTCAAAAACTAATTAATGAAAAATATGGTGATAATGGTCGCCATGAGCATACAAACAAACTGTTGAACGACCTGAAATCTTGGTCTTGGAGATTTTTATAACAAATTTTTTTCAAAAAAATCGGCTCCAGTGAAAAGAATGAACCCAACATCCGGAAAATAAAAAAATCTTTTCGGCTTTCTAAATAAAAAAAGTTTTTACAAGGTATTCGAAGTCTTTTCAAGACGCAAACGCTCATTTCCAAGACCTTTTATTTTTTTTTTCACTTCTGCTAATAGACAATTTTCGGACTCTCTTAACGAGAAGCTGTTCGAAAAGGCTGAAAAAGGGCTTCTGAAGAGCTTTTTTCTAGCTTTAACCTCTTGGAGGTCGAAGAGGCTTTCAGGACTTTTTCCTATTAGAGAAACTTTTAATTTTTTGAAAAGAAAACTACTTACTTCTTTAAATAATTAGATCTGTACTCTTTTTTTTAATTTGCCAAAATGGAAAAATCGTCGTTTCGGTAGGACTAATATGGGAAATAGCTCACAAAACTTCGAAAATAATAAAAAACTAACAGTGATAATCAGAAAAGGGTAGAGATATTTGTGTCTTCTGGAAATGAAGGCGTAGATTCCGAGGACGACGACGCAAATCGGGACGATGAGCCACGTCAAAGTCGATCTCATGCCGAAAAACCATGGAAAAATCCCGCCGACAGTACATACCAAATCAGGCAGATCTGGGTTCCTGTCTGCAAATTTTTTCGTTCTTACCTCAATATTACTGATAAGAAGTGATTAAATAAAAATAAAACAAGTCGTTCTGTATTAATTCAGAAAAAAAATTTGAAAATTTTGAACTGTTCTTGATAAAAAATCACAAGAATTTTCAAAATTTTATCTCGCTGAAATTTTTCTTTCTTAAAACTTTGCGAAAAGTTAGTAAAATGAAAACAAGTTTAATAAGTTCTGATTGATATTGTCACGTTTTAAATGCACAGCAAGAAAAAACTAACGTTTTTCCTGCACCTTTAAACTGCGAAAAGAAAAAAGGTCTTGAAGCGAAGTTGATAAAATGCGGTTCAATTTGGTATACGGTCATTTCGGAGGAAAAAATCTTACAAGCTGGCGCGGAATAGGCTATATACAGTACCTTATGAAAAAAATGAATGTTTTGTTCACAACTTTCTTGTATGGAAGTTGAAATTATAAAACTGCGGTTTTTTTATTCTGCAAGCTGAAAATCCCCCAGAATGTTACAAATAACAATCATAATAACTCAAGAAATTTTCAGAAAGATCAAACTACATACAAGAAAGCTTTGATTAAAAAATCGTTTTTTTGTATCTTTTTTTTCATCGGAAAAGTTAAATTCAAAAAGAAAATTTTTTTATTTACACTTCAAATCAACTAATGCAGAATACAATCCCTACGTGATCGCGCAGAATTTTCCAATTTTTCCAGATAAAATTATAATTCGTTCATTATCAAAATTATCAAATATCACAACAAGAAGCTCGCGTGAAACGTAAATCTGTCCATTTCTTTGAAAAGGCTTTTGGAACAGTTTCAGTTAAAACTTAAAAGAGAGATGAGAGAGCAGTTTTTAAAGTGAGAATTATCAATGAGGAATGATTGAACTAAAAAAAACGAACCACAACATGGCAAACTCCGCAAAAACATCGAAACCGCTTTTCTGTCATTTCGTCGTGTGGCATCTGGAAATTAAAGAACGATAATAATTAATGGACCGAATAGTGTGAGCCCTAAAGAGTTCACTTGGATCTAATATTTGATAAAATACTTTATAAGGCTTAACACCACTTTATTCTTTGAGAGCGCGGGGGGGGTTTAGTCTTGGGACCTGAAAAAGGGGAGTGGACTTGGCAGAGAAAAGAGAAAAAAAGGGGGGAAGTAGACAAAAAAACCGTAAAAAAAGTTTTTCAGGGTGGGCGCTAGACGGCGCCAGTCCAATCTTTAAAAAAAAGAAGCAAAAACTCATTTTGTAAAGTGAAATCGATTGGCATTTTTTTTCGGAAAAACTTTGAATGAATCAATGAAAATATGTTTCTCGAAAACCATGGAGCATATGCTCTAGAAAAACGAAGAAGCTCTATTTCTCACATCATCAAAATGACCAAAGACGAGGTTCAAAGTTCGGAGAAAACGAGGAAAACGTTTTCCACATGGTCGAGTTTAATTAAAAATTGGAAAACTTTCTGGCAATTATCCAATAAATTTTTACGACCGGAAGTTCAAAAAAGAGAGGTAAACATTGAAATTCTCGAATCGAAAAAAAGGAAATAAAATTTTTTTTTTAATAATCTCAAATTCCTGCTGAAGCTTTGAAGTCGCGGAAGTCTGTTACGGTCTCAAATATTACAAAAAACGGCAAAACGGCAAAAACGGATTTTCAGACTCTTTTGAAAACTTTCTCTGATGTTTTGGAAAATTTATGGACGCTCCAAAATAAATTCAAAACTCAGCAGAACCAGGAAAAAGTGAACTTGAGGTTTTTTTAAAATCTTTTTAGCCGCTTCTTTCCTTCGAAATTTTCTTCAATCATTAATTTTAGGAGTTTCTAAAACAATCAAAACTAACTCTTACAGAAATTATAATAAAAAAGAAGCATGAAAAAGAAGAAGCAAGGAAAAATGGAAAATGTCGGAAAAAGGTCGTTAAATAGTTATGCAAGATGTTAGCAATTCATTGTTCCGAGGCCAGCAGTATTTTTTATCGTTGGCCATTTGGCCGGAATATGCCTCTGGGCGGTTATTCTTGGCCTCCAATGCTTTCCGTCGACTCATGTTCTTTTTTTTGAGAGCATAGATACCCCGCGGATTTGGGTAAAAAAACAAGGCCAAACTGCAAAATGTATATTTTTTCGCTTTAGAAAACTTTTCATGATTTGATCAGATAAAACAAAACAATTTCTAAACTTGAAGGTTTGAAGTTTTCAAAATGAAAATGTACATATTGATTGCAAAAAAAAGAGAGTAAAAATGTTTTCAAATAAATTTATTGAATGATCGCTCATAATTTTTCTAATGATTTGAAAAAACCAACAAGAAAGAAAATTTGAGATGACCTATAGGTATGAGGATTGGACTTTAACGTACCGATTTCAACGCAAAAGAAAGGGAACTAGAATTTTCGAAATGCCATCATTATTTGTAAAGTTTTCTATAGAATCGAAAAATCAAAGAGAAAGACTGTTTTCGTCAAAATCTAAAAACGGAAAGATGTTCTAACCAGTTTAAAAAGTAAACTTTCGAAATTGGACAACTTTGAGCCAAAGTTAAAAATTGAAACTGAAAGTTCAAAAAGCACACTTTTAGCTATTTTAGGCATCCTCTAGTCACAAAATATCAGCAGACGTGTTTGTTAATTTTTGAAAAAAAAGATTATTTTCGAGCCATTTTCGAAAAGTCCATTCAATCCTTTCAAAAAGAACATTTCCGATTCTAATCTTCAATTTAGGAAACAATTCTTAAATGAACGATTTTTAGCTGAATTCAAAAAGGTTAAGCCAAGCATTTCAAGAAGCACATTCCTGATCGTAACATGCTTCATCCAGTCTCAAAACTCCGACAGTAACTGGAGGAAAGAACATTGAACAGTCCAGAAAAAGCTCGGAAAAGGCTTAGAAAATAGACCTCTCGGAATGGATCTGATAAATGGAATTAGACGCCCATGGGCGATCAAGCGACGCTCTCCGTTCTACCAAAGTTTCGCCTCCCTCGCCCCGTCCATTGTTATTTCCGAAAAGAATGGAGAACGAAGCCGGAAATTGGCGGAGACAAGTTTCAAGACGAAAAGAAGTGGAAAACGGAGAAAGAACGAGGAAATTCGGAGGAAGAAGTCAAAAACTCGGCTCACAAGCTCATTATTGCAGCGCGAATTGCAAATTTCTTTTCATTGAAACGAGGAAAAAAAAATGTAAGAACTGAAAATCAGTCTCGATTGTGTGCAATATGAGGAATTCATTGGACTATGGAGATTTTTTTGTAGGAGATAAAATATGAAATTTCTAGAGACAATTTGGATTTTTTTCTAATTTTTTTCATTTCGATAAAGGGAAATGACGAACTGAAAAAGACCTGATTCTGATTTTAACTATTTTTGGGTTAATAATCGAGAAAAAATGCTTCCAGGCTGAAATCTTCTGATTTCATGAACTAGAAATCTTCCAATGTTTTGAAATTTTGGGACCGCAGCGCAACCGCAACGCGTCGAGCCATTCCACTTGCGATAATTTCAAGTCCGAGTGAATGAAATATGTTAAGTAGAACCAGCTTTTGATTTCTAAAGTAATAAAAATCAAGACTAGATTTTTGAACAGCTGGTCTTGTGAACTAGAGAAAAAAAAAGCAATGATGTCATTTCAATTAAAAGATTTAGAATCGAACGCTTCTCTGACGTTCTTTCTATCTTTGAATTTCTTTCTTGAAGTTATTTTAAAGGAAAAATAAGAATGTTGAAAATTAAGTATAATAAAAAGAAAAATGCAAAATATAAAAAGAAAAAAAAATTTTGAAAATTCGAAAGAAAAAATAATCGAAGGATGTTCAAAGAGGAAAGAGATAAAGAGTTGAAGAAGCGGAAGTTTCAGAAGTGTTCATGACTTCCGCCTAATTCGACATATTAAAAAAAGGGGGCTAACTGAATTGATTAAGGGGGGCAAATGTTATGCGTTCGCGGTAATTCGAGCGTTATTTTGACTCTCGAAACGAAGTCAGGCTTTTTTTGGTTGCTGCCGTTCCAGGAGCTATTAGTCTGGAATTGCTGGAAATCAAAAGAAAAAAAACCGAGCTGCAAAACAAGGCGTAAGATCGACGAGGTTCGGATTATAACTATTTGTTTCTTTTTTTTCGGATCTATGCTTTTGCTTTGAAGACTGGAGGAAAATCTGGGGCTTCTAGGATCAAAGGAAGGGTTGGAAAATATGAGGAGTTTATTAGAAAAATATAATTTTTGTAGACTTCAATTCAAAGTGTTTCAAAACGGTTAATCAAAAAATAAATAATTAGAAAGAAAACATAGTAGAACCAAAAATGATCTTTCTAATTTTTAAAGCTCATGGTTGCATTCAGAATGGCTCTACGCGTAGCGGTCGAAACCTGGTCAAACATGAAAGATTGCAGATTTTTCAAATACTTCCTAGCGCAAGTCGTTTTTTGGTCGGGCGCGTCAAAAATAAGCGATTGAGCGTTGAATTCAGGAGAATTTCTCTATAAGAGAAAAAGGTTTTATACAAAAAAAGCAGTTGTAAGTAATTTTAGCGAAAAAAATATTTTTTTCTTTTTGGAAATTAGTGAAATTTACGACTCCTAGAAGTAAAGGCTTCAAAAAAATGAAAAATAAACCGCTTATATTTTTTTCAAAGCTCAATGAAATTTTAATCACACAATTGAAACATTAAAACATACATATATCAATAAAAAAATAACCAAAACTATCCAAAAAAAGTTAAAACCTAACCAAGCAGATGAGAAAAAGGATGGCAATAAGAAAAAAATATTTTTCCGCTAAAAGTTCCTTGCCCAAAAACAAGTTTTATATCTTTCTTCCTAAATTACCTGGTTTTTCTCTAACGTCTTCAGCTATTCAAGACATTCCCAGAAAATTGCCTTCAATTAGACCTGCTCAGTCAAAAATAGAAGATTCCTAGAGAATAAAAACGAAAAAGGAGCGATTCTTGAGACAAAATATTCAATGAAGAGGAAGTCGAAAAGTCATTTAATTTGACGTTTGAGGAGGAAGAATCGGCCCAAAGTTTTTTTTTCCTGCCTGGCCGTCGAAATTGGAGCCTTTTCCATTAGCCGCCACGGCGATCGGATCTAATCTTTTCCTATTTTCCGTTTTTTTTTGTCTGTTTTGCTGGAAAGCTTTCGAGAATGAAGTTGATAAGGTGAGAAAAAGATTTTCCGGGAGGAAAAGGGCAAAAAATTAGGAGATATTGACTCCTGAGAGGTTTTGGAGGAGGAAATTGGATTGAATGCACTCTCGTGACTGCTATTTAATTATGCATATCGCCCATTAACCATTTTTTTTTGAGGAAAAAAGATCTGACGTAGAAGCTTACGTTTAGGCTGAAAAAAACGTGCTTCTTCCAGAAAAAGTGAGAAAAATTAAGCAAAGGGTCTTCAATGACTTGGAAATCGAAGGAATTATGAAATTTGAAATTAAAACTTAAAAGAACCAAATTGATATATCAGCTCTTTTTTTACCACACTCAAAAAAAGTTGCATTTGGAATGGCTCAACGCGCTGCGGTTCCAGACTTGCTTCTAAAAATTTTACCATAAAAATTTGAACATGTTTTCCAGAGATCGAAACAATTTATTTGATCAAAAGCTGAAATAGAAATCAAAAAAACTTTGGAGCCTGAAAAAAATTGAGAGCTAAAGCTTACTAAACTGTTTTTTTTTAAATAAAGATTTTAAAAAAATACTTTTTTTCATATATACTATTCATCATACCAGAACTACCTCCCTAAATCCCCAATTTCAAAAAAAAATAAATATGAAATTGCAGATTTTTTTCGCTTTTCAATGAAATATTTTTGAAAAAAACGTGGATGAATTTTATTTTCAAATCATTTCTCGAAGATAAAAAAACTTTTAAAGAGCGTTAAAATGAAATTTTCATCTATTTTCGTTGATTTTTGAAGCAAATGTGGAAGCTGGCTCGTTTTTTTGCATTCATTTCAAATGCAAAACAAAAAAACCACAATCTATGAATCATGAAGTTTGTGAATCAATGATTCAAAAGAGACGATCAAAAATAAAAACTGAAAGATAAGTTTTCTTTTGAAAAAAATGGATTTTTCTAAAAAGCATTTACAGTTAAAAAAATAGGTATTTCATCGGGCTCGAGAAAGAAAAAGGAAAAAAGGGACGTTAGAAAGAAAAACTAGAACCATATTATAGAATTGAAAAAAAGAAGAGAAAGTCTTCTTTTTCACGATACTTTCTCAAAAACGCATTAAAATCAAGAATTTTTTCAGGATAATCAGTTGGACTTCTAAGCTCTTGATCCTAGATCGAAAATGAAAAGAAAGATCTAATTTTCATCTAAAAAAGGCGGTTACTCCCAAAGACTTGAAAAAATGAACTAAATCCTTGAGGGACTTCTGAGAATCTTGTCACTCACATTGCAAACAGAAATATGAGTGGCCCCGCCTTTTTTCTGACCTTGCTTTCTTTTTTTGTTTAGCTTGGAGTCAGACAAGAGAGACGAGAGATCAAAGCATACAATGGGGCGGAAAACAGGGCTTTAATCCGAGAAAAAATTGTTTAAAAAAGATTTAGCGAGAAAATTTATTTGCTAATATTTTGGAAAAGCGGTCTTAGAAGATACGGTTACGAAGAAAAACTGAAACAACGTTTTTTTGTAGAAATTTTGGGAAAAAAAAAACAAAAAAAACGATTATTTATAGTGTTTTAACTGCTGTTTTTTTCAATCGAAATCTTCACCAAAAAAATAAATTTTAAAAAAATCAGTTAAAGAAATTGAAACTGTAAAAGGATTTATCCATGAAATTCTTCTCCAGAACTTCTTAAATAATCCTTTTTAGGAAACTTTTGAATTTTCTTTCTCCTCGTGATCTACTGAACACATGAAATAATCATCAAACATTTTTTTTGAGCAAAAACTAAAATTTTTCCAAATCTTGAAGGGGATAAGTCCAAAAATAAGGAAGACATATTTTTTTTCAATAATCTCCCTTTAATCTTATTATTAAGTTAACCTGAAGCTGGAATCTATTCACACCTTTTCAAATCTACTTTCCTTCAAAATCCGAGAAAAAAAGAAAAGAAACCAACCACGACGACCAACTGGACTTCTGTCCCAGTTCGGGACAAACTTCGTAAAGATGACGACATTTCCTGGACTACGGTAGAATCTCCCTGAAATACCAGAGCTTATCCAACGGCAAAAAAAGAAAACGTCATAAAGAGAGAATAAGAAAGGAGGAAGTTGGAACAATTCTTGCCGAATTTGAATGAATAATGAGAATGAAATGACGAGAAAATAGGAGGATGAGCTGTAGGACACTACTGGGAAAATTGCCAAACGCAAGGAAAAGACGGAAATCCCATGTTTGAAGAGATGGAATGTTGTTAAGAAGACCTATCGAGTCGTGCTCGTTGAACTCGAGAAAATCTCAGAGAGGTGAGAATAGATTCTGAAAAGCGAGGCGTGTTGGCGACGCGGTTTTACAGACTTTTAGTTTTTTTTTTTGGCTTGGAACCCTAGATTGAAAGAATGAACATTCTTTTCGAACTACATTTAGAGCTCAGAAAGAGGATTCTAATATTAGATCCTCACAAAAAAAATTATGAATTCGAGGAATCATTCGAGTTTTCGAACCAGAGAGCAACAAAAAAAGAAAAAAATAATTACGAAATCGCAGAAAAAGAAGCAATAAAAAACAAGAAGAAACCAGAAAAAAATATCTTTTTAATTTCAAAAAAAACTGTCATCTAAAAATTTATACTGAAACAATTTCATTACCTTATTTTCAATCAAAAACATTTGATCATATAACTTTCCAAAAATAGTTATGAAACAAAAGTTTTTACAAAAAAAAACAACTAAAACTTTCTAAAAGAGGCGACTTGCGTCGCGGTGTATGCACGTTATACGCCAACAGTAACCAATCAAAAAGCAGCAGGTGTTGTAAAAAATCGAAAAAAAGTTTTTTTTTCCGAGGTAGATTCCGAATAACTACGAAATTCCACGTCACAAACAGTAAATGAAGCTTTAATAAACTGAAACAACTGTTACAAAAAAAAGCAATACAGAAAACGTTCTAGAGCCCACAAATAAAGAAAGTGGGACCGACCAGAACGCGTTGTTGCCCCGAGGGGATAGTTTAGAGCCAATAAATAATCATGGGCGTTGGCGACTTGAAATAAGCAAAAAGGTTCAAGCTCAACAAGGATTATTGGAAAATTAATAAAAACGAACTCTCGACTGAAAAAGGATCCTTTTCTCGATTATTGGCCGCTTGGTGATGCGATTTCTGATGAGCTAACGAGACTTGAAATGAATATGAACCGGAAAAACGTTTGGTGCTTTTTGTGGTGGTTTTATTTCGCTCTCCGATTTCTTTGCTCACGGGCAAATTTGATGAGATATAGTGCATTCATGCTTCAAGAGGTTCATAAATGAGCTTTCAAAGTTCGCCGTAGTAAATAAAACAGAGGATTGGAACAAAGATCTCATTCGGAATCTTCTTTGATAATTTCAAAATATCTCTGTGGCTGAACTTGCTGTTTTCCAAAAATTGCTCTTTTGCTCTTTTCGAAACGCAACAGGCCGAACAAAGGAATAAATAAAGTGTTAAATCAAGGCTTCGAAATGGAAAACAGCACAAAACTCATTGAGCGTTGTTGATAAATGCGAGAAACAAGCGAATCCGAGCCGTTGAAATGAAAAACGACGCCGAAGGGGCCAGAATTGAATCTCGGAAGGAAAAGTGTTGGAGGTGGGACCAAAGAGCCGCCAATTCGGCCTCGATGAGGGCGGCTTCGCTTTGAAATTTCTTTAGGATGAACTTCCTTTGTTGACTTGATTAACAGCTTGTGAGACATTCGCAGTAATTTGAAGATTTTTCTGCGCCAGAAAAAAGCTTTGAAGCAATGTTCTCAGCTTTTTTACACGGCTCAATTGTGGCAAGCGACTCTCCAGCCATTCCAAGTGCGACCAAAACTTTTTTACCTATCAAACATGAATTTTTCACAAAAAAAATGCCAAAAAGTCGCGCGTCCTAAAATAGGAAGCATTCAAAAACCTGAACAAAAGTTATAGAAGAATGGAAAAAAGGCCTCGTCAAACTTCAATCAAAACGCTTTGAATGGAGCAATTTAAAATTTTGAGGGCGAAAATCGAGAGGCTTGAACTCAAATCGAAGTGGCGTATTTTTTTGAGAAAATCGAGCCTATGTATACCCTCAAGAATGCTCTGAGTGATCGTTCTTTTAAGTTTTGCAACCCCTAATTTAAAATAAATATTAATGTAACTTTATATAATTGTTTTGCTTACAGTTTGATCCCCGATATCAGAGCGCAAAAAAAAAGAAAAAATCAAAAATAGTTGCAAGCCGCGAAAATTGTATATTATTTTCTCAACCTCAAGAACACACACATTAGGAGATAAAACTATATTTATTTATAGTTAAGAACACGGAAATGATGAGCTTTCCAAAGAGAATATATAGTTTTTTTAGTTTCAGAGCAATTGGGTCTTTGAAAGATCTTTTTTTCAGTTTCAAAGTTTTATTTGACGAGAGACTATGAGAAAAATTACGAGTTTTTGAAAAAAATCATATCTCAACTGACTAATTAAATCGATTAACATTACTCAATTTGAAAAATCTTATTTTCATTCAGATACTCTCCTTCTTTGAGTAAAAAAATTCTATAACTCAGTCTATAAATATCTCCCAAAAAAGAAAACACGAAAAAAAAAGAATGAGTGCGAAAATGTCTTGAAAGTTTTCACTTGGCCCATCGCCAATCCGTCAAATGACACGTCAAGCTATTCTCCGAGGAATAATTTTTGGGGCAAACGCTCAAATTTTCAGAATAGTTTCGAACGCATGGACCCATTCTGAACGCACTCGGATGATTAAAATGTATTATTTACCTACAAAACTGTTTCAAAATAGTTAATTCAAAACATTTCAATGAAACTTCCTGGTAAAAACACGAAAAAACAAATATTTAACACTTTTTTCGTGTTTTCTTAAATTATAGTTGATTCGCCTCTGGGTTGAGTACAGCCTTGGCTTAGCAAAAAAAGTTTTGAATAAAGCAATTTCTTTTATTTTCATCACAAGGTTCCAATGAATGGAGCATTCAACTTCTTCCTTGATAACCCGAGGAAGAAGCTCCTGTTACATCGTATATTTCTGCACGCGCATAGGACGTAAAAGTGTACACACCGTACGCGCAAATTAAATAAAATTTCTGCGTTTCCCTTTTTTCTTCTTAATTCTTTCTCGCGTTTACGTTGATTTGTGTCGATTTTACTTTGTTATAGAGCGCAAAAAGTATAGTTGCAGGTTTCACATACACTAGGATTTTTTTAATCGGTAGAAATGTCGGCTCGCGGCGGAAGAGGACGACCAAACTTGGCGTTGGCTGGAAAACGGGAAACACAAGCGGAAAGTAAATCGAACGATACAGGAAAAAGGGCGAGGGTTTGTTTCAACAGTTTTTTTTGTTTATTTTTTTGAGAAAAAAATAAGGTTTTTTTAGGAGAGGTAGAGGCGGAGGAAGAGGTCGCGGGGAAAGAGGCGGTCGAGGTGGAGGTCGAGGTGGCGGCCAGGGATTGATTCAAACTGGCGGAATCTTTTCCGAAGGCCTGAGTGGTGGTGTGGTCGGAGCCAAGTCCAAGGATCGCGAAGTTTTGCCGAGTTAGTGAATATTGATGATTTTTTTATTTTAGTTTTTTTATCGGTTTCGAATTTCGATTTAATGTATGTATAATAAGTTCAAATGCTTTTTTTAAATTTGTTTCATTTAGTTTTTCAGAATTTTTTTAGGAAGAAACTTCATCTTCCTTTTTTTTTCTTACATCAATGATGCTTTTTTTTTCTGAAGCTCGCTAGAAATAAACAAAATCTGTGTCACTGGTAAAAATAAACTAACTTCACCAAACAAACTTTGCTTGTTTTATAGGGAGGAGAAACGTACAGAAGTTTTCCCGTAAATAACACTAAAAAAATCGATTTCTGCAATTAATGGAAAACTTTAATCATTCTTTTTATAATCTTTGAAAAACAGGAGAGTTTTTTTTTTGGTTTGATGCAATATTGCGAAATTCGATTTTTTTTTGTCTCTAACAAGGTTTTTTTTGATAATTACTATTTATTTATGGTCCAGATACTTTGTAGCTGTGACTTAGAACAGAAAAATGAAGATTTGGCTTTAGAGTTTTGAAACGATCCATAAAAAATGTGTTCAAAGCGATTTTCCGAAATGCAAAACTATCTCTGGCCCTCCAAAATTTAGTTATCTTTTCTTTCTCTAACGGCTAATCTGTATTTTGCGGAATCACTTTTGACACGACATGAGAAAGATGGATTTCAGCGTTCACAGTGAGCAAGGCAAAACAGAAAGAAGCGGAAAAAGAAGAGAAAAAAACGGATGAAACGGTAAAGGCATGTACTTCTTTTCGCGGCTACGAAGCCTTGTGGGAGAGCGACGAAGAAGCCGAGGAGGAAGAGTTGAAGGAAATCCTCAAGACCGGGGTTTCGAGAGAATTGAGTCTCTGAAACAGTTTTCTTTTCCAGTTCATCTCCGATCTGAAACGGGGAACTCAGCTTCCGCTTGTCCTGCCGACGGTCGATGAGACGCAGTTTATTAATGTTGGTTTTCCCTTCGATTTTCATTGAAATTTGCTATTTTTTCTCTATTTTCTTGTTCATAGATAACTTGGCGATTTAAGAGAGTTATTTTTTAACTAGAAAAAAACTTTTTGAATAAATTCGGCTCCTCTTGAAAGAAAAAAATTAAAGTAAATATTCCTTTGAAATCAAGAAAAAAATTTTTTTACGGTAATATTTTAGAATTGAACATTTTAAAAAAATAGAAAAAAATTTTTCAATAAATTGAGAATCCTCACTTTTTTTCGTTTCAAAAAAACATTTCAATCGGTTCTTTTTCATTTCTCCACCTTCCAGTTCTTATTTTTTTCTTACGGAAAAATTTTTCAGGTTATGCACAAAAGCGTGAAAGAGGAGCTTTTCTCGGACACAGAAGAAGAAAAATTGGAAAAGAAACCGGATTTGGAGAAGATCGACAAGAAAAAGTATTGATTCTCCTTTTGATTCTAATTTTTGCCTTTTTTTTAGAAAAGCTTTGTTAGAAGCTTTCCAAGAAGAAGAAGCGAATCCAACGCTGAGATATTCACGACAGGCGGCCGCTGCCCTCCGCAAAATTAATCAAGGTTTTTTTTTTGTTTTTTGATGAAGAATTGTCTTCTTGAAAATTATAAAAAAACAGATTTCAGTTCAAAAACTATGAAAAAAACCATTCCACGCTTGATTATTCCAATTTCGAAGGTTTTTTTGAGCCCTGGAAGAAAAATTGGAATAATATGATGATTTTTTTCAGAAAAATTTGGATCAGAATAGAAAAAAATTTTTGAATAAAGTCAGCAATTCGAAAAATAGTTTTTGGGTTTCTGTTCGAAATTTATGAGTTTTTAAGGTTTTAGCTTTTCGAAAGATTTTATTTTGAAACACAAGTTTTTCGATTTCTTCAGGAAAACCTTGAATGAAAAATAGATCATTTTTCACTTATGAAGTTTTCATTTTGTTTTGTGGATTAGTTATTTTAAAACTTTTCCATTATTAAGAAGGCTCGCAACGGGAATTTATGCTTTTCCAACTTCCTTCGGTCGTCGGAGCCCTTTGTCGACAAGAAGCGGCAGCCGCGGTAGCTGAACCTCAACCTGAGGTACCCCTCAATTTTTGAAACAGGAAAAAAATTATGTGGCTGCCTTTAGCAATATTTTACAACAAACAAATTGAAGTATTTTGTACGGTAATCAGTAATAGAAGAATTATCTGTTTATTTTGTATTTTTTAGGAACAGTAATTTTTATACGTACTAAGTTTGGATCTTTAAAGGGATCAGCGGGAAAAATCAATACTTAAAATTCGTTTTCGGCTTTTTCGAACGGGTAGGTGCATACAAAGCTTTTGGAAGATAGCTTAGATTAGTTTTTGGAGGGCTTTAAAAATTTTTGGAAGTTTTTCTGAGAATTCCGCATCATTTATCTTGTAAAATTGCTAAAGCAATCACTTGAAACATAACTGGAAATAAATGAGGAAGTCTAAAATTATTGATCGGAAATTTTGATGGGTTTTTTTAGTTTTATGTCCTCTGAAAATTTTTTTCAAATTCGCGCCAGAAACGCGACCGCTTTGCAATCTAATGTTAGAAATATTCCGCGAAGTTTAAAATAACCGTCAGAGAAAGAAAAAAAGATAACTGAATTTTTGGAGAGTCAGAGATAATTTTGAATTTTGCGGAAAAATACGGCAAAATGCTAAGATTTCAAGACTTAAAAAAATGAATATCATATAATTATTCTTCTTCATCATCTTATTCTCAGGATTCTGAAACTCCGATGGAAGTTGACGGAGAACAAATTCTACCCCCTGAAACAGCCGCGACGTCTTCTTCTCCAACAAAATCCCCCAACGATTCGATTTTGCCGCCAGGGAAAACTATTGGGAAACTGATGGTGACTAAACGTGGAAAAGTTCTTCTCAAGGTGCATTTTCTCCGAAAAATACAAAAGACGATTTTTTTTAGATCGGAGAACATGTTATGGACGTCACCAAGACGATCCCCGGCGGACAGCGACAGGTTCTTTTTCTTTCTTATTTTTCAGAATGGAAAAAAAGCATGAAAAATATAAAAGTTCCCAATATTTTGTTGGCAAAAAAAAGAGTATGATTCCAGGCGATCGTGATGTTGGAGACGACGCCAGAAGTGGAAGACAAGGCGGCGCAGCATCCGTTCTTCAGGGCAAGCCAGCCCGCGGGTTCCAACGCCCTTTTCGAACTCGGCGCCGTCAAAAATCATCTGATGGCCTCGATGACCTGGCAGGATCTCCATCTCAGGGACACACGTTGGTTTTTTTCCTGTTTTTTTCAATCCTACAAGCATAGATTGGCAGGTACATAACTCGTTGTCTGGGGGTTGGCTTACAAGAGTTTTAAGAAGTTAGATTTAAAATCAAGTTTCAACCTCTGGGAGGTAGTTTTGGCCACAGTAATACAAGTTTGGCCTTAGAAAGGGAGTGTTAACTTTATTACTTAGGAGGAAAAAGTCGAAAAAAATGGTCTGCTCATGTATACTTACAAGGGGGGCGTCATTTCAATTTTTTTGAAAATTAGATAGAACCCTTCAAAAAAAGATTCTGAAACCCTTAACCTTCATGAATTCCTAGTTTTTTTGAGAAATGAGGCCTCAAAAGCTCAAAATAGTCTATTTAAAGGGATTTTAATATGTCCTTTCTCAAAAAATAGAAAATTTTGCTAGTCGAGACGTTCAGGGTCCTAAACTGATACATCACGAAGTATTCTGGGCAAAATCCCAAGCCTTGAAGTAAAATGACCTTCCTTGTTAATGGAACTTTCAAAATAAGATAGGGATTTTTTCGTGACTGAAAAAAGGAAAATGCTGCATTGAAAACCTTGGAAATTTTAGAAGCACTTGAACATTTCCCTGCAAACTTAGCCATTTTCCGAGAATGAAATAAGGCTCCAAATCGCTTGGTTTCTCTGTAAGAAACTCGAATTTCTTTTTGAGAATGACAGTTTTTAAGAGTTTTACTCTCCGTATTTATCACCTGATTCATCAGAGAGGGCTCCAGTCATTTTTCAACAATTTTTCAAAGATTTGAGTACCTTTTTTGCAGATTTCAGAAAATGTGTCAGTAGCGATTTTTTTTGCCTAGTTTGATCGACGTTTAAACGTAGAAAAATTACTTTTCGAAATTTCAAAGTTTTTTCCTTATTTGAAGCTCCAAGCTTAAAAATGTTTCTAGTGATTTTTTTTAAAGTTTCCTTTGTAATTTTAAATTTTGAAACAACAATATTGCGCAAATAAGAAAATCATCGGATAATTTTGCTTTCAAATACTCTCGAATCAAGTAAAAATGGTTGAGATCTTATAATTTTGTTCAGAAACGGAATATAAAGACGTTGAAATGAAGGATTCCGACGACGTGAAGACGGAATCATTCGAAGAAGAATTGAAGGTTAGTTTTTAGAGATTTTCTCTTCATTCAAAGCTTTAAAAAAAGAAAAAAAGGTTTCGAAATACAGTTTGATCTCAAGAAAAAAATCTATGAAAAATCGGACTATTTCCGATCAAAATGTCTATTCAATATCTTACAGTTCCAATTTTCTAGGAATTGGAGAAAACACAAAGCTCCTGGGCAACTTTGGCAAACCGTTGGGCCGATTCTTCATGACATTTTAGGCCTTTTTTTTTGTTTTCCTCCTTATTTTCACCATATTTACTACACTTTTTTTTCCGTTGTTGATTTTAATTGTTATCCTTGCTCAATCGTTTTTTTTTGTTGTTGTGAAAGTTTTTGTCATTTTGCCTTCAGATTTTACTCGATTTCTAGGTTGAAAATTAGGTTTTTCTTTTGCTCTAGTGGAAATTTCTAACATTTTTTGCCTTCTCTGCGGACTTTATTGCCTTTTAGCAGCTTCTACGTTGCGAATAACTGTGATTTCAATTTTCTCGGCCCTTATTCCCATTTTTGTTCCCATTCTGAACCGTTGTTTTAATTTCTGCGGGTTATTCGTTGAAGATACTACATTTTTGTTAGTTTTATGTTTTTGCTTGCGAATTTCCAATTTTTACGGCTTTTCTCGCTTTCAGATTGGTTTTTAAAGTAAATATTGTTTCAAAAATTTAAACTTTTATTCCGGAAAAGGTTGTACCTGAGATGAAAAAGAGAGATAAATAAGTTAGGCTAAGAGATAGTAGCTATCGGTTGATATGATTGGTTGGAAGAAGATTTGAAACGATTACTTGATTCTACTGTTACTTTGGTCGATTAGATCCGCCGAGGATAGAAGTCGCCACGGTAGTGGTGGTGATGATGGTGATGGCCGCGTTCGAAGCCCCGATCGAACCCGCGGTCGAATCCACGGTCGAATCCCTCGCGGCGGTTGAATCTGAAACGAAAAAAGATTTAAAAAATATTTTTCAAACGTCTCCAAAAGCCGACAAAATCTCAAAACCTTCCCTTCTTAGGAACGCCAGAGTGGTCCCTATAGAGGTTATAATATAAATTTGTGGTTCCTTAGTATTCAACTGGCGGAAGTTTGGTTATAGTTGGTGGTGAAGCCTTGGGATCAGTCAACTTTTAGCATCTGGACAATTTACAGTATCCAGGCAAACGCAATACTGTACCTGTCGCGTCCGAAGCCGCCACCGTAACCTGGACCGATGGGTCCTCCGTAGCCCGGGCCGATTGGGCCACCGACCGGACCGACAATCGGACCGCCGGCCCCGTAGCCGACGCCCCCGTTGTTGACGTTGGAGAAGGTGCCGTATTGGACTCCAGGTAAGTCGACTCTACTCCAGCCTGAAACATTTTGGGAGTTTTTGATTAAAATATAAAGTGAAGACTCTTTTGGAGTGGATAAGAGATTTAAAATGGAAATATTAGGAAATTAGGGAAAGAAATTACTGTTTATTCAAAGTCGTTATTACTGGGATGTAGATTCTTTTTTTTATTTTCAAAAAAAAGCTTTAAAATTAATCGATAACAAAAAAATAATAGAAAAGCTCACTTCCGCTGTTGACTTGAGCGTTGACAAAGGCCAGTAGAAGGCCGAGGCCTAGGAGAAGAAGAGCGGCAGAGGACGACATGGATGACGTCTGACGATCGTTCGGAGGCGGAGGCGTTGGCCAGGCGACGTGTGCGGCAGGCGAAAATAAAGACGGAGGTCAGCCTCCGATTACGGTGTGATCTGGCGCGTCCGCGTTTGATCTCCCCCGGTGATAGTCGCCAGATTCGCGACTCGTGTTTCTGGTTGATATAGTTGATACAACACCTTTCAGATTTGACGAGGTTTCCAAGAGAAGAAGATATTTTGAAATTTAGACACGGCCAAAATCTGAAAAACGTGCTCCCAGGCAGAAATTCTTCAGAAACTTTGAAAAATCATATTTTCCATTGAAAATACACAGTGGTTCCTAGAGAGGCAACTTGAATTGGAATTAAAAAATGCCATAGTGACCCTTGAGCTTGATAAGAATGCCCTATAGGGATCATTTGAGCTTAAGGGCCCCATAGTGACCACTTGAGCTTGAGAGGAATCCCCTATAGTGATCACTTTAGCTTGAGAGGTTTAGGGTTCAGGTCCTGAACCTCCCTAGGGACCGCCTAGATTTTTCTCCTCTAGTGGATTCACAGTCAAGGTGAAAAACCATTTTCAGAACTTTTGCTGTAAGTCCGGACCCATCAGAATATTATTTATTGAGCATATGTACATTTCAACAATTGATCATCTTCTACGAATGCATCATCGACTTGACGTTTGATTGGAGGCCGGAGACCAGAAAGAAGAGACCGACGACGAAAAGAAAGACGTCTTCGGCGAGGAAGAGCGAGATCCGCAGCTTCGACTCGCCGTCGGCCAGTTTCGGCGGTAGAAAGACGACGACGTCAAGGACGGCCGGGATGATCAACGACAGCAACATTCCGGCCGTGATTCCGATGAACGGGATGATCTGTTGCAGGTTGGGGACTGCTACGGCCAGACCTACTGAAATGCTAGGTTTGCAGATGAGTAAAAGTCTTTAGGGACCTTGAAAACTATATTAAAAGCATCTGTTTGCCTTTATAAGGTATAATTCATATAACTCAAACTCTCTTTTTTTTTGCTAAAATTATGGAAACAAGTTGAAATAGGAAGAAACAGCAGAATCAGTAAAAAGAAAAAGCTGGAAATGGCCCGAAAACAAAACTTTTTTGGACCCGGAACTTGGTAAAACTAAAAGTACATGTCACAGCATTTCTAATGACCACTTAAGCTGCTTCAGAACCCTCAAGAGATCCCTAGAACTGATAAAAATTGTCCGGGGCATCGCATAAACGTAGTTCTAGCTGAGTACTATGAAGTTTCAAGGATTTTCCAAAACCCCATTCCGAATTAAACATTCCAAAAAAACTTCATCAACATTTTCAATGCTTCTCACGCATTCCTCCCTTTTTCTTATTATCTGTTTCCTTATCAATCATATATTAATCAGACATAATCTTGATATGATACCCCACAAAAAATCAAGAAACGGTCCAAAAACTCACACGCGACCCACACGCATATCAATCGAGCCGCGTAATCTCCGATCCACAGCCAAAAATTTCGATGTTTCCCCTTTTTCTAATCTTGAAAATTCCAAAAATAAACAAAAAAACTTTCTATAATTAATAACCTTTTCTTCACCGGCGGCCAAATCATTTCAGCGATCACATAAATTTGAAGAACGTTTCCGAAAAAGACGACGAACACCAGCAGAATTTTGACGACAATGTTAACGCTGAAAACATTTTGAAGTTCATATTGAAGTTTTAAAGATAACTAACGTATTATCAGGTAAATTCAAGGTGATACTTCCATCAACGGCATTTCCATAGGTAATGTAGCCATAGAAACCACAGTAAGTGTAGATTATCGTGACGAAAGCCATTCCTGCAAGTTTCTTGGCATCAATTCAGCCTCATGAGTAATTTTCAAGTTTTTTAACTTTTTAGGAACGTCAAAGTGGTCCCTAGAAGGGTCAGGGAAAAATTACTCCTAGAGAATTTGGGTGTCAGATTCCTAAGCTGTTAAAGCTTGAGTGGTCTCTCTAGTGGTCTTTAAAATTTTTTTATGATTTCAAAGATGAAATACGTATTTAAAAAAAAGTACAGGGATCACTAGTAAGTTCCCCTAGAGTGGCCACTTTTGCAAGCTGTAGTGCCCCCGTTAGGGGAGGTAAGTTGAGGTTGACCCTATAGGGACCACTCTGGCGTCCCTAATTTTTTTTTAACAATAAAAAGCCCTCATCAACCCTTTTTAAAAAAGTAAAATAAAAAATCTTACCAGTCGTCAAAACGCCCGTCCAACCGTTCATGTCTCTCGGATGTTTCAGTTTATTCTCCAATGGCAATACCTAAGTGTTGCTCATGTTAGATGATGTTTCCGATTTCATCCCACCATGGCTTGGCCTTCAAAAGAATACAGCAAAGAGCCGGCGCACATGACAACGCTGTCGAACGAGGTTATCCATGGAAGTTCTTGCCAAATGTGCTTCGAGGTCATGAGCTCCTGAAATATAATTAGTTTAAATTATCAGTAAGTGTATCTTGAATGTTAGCCAAATTAATTTTCTGGCTCAAGAACGGAAAACGAACCTCTAAAATGAGTCCAATCGCGGCAAAAATGAAAATATTGCCAACGAGGCAGGTAAAAGTTACTGCACGAATGTCTGAAATATTTCCATTTATTAAAAAAATTCCATTAAAAACCTTTCAGCATATTTATAACTGTGGCTGGAACTCCATACAACAAAAGCATGACCTTGTCGGAAAATGGGTTGTCGACGTCGAAATAAGCGAGAATCTGAAGGATTCTTTCAATTTTCATGGAAAATTATTGGAATCTAGATAGACTGAGTTTGCCATCTTTAATCTTTAATTTTTATATGAAGGGGAGGGATAAGAGGCGCAAAGAGGCCAGAAATTTATTTTTTTCAAAAAAGCGGGGGAGACCTATTTTAACGTTTTTTTAATGGCAGTGAATAAACTATTATTATTATTATAACTATAGATTAAACATTTTTTTCGAAAGTTTCAAAAAAAAAACCTCTCGAATATGATCGATAGCAAAAAAATATAAGCCACACTAGCGACGCCAACTTGGAAGAATATCAAGCAACCGTTAACGAAGAATCTAAATAATACAATTTTCCAAAAACTACATCTGAGAAACACTCACTGAGCAGCTTTTCCGTATTTGTGGATGGCTGGGAAACTGTTTCGAAAGGCGGCGGCGGCCATTTCACCGTAGTCGAGGCTCTGATCTCCTAGACTGAACAAATGTGACTTGGCGCGAAACCTCGGCTCACATTCGGGCTAATAATTGAGAGCAGCGGACTATTTTGTGCATCGAGATCGTCGAAACCGTTCCGATGAAGAACACCAGGAAGAAGCTTGTCTGGAAATCCTTAAGGTGGATTTCTCTCGGAGAAACCGAAATGGAAAAGTCTGAAGAACTTCTAGGACCTTGTAACGATAACGGGACGCGCCCCGGACGTTTACGGTCATTTCTAGGGACCACTTTAGTGGCGCCAGATATCTTGAGTGATCATTAGAATCGCTCAGACACGTTTCCGCCACCGATTCCCGAGAAAAATGAAGGTATACCCTGAAACCCTACCCAAAGTCCTCCTTGCTTGAACGCCATCGCCACCGAAAAACAACCTGGACCGATCATTCCATTGACAAAATTTATCAAGTTATAAGTCGCTCTAAAATCAACGATATACTCTGTAAACCGAACAAGCTCACGAAATCCCATTCTTTCTGACGATCGGAACGTGGTCTGGAATCAGTTTGGCCCTCATCTTCTGAATATGTCCAGCAATAACTTCGCACTGATTGAGAAAAAAGTACAGATGGGAAAAGGTAGATTCATTTGCTAAAAGCTTACTGATAAGTGAAGAAACTTATCAATTTGGTCTCAAAAGCTTGTGACGCGTAGAGAGATCTTTGACCAAGGAATCGGGAAGACTGTAGACTAGAAAATACTTTTCCGTTTTATAGTACACGAAAAAATCATTATAATCAGATTTTCTATAGAAACGTGTAGTTTCAAACTTATCTGAAACTCTCCAGCACTGGCATACGTTCCGGTGACAAGCGTCCTTCGCGAGGGTGTATTCCAGGGACGAAGGACGGCATTCGCTTACGACCACATCACGTTGAAAACACGCCATCCCGTCCGATCTGGCAAGTTAAGCAACGTTGAGAGCCGGTAGTACTTGGATCGGAGACGGCTTGGGAATTCGGCTTGCCGTAAGCTTTTTGCTTTTTCTTTTCCATCCAAAAAAATATTAATTTTTCAAGTTTTTTTAAGGATTCTGAAGTTTCTGAGTTAATTTTTTTAATTTTGAAGAGTTGGCTTGAGAAAAAAATTTATCTTTTTTTATTTTTCTATGTGTCTGAAGACTCACTTATGTTTGGACTTCTGCAACAATTTTTCAAAAAACCATTAGAAAAAAAAAAAGTGAAAATTGAGAATTTCCGAATTTTTCCGAATTCGTTCAGCACTGACTGGCGTCCTTCGCGAGGGTGTATTCCAGGGACGAAGGACGGCATTCGCTTACGACCACATCACGTTGAAAAACACGCCATCCCGTCCGATCTGGCAAGTTAAGCAACGTTGAGAGCCGGTAGTACTTGGATCGGAGACGGCTTGGGAATTCGGCTTGCCGTAAGCTTTTTGCTTTTTCTTTTCCATCCAAAAATTATTAATTTTTCAAGTTTTTTTAAGGATTCTGAAGTTTCTGAGTTAATTTTTTTAATTTTGAACAGTTCGCTTGAGAAGAAATTTATCTTTTTATTATCTATGTGTCTGAAGACTCACTTTATGTTTGGACTTCTGCAACAATTTTTTTCAAAAAAACCATTAGAAAAAGTGAAAAATTGAGAATTTCCGAATTTTTTTCCGAATTCGTTCAGCACTGACTGGCGTCCTTCGCGAGGGCTGTATTCCAGGGACGAAGGACGGCATTCGATTACGACCACATCACGTTGAAAAACACGCCATCCCGTCCGATCTGGCAAGTTAAGCAACGTTGAGAGCCGGTAGTACTTGGATCGGAGACGGCTTGGGAATTCGGCTTGCCGTAAGCTTTTTGCTTTTTCTTTTCTATCCAAAAAAATGTTAATTTTCAAGTTTTTTTAAGGATTCTGAAGTTTCGGAGTTAATTTTTTTAATTTTGAACAGTTCGCTTGAGAAAAAATTTATCTTTTATTATTTTTTTTTCTATGTGTCTGAAGACTCACTTTATGTTTGGACTTCTGCAACAATTTTTTTCAAAAAAACCATTAGAAAAAAAGTGAAAATTGAGAATTTCCGAATTTTTTTCCGAATTCGTTCAGCACTGACTGGCGTCCTTCGCGAGGGTGTATTCCAGGGACGAAGGACGGCATTCGCTTACGACCACATCACGTTGAAAACACGCCATCCCGTCCGATCTGGCAAGTTAAGCAACGTTGAGAGCCGGTAGTACTTGGATCGGAGACGGCTTGGGAATTCGGCTTGCCGTAAGCTTTTTGCTTTTCTTTTCCATCCAAAATTATTAATTTTCAAGTTTTTAAGGATTCTGAAGTTTCTGAGTTAATTTTTAATTTTGAAGAGTTGGCTTGAGAAAAAATTTATCTTTTTATTTTTTTTTTCTATATGTCTGAAGACTTATTTATGTTTGGACTTCTGCAACAATTTTTCAAAAAGCCATTAGAAAAAAAAAGTGAAAATTGAGAATTTCCGAATTTTTCCGAATTCGTTCAGCACTGACTGGCGTCCTTCGCGAGGGTGTATTCCAGGGACGAAGGACGGCATTCGCTTACGACCACATCACGTTGAAAACACGCCATCCCGTCCGATCTGGCAAGTTAAGCAACGTTGAGAGCCGGTAGTACTTGGATCGGAGACGGCTTGGGAATTCGGCTTGCCGTAAGCTTTTTGCTTTTCTTTTCCATCCAAAAAAATATTAATTTTTCAAGTTTTTTTAAGGATTCTGAAGTTTCTGAGTTAATTTTTTTAATTTTTGAAGAGTTGGCTTGAGAAAAAAATTTATCTTTTTTTATTTTCTATACAGTACTGGCCATAAAGGTATTTCAAAGTGGTTATTCGAGCATAACTTCTCTGAAAGTGGCTCAAATGACTTGAAACTTTGCGAAAATTTCAAATAGCTACGCAGTAACTTTTTCCCAAAAAGAACTTATTTGCTCGAGTCAGACCGGATTTGGGAGCAAAAACCAAAAAAATCGTGAAAAATCAAGATTTTTTTCTCTTGAGATTCGAAAAATCATATCTTCAAAGAAACTTCGTTTTCGAACCAGAAACTTTTTTCCCCAGTAAAACAAGTCTTCGGCTTTCCAAAAAACCTAATCAGCCCCTCACCAACCCGATATTAAGAGCGTAGTGACTTTTTCTTCGGAAGGCCTTTCCGTTTTAACGCCTCGTCATTCAAATGGTCTATACAAGGGCATTTTTGTTTGAGAACACCCTGTATCATGTTGAAAAACTTTGAAAAACCTTCAAAAATAGTTTAACACTGATTTCTTCAGCTTTCTCACTTTATCTGCTTTCCAGAACTCACTAGCTTTACTAGGACCGATTTTGAAACCTCTGATTTGAACAGTTTTTTGAACTTTCGGGCGTTCAAAGTAGTTTATATCTGAACAATCGCTTTTCAATCGTGAATTTGAAAAATAAATATTGGCTAAATTGCAGGCTCTTAGTTCCTGAAGACTGCTAATTTTTTGCTAAAGCATTAGTTTCACAAGATCAAAAACTTATTTTTCACATAAAATTTAAAGAAACTTTATACAGTGCCTATCTTTGATTTGAGAGCTAGAAAGAGGAGTTACAAATTTATCTCATGATCTAAAACATTTTAAAATATGAAAAAAGGGGTTTTTATCATCTTCCACAAGATTTGGAGCCCTCTAAGCAACACTTGCTGAAGCGAAGTTTTGAGAACTTTAAGAAACTCAGTAAAACTCACTGTATCTTTTGAATAGGTAAGCAAAACACAGTGGGTCTTCTTTTATTTTCATTCATCAAGGTTCTAAAAAAGCTCTGAAATCTGAATGGAGAAATCGAGAATTTTCTGATTTTAAAAAAGGAGCATAACCGCTTCAAATCAGAGATTTCAAAATCGGTCCTAGTAAAGTTAGTGAGTTCTGGAGAGCAGAGAAAGTGAGAAAGCTGAAGAAATCAGTGTTGAACTATTTTTGAGGGTGTTTCAAAGTTTTTCAACATGATACAGGGTGTTCTCAAACAAAAATGCCCTTGTATAGACCATTTGAATGAGGAGGCGTCAAAACGCAAGGGCCTTCCGAAGAAAAAGTCACTACGCTCTTACTATCGGGTTGGTGAGGGGCTGATTAGGTTTTTTGGAAAGCCGAAGACTTGTTTTACTGGGGAAAAAAGTTTCTGGTTCGAAAACGAAGTTTCTTTGAAGATATGATTTTTCGAATCTCAAGAGAAAAATCTTGATTTTCACGATTTTTGGTTTTTTGCTCCCAAATCCGGTCTGACTTGAGCAAATAAGTTCTTTTTTCGGGAAAAAGTTACTGCGTAGCTATTTGAAATTTTCGCAAAGTTTCAAGTCATTTGAGCCACTTTCAGAGAAGTTATGCTCGAATAACCACTTTGAAATACCTTTATGGCCAGTACTGTATGTCTGAAGACTTATTTATGTTTGGACTTCTGCAACAATTTTTTTCAAAAAGCCATTAGAAAAAGTGAAAATTGAGAATTTCCGAATTTTTTTCCGAATTCGTTCAGCACTGACTGGCGTCCTGCGCGAGGGTGTATTCCAGGGACGAAGGACAGCATTCGCTTACGACCACATCACGTTGAAAAACACGCCATCCCGTCCGATCTGGCAAGTTAAGCAACGTTGAGAGCCGGTAGTACTTGGATCGGAGACGGCTTGGGAATTCGGCTTGCCGTAAGCTTTTTGCAATTCTTCTCCATCCAAAAAAATATTAATTTTCAAGTTTTTAAGGATTCTGAAGTTTCTGAGTTAATTTTTTTAATTTTGAAGAGTTGGCTTGAGAAAAAAATTTATCTTTTTTTATTTTCTATATGTCTGAAGACTTATTTATGTTTGGACTTCTGCAACAATTTTTTTCAAAAAAGCCATTAGAAAAAGTGAAAATTGAGAATTTCCGAATTTTTCCGAATTCGTTCAGCACTGACTGGCGTCCTGCGCGAGGGTGTATTCCAGGGACGAAGGACAGCATTCGCTTACGACCACATCACGTTGAAAAACACGCCATCCCGTCCGATCTGGCAAGTTAAGCAACGTTGAGAGCCGGTAGTACTTGGATCGGAGACGGCTAGGGAATTCGGCTTGCCGTAAGCTTTTTGCAATTCTTCTCCATCCAAAAATATTAATTTTTCAAGTTTTTTTAAGGATTCTGAAGTTTCTGAGTTAATTTTTAATTTTGAAGAGTTGGCTTGAGAAAAAATTTATCTTTTTATTTTTTTTTTCTATGTGTCTGAAGACTTATTTATGTTTGGACTTCTGCAACAATTTTTCAAAAAGCCATTAGAAAAAAAAAGTGAAAATTGAGAATTTCCGAATTTTTCCGAATTCGTTCAGCACTGACTGGCGTCCTGCGCGAGGGTGTATTCCAGGGACGAAGGACAGCATTCGCTTACGACCACATCACGTTGAAAAACACGCCATCCCGTCCGATCTGGCAAGTTAAGCAACGTTGAGAGCCGGTAGTACTTGGATCGGAGACGGCTTGGGAATTCGGCTTGCCGTAAGCTTTTTTTGCTTTTCTTTTTCCATCCAAAAATTATTAATTTTCAAGTTTTTTTAAGGATTCTGAAGTTTCTGAGTTAATTTTTTTAATTTTGAAGAGTTGGCTTGAGAAAAAAATTTATCTTTTTTATTTTTCTATGTGTCTGAAGACTTATTTATGTTTGGACTTCTGCAACAATTTTTCAAAAAGCCATTAGAAAAAAAGTGAAAAATTGAGAATTTCCGAATTTTTTTCCGAATTCGTTCAGCACTGACAGGCGTCCTGCGCGAGGGCTGTATTCCAGCGGCGAACCACCGCTGTCGCTTACGACCACATCACGTTGAAAACACGCCATCCCGTCCGATCTGGCAAGTTAAGCAACGTTGAGAGCCGGTAGTACTTGGATCGGAGACGGCTTGGGAATTCGGCTTGCCGTAAGCTTTTTGCTTTTCTTTTCCACGTGAAAATATTAATATTCAAGTTTTTGAGAGAAACGAAGCTTCTGAATAGTTTTGTAATTAGAAGAAGTTGACAGAAGAACTTGATTCTTGATTATTCTCTTTTTTATTAGGAAACATTTTTAGTTGTGCTTCTGCAATAATCTTTCTATAAACTAAAAGAAGGAAACATGAAAAGTCTAATTTTTTTCGAACTGATTCAGCATTGACAGGCGTCCTGCGCGAGGCTGTATCCGAACGGCGAACCACCGCTGTCGCTTACGACCACATCACGTTGAAAACACGCCATCCCGTCCGATCTGGCAAGTTAAGCAACGTTGAGAGCCGGTAGTACTTGGATCGGAGACGGCTTGGGAATTCGGCTTGCCGTAAGCTTTTTGCTTTTCTTTTCCATCCAAAAATATTAATTTTCAAGTTTTTAAGGATTCTGAAGTTTCTGAGTTAATTTTTTTAATTTTGAAGAGTTGGCTTGAGAAAGAAAATTTATCTTTTTTATCTATATGTCTGAAGACTTATTTATGTTTGGACTTCTGCAACAATTTTTCAAAAAGCCATTAGAAAAAAAAAGTGAAAATTGAGAATTTCCGAATTTTTCCGAATTCGTTCAGCACTGACTGGCGTCCTTCGCGAGGCTGTATTCCAGGGACGAAGGACAGCATTCGCTTACGACCACATCACGTTGAAAACACGCCATCCCGTCCGATCTGGCAAGTTAAGCAACGTTGAGAGCCGGTAGTACTTGGATCGGAGACGGCTTGGGAATTCGGCTTGCCGTAAGCTTTTTGCTTTTTCTTTTCCATCCAAAAATTATTAATTTTCAAGTTTTTTTAAGGATTCTGAAGTTTCTGAGTTAATTTTTTTAATTTTTGAAGAGTTGGCTTGAGAAAAAATTTATCTTTTTTTATCTATATGTCTGAAGACTTATTTATGTTTGGACTTCTGCAACAATTTTTTTCAAAAAAAGCCATTAGAGTGAAAAATTGAGAATTTCCGAATTTTTTTCCGAATTCGTTCAGCACTGACTGGCGTCCTTCGCGAGGCTGTATTCCAGGGACGAAGGACAGCATTCGCTTACGACCACATCACGTTGAAAAACACGCCATCCCGTCCGATCTGGCAAGTTAAGCAACGTTGAGAGCCGGTAGTACTTGGATCGGAGACGGCTTGGGAATTCGGCTTGCCGTAAGCTTTTTTTGCTTTTTTTCTTTTTCCATCCAAAAATATTAATTTTCAAGTTTTTTTAAGGATTCTGAAGTTTCTGAGTTAATTTTTTTAATTTTGAAGAGTTGGCTTGAGAAAAAAATTTATCTTTTTTTATCTATATGTCTGAAGACTTATTTATGTTTGGACTTCTGCAACAATTTTTTTCAAAAAGCCATTAGAAAAAAAGTGAAAAATTGAGAATTTCCGAATTTTTTTCCGAATTCGTTCAGCACTGACTGGCGTCCTTCGCGAGGGCTGTATTCCAGGGACGAAGGACAGCATTCGCTTACGACCACATCACGTTGAAAAACACGCCATCCCGTCCGATCTGGCAAGTTAAGCAACGTTGAGAGCCGGTACTACTTGGATCGGAGACGGCTTTGGGAATTCGGCTTGCCGTAAGCTTTTTGCTTTTCTTTTCCATCCAAAAATATTAATTTTCAAGTTTTTTTAAGGATTCTGAAGTTTCTGAGTTAATTTTTTTAATTTTGAAGAGTTGGCTTTGAGAAAAAAATTTATCTTTTTTTATCTATATGTCTGAAGACTTATTTATGTTTGGACTTCTGCAACAATTTTTTTCAAAAAGCCATTAGAAAAAAAGTGAAAATTGAGAATTTCCGAATTTTTTTCCGAATTCGTTCAGCACTGACTGGCGTCCTTCGCGAGGGCTGTATTCCAGGGACGAAGGACAGCATTCGCTTACGACCACATCACGTTGAAAAACACGCCATCCCGTCCGATCTGGCAAGTTAAGCAACGTTGAGAGCCGGTAGTACTTGGATCGGAGACGGCTTGGGAATTCGGCTTGCCGTAAGCTTTTTTTGCTTTTTCTTTTCCATCCAAAAAAATATTAATTTTCAAGTTTTTTTAAGGATTCTGAAGTTTCTGAGTTAATTTTTTTAATTTTTGAAGAGTTGGCTTGAGAAAAAAATTTATCTTTTTTTATTTTTCTATATGTCTGAAGACTTATTTATGTTTGGACTTCTGCAACAATTTTTTTTCAAAAAGCCATTAGAAAAAAAGTGAAAATTGAGAATTTCCGAATTTTTTTCCGAATTCGTTCAGCACTGACTGGCGTCCTTCGCGAGGCTGTATTCCAGGGACGAAGGACAGCATTCGCTTACGACCACATCACGTTGAAAACACGCCATCCCGTCCGATCTGGCAAGTTAAGCAACGTTGAGAGCCGGTAGTACTTGGATCGGAGACGGCTTGGGAATTCGGCTTGCCGTAAGCTTTTTGCTTTTCTTTTCTATCCAAAAATATTAATTTTCAATATTCCAACACCAAAAGCAGCAAATTTAAAAAGGGAAAAACTTGATGAGTTTTATTCAATTACCAACTAACTCATTCAGCAGACTCGCCCTTCTGAAGCTATTTGAAAAATTTTCAGACTCAATGTATATGTATAATGTATATTGTAATGTAATGTATCAATGTTCCATTAAAATTATTTTTTCACTTAGTGTTGAACACAAAAGAGAGCCCATTGAACCCCGAAAATGGACTTTTCGAACTTAAAGTTGATGCTGATCAGTGCTCTCACCGTTGTGTTTGTTCCGTGTTTGCGTGAGAAAACAAATTGAAAATTGTTTTGCCTTTCAAATAAGTTCATTTCTGACCCATAATTTGAGAATCATCAACGACTTTCCGATGCGAAAATCGTTCCGAGGAAAAATTAGAAATCCAGAAAGGTCACGTCAAATGATCCATCAATGCAAACAAAACAAAACACGACGTTGAGAAAAACGGTTTCGCAGAGAA